AGCTTCACGCCCTCCTGGGATGGCGTGTCAAGTCAGAGCGAGTCAACTCCTTCCGCTCCGAGGTATGAACTATTCTGCCTGCCCGTAAGTGGCGCAGCCCATAGTTGCCGCCGCCCATGCGTTACGCTTATTAGTCCAGACACATACACACATGACCCATGGCAATCTATGTTGCCATGCCTATGCGTGTACCTGTACCCATGCACATTCCAGTGCACAGAGAGATGCTTACACTTACACCCACTCACACACCATCCCCCCCAACTCTCCAACTCTCCACTTCTCCCATGTCTCCCATGTCTCCCATGTCTCCCATGTCTCCCATGTCTCCCATGTCTCCCATGTCTCCCATGTCTCCCATGTCTCCCATGTCTCCCATGTCTCCCATGTCTCCCATGTCTCCCATGTCTCCCATGTCTCCCATGTCTCCCATGTCTCCCATGTCTCCCATGTCTCCCATGTCTCCCATGTCTCCCATGTCTCCCATGTCTCCCATGTCTCCCATGTCTCCCATGTCTCCCATGTCTCCCATGTCTCCCATGTCTCCCATGTCTCCCATGTCTCCCATGTCTCCCATGTCTCCCATGTCTCCCATGTCTCCCATGTCTCCCATGTCTCCCATGTCTCCCATGTCTCCCATGTCTCCCATGTCTCCCATGTCTCCCATGTCTCCCATGTCTCCCATGTCTCCCATGTCTCCCATGTCTCCCATGTCTCCCATGTCTCCCATGTCTCCCATGTCTCCCATGTCTCCCATGTCTCCCATGTCTCCCATGTCTCCCATGTCTCCCATGTCTCCCATGTCTCCCATGTCTCCCATGTCTCCCATGTCTCCCATGTCTCCCATGTCTCCCATGTCTCCCATGTCTCCCACGTCTCCTCCCTCCTTCCACGGCGCATCTCGCAGGTTCCCTTCTGCCTGGCGGAATCTCCAGACACATCAGCTCCACGTGTCAGCATCTCATTGGCCACGAACCCGTCCGATCAGCACCCCCCTATCCCTCTAGTCACCCTTCACTCCCACCTGCACAAGGCTCTGCCGCCCACTCTCGCCTCCACCGCCCATTTAATCGCCGGGCGGCGCATGCCCCTCGGGATGCGGTCCGAGCACCGGGTGCTGCCGGTGAATCACGCGCTGACAGCTGTCGGCCACGTCCACGTCAGCAAGGACGGCCGGGCGGCGCTGGTACCTTCCTCGCACCTTCCTTTCTTCCTGTGAGAACCGCAATGCTCATCTGTCACACCTCTGCTTTCCTGCCCATCCCCTTTACCAACCCCCGCCCTCCACCCACCATCCTTCCCCTCCCCCTCCCCTTCTCTCCCTTAGCCTCCCCTCACCTCGCCTCACATCCCGTTCTGCACTGCATGCACACCCTCCCATCCCCATGGTCCCGCCTTTATCCTCATGAGCTGAGTGCTGAAGCGCCTCAAAACACGCCTAGTTGAGGTGCCTCAGAAAAGCCCTCCTTGTCCTGAACAGGTGTTTTGAGACGTCTCAAAACACTTCTTCATACAAGAGCCGTGAGGCTCGAGCGAGAGTGATCTTCCCTTCCTCTTCCCTCCCTCTTCCCTTCCTCTTCCCTCCCTCTTTTCTCCCTTCCCTCCCTCTTTCCCCCCCCTTCCCTCCCTCTTCCCTCCCCCTTCCCTCCCTCTTCCCTCCCTCTTCCCTTCCTCTTCCCTCCCTCTTTCCTCCCTTCCCTCCCTCTTTCCCCCCCCTTTCCTCTCCCTTTCTTCCCTCTTTTCTCCCTCTTCCCTCCCTCTTCCCTCCCTCTTTCCTCCCTCTTTCTTCCCTCTTCCCTCCCTCGTTCTTCCCCCTTTCCTCCCCCTTTCCTCCCCCTTTCCTCCCCCTTTCCTCCCTCTTCCCTCCCTCTTTCCTCCCTCTTTCCTCCCTCTTTCCTCCCTCTTCCCTCCCTCTTTCCTCCCTCTTTCCTCCCTCTTTCCTCCCTCTTCCCTCTCTCTTTCCTCCCTCTTCCCTCCCTCTTTCCTCCCTCTTCCCTCCCTCTTTCCTCCCTCTTCCCTCTCTCTTCCCTCCCTCGTCCCTCCCTCTTCCCTCCCTCTTCCCTTCCTCTTCCCTCCCTCTTTTCTCCCTTCCCTCCCTCTTTCCCCCCCCCTTCCCTCCCTCTTCCCTCCCCCTTCCCTCCCTCTTCCCTCCCTCTTCCCTTCCTCTTCCCTCCCTCTTTTCTCCCTTCCCTCCCTCTTTCCCCCCCCTTCCCTCCCTCTTCCCTCCCCCTTCCCTCCCTCTTCCCTCCCTCTTCCCTTCCTCTTCCCTCCCTCTTTCCTCCCTTCCCTCCCTCTTTCCCCCCCCTTTCCTCTCCCTTTCTTCCCTCTTTCCTCCCTCTTCCCTCCCTCTTCCCTCCCTCTTTCCTCCCTCTTTCTTCCCTCTTCCCTCCCTCGTTCTTCCCCCTTTCCTCCCCCTTTCCTCCCCCTTTCCTCCCTCTTTCCTCCCTCTTTCCTCCCCCTTCCCTCCCTCTTCCCTCCCTCTTTCCTCCCTCTTTCCTCCCTCTTTCCTCCCTCTTCCCTCTCTCTTTCCTCCCTCTTCCCTCCCTCTTTCCTCCCTCTTCCCTCCCTCTTTCCTCCCTCTTCCCTCCCTCTTTCCTCCCTCTTCCCTCCCTCTTCCGTCCCTCTTTCTTCCTACCTCCTCTCATATCCCCTTCCGACTCACATAACCTTCTTATCCTTGCCTTGCCCAGCCTGAACGAGAGTAGAGAGGCGGCACTGCAGCGGAGGGATCAAATGCACCGAGGAGCCGCTCTTTGCTCACACACCTCCTCTGATCCCCCCTTACCCCTCACACAACCTCCCACCTCCTCTCATCCTCCCATTGTCCGTGTGTTTTCCAGCTTGAACGAGAGTCGGGAGGCGGCTCTGCAGCGGCTGCAGCAGCAGCGGAGGAATCATGTGCAGCGAGGAGCGCTCTTTGCTCTGGCTGCTGCTGCGGTCGCAGGCTTCATGTGGTGGAGGTGAGAGAGAACCCGGGTGTGGCGGGGGTGGTTATGCGGGCGGACGTGAGATAGCAATTTCGTTTTTGCCTCTACTTGTTGGACCCGCTGCCTTGCTGGCTTCTCTCCGCCCCTGCTTTTTTCCCTCTTTGAGTCAACTCAGCTCAAAAACAGAGACTTGTCACAGGTGTGTTTTGAGTCGGCTCAAAACACACCTTGAGTTGAAGGAAAGACGTTGACAGACAACGTGGAAAGACAACGTTCAAGAATTGGTGTGTTTTGAGTCGACTCAGCTCACAACACAGACTTGTCACACGCGGGTTGCCGCTGCCGCTGGCTACTACTCTCCTCCGGTCCTTCTTCTTCCGTTTTACGTGCCCTTGCTCCTCCCCACCCACCTCCTAGGAAGCATCGCAGCGAGAGGCGGGAGCGGGATCATGAGCAGCGCAAAGAATCACTGCCAGGATAGGTCCCTCATTTTGTCGCGAGTGTTTTTTTAGAATTCTCAAGAAACACCTCCACGCCCCCTCGAATTGTCCTTTCCTGGTCTCCGTATCACACAGGAAGCGTCGCAACGAGAGGCGGGAGCGGGAGTATGAGCAGCAGAGAGCAGGCACTAGAAACGAGGCTCCTACATGGCAGGGCGCCGCTGCTCCCTGGCCAGAGGAATTCCCCGCCCTCCTCCCTGCCACTGCTCACGACCCGTCAAGCAGACTAGACCAGCAGTTAGAGGAGATTCTAGAGGCTGTGGAGGAGATTAGAGAGGCGCAGAGAGAGGAGAGAGGGGAGGGAGGAGGGGAGGGGCAGGAGGAGGAGGAAGAGGAGGAGGAGGGGTTGGATTTGGATGCAGAGCATGAGTTGCCAGCAGAGCAGGTGTGTGTGGTGTGTGCTGGGAGGGTGAGGAGGGCGGTGTTCATCCCGTGCGGCCACCGTGTGTGCTGCCTGCGGTGCGCAAGGGCAGTGAAGGAGAGCAGCTCCATCTGTCCCATCTGCAGGCGGTTCGTGCGGCGAGTCTACCAGGTGTTTGACACGTGAGGGAATATTTCACATTGAAGGTGTTGTAGAGGGTGGTGAGAAAGGCGGTGTTCATCCCGTGTGGGTATCGTGTGTGCTGCCTGCGGTTTTTGAGACGTCTCAAAAGCTACCTGCGGTGCCAGGACTGTCAAGCAGAGCAGCTCCCTCTGCCCCATCTGCCGGCGGTTTGTGCGGCGAGTGTATCAAGTTTCTGATACGTGAGGGGCCGGAATGGAGATTGACTGTGGCAGGCAGTGTTCTTCTCGTGTGGGCACCACGTGTGCTGCTGCCTGCGGTGCGCAAGGGCTGTGAAGGAAAGCAGAGCAGCTCCATCTGACTTTGAGACGTCTCAAAACAGCTCCATCTGCCCTTTTGAGTCGACTCAAAAGTCAACTTGCCTGCGGTGCGCAACGCAAGGGCAGTGAAGCAAAGCAGCTCCATCTGCCCCATCTGCAGACGCTTTGAGAGCGGCGAGTGTACCAGGTGTTTGACACGTGAATGGGGAGGAATGCAGATGGATGGTGGCAGCCGTGTTCATCCCGTGTGGGCACCACGTGTGCTGCCTGCCTGGCTGCGCTGCGCCCGCGCTGTCAAGGAAAGGAACTCTCTCTGCCCCATCTGCAGGTGGATTGTGCGGCGAGTCTACCAGGTGTTCAACACGTGGGTTTGACATGGTGGCTCAAATGATTTCAATTCATCACGTGAAAAGATATTGTGGGAAGGTTTGGCGGCTGTAAGGCTACCAGGTGGTTGACCGGGCATTTTTATACCGTAACACTGCCCAGTACAAGCAGAGTAGCCTTGGACTCACAACTGTACATTGCATGTACATACAGAAAATTAATATCTTATGCGTGTACAGTGCTCTCATGTCAGGACTAGTACAATAGCATTGGATTCACCTTGTAAATTGTATGTTTATAATGTGAATATCATACATTGGCGTTGCGAGCAGGAAACCGAACCTGACAGCGCCGCTGCATGCACCATGTCAAAACCGCAACCACTACTGCGATACATAGTGTGTTACACATCGTGCGGTACGTTTCATGGATGTAGGGTGTTACCCTCGGGATTATCCCCTTGCTGCGTGTCCCTTGCTTCCTGGCAGCGGGGCTGCAGCAGCACTAGCTGCTTGAGCCGATTTATCTCAGCTGCAGTGCAAAGAGGGGTAAGCATGGGAGAGGTCGCACAGGCAGGCAGGAATGCAGGCAGTGGAAAATGATTGTAGTATTAAAAAAAGAGCAATCGATTTCAGCAACAGTGCTAAGAGGGGTAAGCATGGGAGAAGCCACACAGATCGTGCCTTGGTTGCGGTGAGTGTGCGAGCGAGCGAGCGAGCGAGTGAGTGAGTGAGTGAGTGAGTGAGTTGTGAGTTGCGACATTAAGGACGCGTCATCTGAAGGCCAATCCTGCGATCGGTCCTACGTAGGATCGATTTTTCACGTGGTTCAAAAAACGTCTAGAAGTTTCGAATGCTTTCCCCCTCTTTTTGGTGCGGTCAAAGATCGGTTTTTGCACGATCGAGCCGGAGGGGACGCGTCCTAAAGCTTGGTGATCATTTCAATCAGTTCAACAAGGCAAGGTGATCATTGCCAAAACTTGTTCGTGGCAAACAATAAAGGATTACTGGCAGCAGCAGAACCAACATCTCGCACATGAGGCTACACATGCGCATGAGGCTACACACGTGACCTGTTCAATCTTTGACCTGGAACCCTTCCCTCCCCCTCACATAACCTCCCTCTGACCAACCTCCCCTCTCTCACTCTCCCTCCCTCCCACACTTATTTCCTCCCTCACTCACCACCCTTTCAGCACTCACCTTCCATTTCTCTGCATCGCTTTGCTGCTGTCCGCTCTCTCTCCTGGCTCCTCCGCAGCAAGCGCCTCAGCTCCCTATTCTCTGCCAGAATCAAAGCCACCACCCCTATCACCTCCTCCTCCTGTGAATTCGAATACTCCTCCTCTTCCTCTCCTTCCTCTCCTTTCTCTCCTTCCTCAGCTTCCCCCTCTGTTCTTCTTCTTGACGCCATATCCTCCTCTCCACCTCTCTCACTCCCACATGCACCCTCCTCCTCCCCATCTCCCCGCCCCAAAACACACTCACTTCTGCCCCCTCCTCCTTCCCCCTCCTGAATACCCCCCCCTTCCTGAGCGTTCCAAGCCGCACCACTCCCAGTTCCATCCCCATTTGCCACCCCAAGCCCCACCAGTCTACTCACTGCTCTCTCCACCGCCTCACCCCGTCTTCCCTCTCTATCCAATCCTCCACTCACACAAAATACATCATCACTCAATCCCCTGTCCCCCATGCTGCTCTCCCCAACACCACCATTACGTGCCTCTGATCTACCACTCCCACCAGCACCTCTGGGCGGCAATTTTTGGACTCGTCTGGAGCTGGCCGGCCAGGGAGCAGACTTTCCCAGCCAGAGTCGTGTAATGTCTGCCAGCCTGTCAATTTTGTCCTCTAGTATCCACAACCTATCCATACCGGACCAATCTGCTACTCCATCATGCCTTACTCTCTCCGAACCTCCTGTCCCACCTTCCCTAAACTCCTCTCCCGGTCCTTCCCCCGCTTCCCCTCCTTCCCTGCCAGCCTGTCTATTTTGTCCTCTAGTGGAACTACGAACACATGCTGACGCGTCAGTATGCCTGGGCGGCATGAGAGGAGGTAGGGAGGAGGGAGGAGACGGGAGGATGAAAGGGAGAGGGAGGAGGACAATGGGTGTGTGTTTGGACAAGGAGGTATCGTTGACACTAAAGTCATTGGTACATGCTAGCAAGGTGGGCTTCGGATGTTGAGTCGAACCGAGAAGCGTGGATGGGAGGGGGAGATCAGACGTGGGGGTGGTGGCAGTGGTGGCAGCATCGGTGTGTGCCACCACACCACTGCTGGGAGAAGCTTTTAGGAATATGGGATCTTCCTGCGTCATAAGCTGTGCGTCTGGATCGTTGCATGTCGCGTCTACTCCTGAAGAGGGTGCATTGGCTGTGGGCGCAGAGGCTGCTATAGCGTGTGCTTTCCGCCTTGCTGCTGCTGCATCCGCTTCAGCTTGACCCGACGGTCCAGTGACTGGTGGCGCTGCTGCTGCTGCTGGTTCAGTTGACGGTGTAAGTGCTGTTTCTGCTGCTACTGCTGATGCTGTTGATTCTGTTGATTCTGCAAGTGCTGGGGTTTCTCCCCTATCGCGCCTATCCGCTGCTGCTCCCGAAACGTGCTGCTGTTGTGTCATTTCTCCGTTCGGCAAGGCAGAAAGAGATTCCGAAGCAGCACAGACATCAGAACTGGCGGCACCACTGTCGTTGCTATTCACAGCAGTTGGAGCAGCAGCACCATCAACATCACCCTTCACAGCAGCAGCACTACCCTTGCAAACGGCTTGTTGTGCTGCCGAATTGACTGTCGTTCCCTTGTGGAATCCTTCTACCCCTTCTTTTGCCAACCCTTCTGCTCCCCTTACCCCTTCTTGCCCCATTACCCCTTCCGTTCGCCTTACCCCCTCCTCCCGTCCCTCAGTCGCTGCACGAGCCATATTGGTAGGCCCACGCGGAACTCCCAAGGAAGCGGCAGCACCAGCCAATGGGGGCGTGCCAGGTGGCGTCTTAGCAGAAGCCGACGCCAGCGAGGAAGCTGACCCGTGCAGGCCAGAAGCAGATGAGAGGCCTCCTGGCCAGGCGTTGCGAAAGAGCTTGGAAGGGCTGACAGGGGCTGAGCGGGAGGAGAAGGAGGAGGAGAGGGACTCTGCAGCAGAAGCGACTGAGAGAGCGTCACTCATGTCACTGTCCAGGTCTGGGTCTAGGTTCGGGTCTAGGTTCGGGTCCAAGTCAGCCTCGCTGGGAGTTGACGAGTGAGGAAGAGAGTGCGTGGATAATTTGCGGCGCCTGCTGCTTGCCGCTCCTCCTGACTGGCCTTGAGCTGTGGCATATCCTGGTGATGCCGCTGCTGATGCTGCTGATGATGATGCTGCTGGCTTTCTCATTCGATGAAGGGTGATGTCGAGGAATAGGAGCGCGTTAGGTGGTAACTGCAAAACGGGGGGCAATAGATCGAGGGAAGTAGGAAACGGTGCTGGTGAATAAGAAGGCATACACGAGCAGGCAACATACAAATGTTCAAAACGCACGAACTTTATTTTCCTTGTTTTTTTCTTCTTTTATTCCGACACTTTCTCAGTTTGCCAAGCATCAGTCTAAAAAAGGAGGCAAGGAAGGAAACACCGTTCAAGTATTGCGACATTTCAAAACTCAACTCGCCATCTAACGGATTCCAATATTGCCCTCAATCAGCATTTGAGGTATCTCCAATCAAAAGTCACCTGGCAGATTATTAACTTGCCCTTTATCAACCTACGTTAGGAGGCAAGGATGGAAAATCCCCACGACCGGCAGCTGAGGGGGAAACAGCAAGGAAGCGCCTCCCCCCCTTTCGCATGCCCACTACCCCTTGCTCCAGGGCTGGTGTACGGGTGTGGAGAACGGAGAAGAGTGGTAACGGGTGAGGGTGGAAGAGGGTGAAGGCGGGAAAGGAAGGTGAAGGTGAAGGTGGTCTCATGCCCAAGTCATCAGGAGAGTATTGCTTGATACTTCAAAGCGAACCCCCCCCTTCCCCCATCCTTGTGTATGCTCATGATTCCCTGTTCCAAAGCAAAGCATGTGAACACTACACGTATGGAAAGATGATGGGGAGCTTGTCAAATCTGCACGAGAAAGCGCGTTGGCAACTTTGGGAAAGAAGAGCACGTGTAGGAGAATTTTGAGAAAGCGCGAGAAAGCGCGAGAATTTTGAGCACGTCTCAAAACTCTTCTTCAATCAATCTGCACGAGAAAGCGCGTTGGCAACTTTGGGAAAGAAGAGCACGTGTAGGAGAAACGACTGGTAGGTGAAGCGCGGCGCTAGCGCAATAGTATGCAAAAGGTGACGGGTCAAGTGGTGCATGATAAAGAGTGATATACACGCAGAAACGATCGTACCTTCTAAGGCCTTGTGCGAGCCCAGTAGCAGCTTCACTCCCTTCCCTGGAATAGGACGAATGTGTGGGCAGGGGAGGCAGCAGGAATAACGCGTGGAAAGAGATAGAGCCAGGAATAGAATACTTAGCGGGGGAAGAAAATGCGCAAGACACAAGTATTGCATATAGGACGTTTCAAAGCAGCAGTGCTGTGATCCCCGGCATTCCAAGCAAACATTTCTCAAAGGTAAACCTGGAGCAAGCATTGCTGAAAGTGCGGAATTCAAACCAGCAGATACACAAGGCTTTAAGAGCACAGGCTAGGGATGAGCAAGGTGGCGAACACCTGTTCGGTTCGCCTCGAACGTGTTCGAGGCGAACCGAACAGGTTTTGTTTTTCAGCTTAAATCGTTCGCCCGAACGTGTTCGATGTTCGCCCGAACACGTTCGTGTTCGTGGCGCTGCTGCAGAACGCCCCGTGGCGAACACGAACGTGTTCGAGGTTCGCCCGAACACGCCTCCACAGGCGAACAGCGAACACCTGTTTTTTCCTTAACTGTTCGCCGAACCGAACAGTGTTCGGTTCGGCAAAAGAGGGTGTTCGACAAGGGGCGAAGACGAACATGTTCGTGTTCGCCCTTTGCTCATCCCTAGCACAGGCTGTGTGTGTGCTGTGTGGTGCTGTGCTGTGCAGACATGCAAACGAACCTTGAGTGACGAGAAATGGCTTGGGAGGGGGCAGGTGTGGTGATGTGAAGGGGTCAGCCGCCCATGCTGTCACCGCCACTTGCACCTGTGACGAAGGGGGATATTAGTTTCATATGGCAGTAGAGACCAAGGTTGAAAACGCACAGGTACTACCAGACTAGCATGTTAACCAGCACAGGGGAAAAAACAAGGGGGCTTTTTCCTGTTCTGTTTTCCTCTGCCTAAAATCTTGACCCAGACACAATAGCTGTATAAGCACGTGAGGTGCTGATGAGATGAGACCCAGACATGCACATGAGATGCTGTGGGTGAAACACTCCTTTTCTTTCCTTTTCTTTCACCAAGCTCCCTCCCCTGGCCCTCAGTCTCACTTCGGTTAATCCCCTCGCTCGCACTATCCTCCTTTTCATTCAAACCCCTTTCCTTTCCCCCCCACACCCCCCCTGTACCCTCTCATCGACTTACAGTGTCTCCCCCCTCTGCCTGCGACCTGTGTCCGCCTGTGCTTAACAATACATCCTGCACAGAAGCACACATGCACACGCCACACACGATAATAAGTACAACCAAGGTTGGGATGGGCAAAGCTAGAGAAAGGATGGGATGGCCACGTGTAGCGAGGTTGTTTTTGAGACGTCTCAAAAACAACCTCGCTGCCCACACGATAATAAGTACAACCAAGGTTGGGATGGGCAAAGCTAGGGAAAGGATGGGATGGGAACCCAAGCAAATCTCCAATGATGAGTTGGCAGATTTGTTGGATTACGGGGAAATCCCAACCAGATTAGGTTGGGATAATAAATCTACACCCAACCTACAAATAACCTACACGATATAAAATAGAGTACACAAATGTGTTGACAGCATATTTCTAACAGCAGAAACATGATTGTGCCGGATGTAATGCTGAGCGCACACACATGAGTGCTGCCAGTTCAGGTCTGCTGCGTTACTGGTGCAGCAAGACCCTCGAGGGGGACGGCAAGAGTTCGTGCAAAAGTACACACGAGTGATCCCTTACTCTTAAGCAAGCTGACTTTCAACAGCTGACTTTTGAGTCGACACAAAAGTCACTCAAAAGGTGGCAAGAGTTCGTGCGAGAGTGCGCACGAGTGATCCCTTACTCTCAAGCGAGCTGACTTTCGACAGCTGACTTTTGAGTCGACACAGAAGTCAACTCAAAAGGTGGCAAGAGTTTGTGCGAGAGTGCGCACGAGTGATCCCTTACTCTCAAGCGAGCTGACTTTCGACAGCTGACTTTCAATTCGACACAAAAGTCAACTCAAAAGGTGGCAAGAGTTCGTGCGAGAGTGCGCACGAGTGATCCCTTACTCTCAAGCGAGCTGACTTTCGACAGCTGACTTTTGAGTCGACACAAAAGTCAACTCAAAAGGTGGCAAGAGTTTGTGCGAGAGTGCGCACGAGTGATCCCTTACTCTCAAGCGATCTGACTTTCGACAGCTGACTTTTGAGTCGACACAAAAGTCAACTCAAAAGGTGGCAAGAGTTTGTGCGAGAGTGCGCACGAGTGATCCCTTACTCTCAAGCGAGCTGACTTTCGACAGCTGACTTTTGAGTCGACACAAAAGTCAACTCAAAAGGTGGCAAGAGTTCGTGCGAGAGTGCGCACGAGTGATCCCTTACTCTCAAGCGAGCTGACTTTCGACAGCTGACTTTTGAGTCGACACAAAAGTCAACTCAAAAGGTGGCAAGAGTTCGTGCGAGAGTGCGCACGAGTGATCCCTTATTCTCCAGACATAAAGTCAGTCAGGCTTACTTGCAGCGTGGGAGGGACCGGCACGTAGGCATGCGGGGGGTAGGTCTGTGCTGCCGCAGATGCAAGGTGCGCCGAGGGGGACGTGGCGATGGCAAGGGAAATAACATACCCTCTTGCCATTTCTCTCTCGACCTGAAGGTTAGTCAGGCTTACTTGCAGCGTGGGAGGGACCGGCACATAGGCATGCGGGGGGTAGGTCTGTGCTGCCGCAGATGCAAGGTGCGCCGAGAGGGACGTGGCGAGCGCACGAGCAAAGCCGATGGCGAGAAGGAATGCTGAAGAGTCTGTGGGACTGAGGAGGAAGGAAGGCAGGGGGGGATCTGGGTGAGGCTTGAGGGCAGGACAGGGGATAAGAATGATGCCGCGGTGAGGGGATAGTCGGATAGGTGTGGAAGGGGACTAGAGACAAAAACAACACATTTGATGAGAATGATGCCGCGGTGGGCGAAAAACACCACAGTAGGCAGAGTGGTTTGAACTGAATAAACTACTCTCCGCACTGCCAACCAACCAGCGTGTACCTTGCGAGCATGAGGCATTCAATTCTGTTCTGCCACGTCTATAAAAACAGCCAGGAAAGAATTTTACAGTCTTGATCCTTCTTGCTTAAGCGTGTTTACAGGTTTGCTGCTATTCCCGACATGAATTTGGGTCTAAAAAACCAGCCAGCCGATACATTGCGAACATGAGGGATTTAGAAACGTCTCGGAACTCCCCGCACACCAAACCAGCTAGGCAGCCATTACCTTGCGAACATGAGGATCCAGCGAGTGCCGTCTGGTGTGACCATGTGCACGCGCACATCCGTCTGGGGCTGCGGGAAGGAGTGGGGCGGGAGGGGGTTTGACGGGGATAAGGGGGAAGAGAAGAATAAGCAAGGAATGAGGGAAGGGTGTACCACTAGGTGACTTTTGAGTCGACTTGGAAGCTGGGGACGTATAGGGTATGAAGGAAACGCTTCCACTCACCTGGCACCAGAAGGAGGTGGCGATGGCAGCATGCAGCAACACCCGCCCATCCGCCACACAGCGCAGCTCCAGCCGCTGCAGCTGACCCGTGCCGTGTGCCACGAGAGCAGCATGCACGCAGTCAAACACCAGCTCTTCCTCCCTCGCTGCTCCGTCCGGACCTGGTGGGTTAACCATTCAGGGAAGAGCAAGGGGCAGGTTCCGTCTCTTAAAGCCATGCGTCACCACCACAGCACCAGGGCTGTGTGCCACGAGAGCAGCATGCACGCAGTCAAACACCAGCTCTTCCTCCCTCGCTGCTCCGTCCGGACCTGGTGGGTTAACCATTCAGGGAAGAGCAAGGGGCAGGTTCCGTCTCTTAAAGCCATGCGTCACCACCACAGCACCAGGGCTGTGTGCCACGAGAGCAGCATGCACGCAGTCGAAAACCAGCTCTTCCTCCCTCGCTGCTCCGTCCGGACCTGGTGGGTTAACCATTCAGGGAAGAGCAAGGGGCAGGTTCCGTCTCTTAAAGCCATGCGTCACCACCACAGCACCAGGGCTGTGTGCCACGAGAGCAGCAAGCACGCAGTCAAACACCAGCTCTTCCTCCCTCGCTGCTCCGTCCGGACCTGCAGAGGCGGGTCAGGGAGGGTTGGTCATGGAGTAGTAGGGGAGTGGGAGGAGCAGCTGCTCCATCCAGACCTGGTGGGGTGGATTAGGGAGGGTTATTCCGAGAAAGGAATAATGGCAGAAGCACCCTGAGGGCTGCAAACGGCGCTAAAGACCAGCTCCTCCTCCCTCACTGCTCCATCCGGACCTGCAGGGGTGGGTTATTTGCGCAAGGTGCAGCAGCTTGAGTCAATCAACTGCCATTGCACCCGGGCCCGTGCCTCACCAGAGCAGCCTGCACGGTGTCAAACACCAGCTCCTCCTCCCTCGCTACTCCTTCCTTCCGGATCTGCAGGGTTTGTTTGCGCAGGCAGGGTACAGCTTGGATCGCTTAAAGCCATGTGATGTGCTGTCATTCCATCCACCTGGGCCCGTGCCTCACCAGAGCAGCCTGCACGGTGTCAAACACCAGCTCCTCCTCCCTCGCATTGCCATCCGGAACCTGGGAGCGCCAAGAGGGGTGACACGAATATTGAAGAGCCGCAGAATAAATCCATTGGTCAAGTGACATGGGCTTAATTCAACTTCAACCTGGGAGGATTAAGAGAGGAGAGAGGAATTTAGAGGAGCCTCAAAGGCGGGCCGGACCGGACCTCCGCGGGGGGAGGGCGGAGCGAGGGGGCGCGCATGGAGGAAGGGTGGCATAGAGGAGTAGGGGAGGGTGGGCATGGGAGGTAGGCGCAGGGGAGGGAGGGGACGCGCAGGGAGGGGAGGCGAAGGTAGTATAGGGAAAGAGATGAGATGGCTTCTGAGCCACCCCAGATGTTTGAGGTTGATTTTGAGAATTCTCAAAATCAACCTCAAACAAAATGAGAATTCTCAAAATCAACCTCAAACAAAATGAGAATTCTCAAAATCAACCTCAAACAAAATAGGCGCAGGGGAGGGAGGGGACGCGCAGGGCGGGGAGGCGAAGGTAGTATAGGGAAAGAGATGAGACGGCTTCCGAGCCACCCCAGACGCCGCGAAGAGGATAGGAGAAAAAAGGGGAGGAAAGGGGAACCGGTGGGGGGGAAGGGGAGCAGAAGGGGAAGGGGGGAGGGGACCGTAACGGAGTAGTGCAGGGAGGCACTGATGGGGCCAAGGGACGACACGAGGACTGAAAGGAGAGGCCGGCATGCAGGGGGACTGAATACTGTTGCGTGGGGACACGAGGACGGGTGGAGGGAGAGCATGATAACTCGCTTGGAACAAGTTGCTGAAAGAAGTTGTTGAAGTACGCGAGTTTGAAGTAGTGTTTTGAGTAGTTGTTGGAATACACGAGAACCAGAGCTAGGCGATCTCAGAAACCATGGGAAAACGGGAAATCTCAGAAATGGGATTCGGGACTTGGAGTATGCGTTATAGGGAGTGTGCGGATTGTGGGTAGAAGACAGGATGAGAAGCCATCGTGTTAACTCTTTCGAAGCTCGTTCCAGCCTCGCAGGCAGTCGCACCTGCGATCACTCGTCGGACGACGACTTGGGCGATCGCGACGGAGAAGGCGACGCTCGGCGAATTGAGAGAGTCTTGGCCTTTTCGCCATGGATCTCCGCCACGTTCTGCCGTTTCCGCCATGGAGTTATCGTGCGGAAGGACATGAATCAATTGAGAGCGACGGCGTGCGCAGGGAAGAAATTCAGAGGATCACGGCGGATCAATTGACTGATCTGGATGTATCGTAAATTGTCGGTTGTACGCTATATTGGCATTTCAATATCGTTCGGTCGTTTTACTTGCAGTTGGTTTCTGATTGTGTTTCAACTCACTGCGCGTTACATACGGTTTAAAGTTTAGGCTGCCCTATTGTTGCATGATAACAAAACTCCATACCGAGTGAAGATTCTTGCACCTAGGCCTCGATATTATGTTGGAGGACTGCTCAAGTCTTGATACCGTGCACCAAGCGCCAGCCGTCGGACAGCTTTCTTCGCACGGGGGAAAGGCCAGGTCAGCGAAGGAAACGCCTCTCTTTGGTCCAATCTGCGAAAATCTTGGGAGCGGGTGAGGCTGGATCATGTGCCGTCACGAGTATGGTCGACCAAACGTTCTTTTGTTCACGGTTCGGAGAATTTTGTTACGTTGGAAATCGGTATGCTAGTTATCCACAGCGGTTTCGTAGGGTGTTTGCGGAAGGGAACTTCGGAACACAGCGCGGCGGAGCTGGTGCATTTTCCACTGCCCAAATCGATATTTTCACTCACTTCATGCTTAAAGTGGTTCGATGTTCTCCCTTCCAGCCGTCCCACGCGAAGCATTCGTCCACGGGCACGCGATTCTTTTTTAGCTGTTTTCATTCCCTCCCTGCCCGTTCGAGTGCAGTTCCCCTAATTGGGCTCGTAACGCGTGCGTTTATACGATTGAATCGCAGCCGCCCATGGCCTGCCTGCTTTGCATGCTCCCTCACCCTCGAACGAACCCCCCCACTCCCTCCTACCCCCTGTGACGTCACCTTCCTTCTGCTACATCGTCATGATCGTCTTTATACGCTGAATTTAGGTTTTGTGGACACTGGTCCTCCTTATCTCAGCATCATCTGATCCGAGCCGAGACCGCTATTGCTGCTTCGCGGTTCGTGTCTGCATTGCTTTCCACCATTCACTTCGCCAGCTCGAGCTGGTTCCACAGGCCACTTGCCTTCCCCCAGCGTCACGTCTTCGTTCTCGCATGTACCCTACTCCTCCTAGACATGCTCAGCTTCCAGCGGTGCTTGTCGGAGATCCGGTGGTTTCAATTGTAGGGTAAAGCCTGACAACGCGACAGCTTCCGTTTCACAAGCTGCCGAACTGTGCAACCGCCCTCGTACTCTATCGCGTGGCGGGCACGAATGCCAGATATAGCTCTAATTGTCGGAACCTAGACCAGCCAGGAGTATAATCATCGAACGTAGAACATCTTACATCGGCGTTGTTTGTCATTATATAGCTGCTCATCGACCTGCCATTCCATCATCCCCACTTCGCACTCATACCCATCAATTACTACTCCTTCACAGACCCCTTATCTCGCTTCCTTAGGGTTGCCTTCATTCTGCCGTTTTTGTTTCTCACGCAATTATTCCGCGGCCATGGCGCACGCGTTTAGTACGAACCACACCGCGCTCATGTCGGAAGCCGTCGCTAAAATTGCGCACCGCCGAACATCGTCGATCACTACCCCCCCTCTCTCCTCCTCCTCCCTTCCCCCGTTCAGCTCCAAATCCTTAGCTCCTGCCACCTTGCGACGGTCACAACAACACCCCTCTCCAGCCATCCGCTCGTCTCTCACCAATGGCGCCGCCCGCCGCGCGGGGTCGATGGACGAGTCCAGCCCGTTCGCGCCCTTCTTCCAGCACGTTTTCCAATCGGACGTCTCCACCCGTCCGATGATGGTCCCGGATTCGTTCGAGACCGTTCCGAACGTCCAGGACGAGCTTTGGTATACCATCCGGGAAGAGGCTCGGCAGGATTCCGAGGCTGAGCCTGCGTTGGCCTCGTACCTCTACTCCACGGTGCTAGCGCACCGTTCCCTGGAGCGATCCATGGCGTTTCACCTGGCGAATAAGCTCCAATCGCCGACTCTTTTAAGCACGCAGCTCTGCTCGCTCTTCACCGACGTGATGCTTCGATCGCCTGAAGTTCAGGAGGCGCTGCGCGCCGATCTGCGTGCCATCTACACCCGTGACCCCGCGTGCCGGAGTTACTCTCACGCGATGCTGAATTTCAAGGGTTATCAGGCGCTGCAGGCGCATCGGATCGCGCATCGGCTGTGGCTGGAGGGCCGTCAGGGATTGGCCATGGCGCTTCAAAGTCGCGTGTCGGAGGTGTTCCACGTGGATATTCATCCGGCTGCGAGAATCGGGAATGGAGTGCTATTTGATCACGCGACGGGGCTGGTGGTTGGCGAAACGGCGACGATTGGTAACAATGTTTCCATTCTGCATCATGTGACGCTGGGAGGGACGGGGAAGAGCACGGGCGACAGGCATCCCAAGGTCGGCGACGGCGTTCTGATTGGCGCTGGCGCGACGCTGCTTGGACCAATCAGGATTGGGGAGGGAGCGAAAGTAGGAGCAGGGTCAGTGGTGCTGCTGGATGTGCCGCCGCGTGCGACGGTTGTGGGGATTCCAGGGAGGCTGGTTGGCGGGAAAGAGAAACCTGCCATGTCTACAGTGAACCCTAGTGAGACTATGGACCACACCTCGTTCATTCTGGATTATACCATCTGAGATCTGGAGAGTCCCTGGCTTGGGACTTGATATGTTACTCTCCTTGGAGCTTGCTGCTGCTGGCTGTGAGGTATAGGGTGGAATTGGACATATGTGAAATAGGGTTTGGGGTGGCACCGTGGCAGGGAAAGGCTGGCAGGCTGGCAGCCTACAATGGCAATATGTCATGCGACCATGGTGGTCGGTTGTATTAAATTTCGTTTGTGCTCATGCTGCTGGGCGCCCCTGTGCTTTTGTATTTTCAGTTATTTCAAAATTAAAATTGAGCACTATTATATCGTTGCATTGAAACTCCAAGCGAGGATGTGGTGGTCGATTGGCTTTGCTGATGGCTGGTTATTGAGAAGGTGGCTCCTAAAACTTGCTACTGTACAGGATATTGTTCAAGAGTTGTAGCCACGTGCAAATCCTGTTTCAACTGTTGGGCTGAGATAGCCCCTTAGGATCTTTGCAAGGGATAACTCTAGGTGAAGTAGTTGTAATAGCGGAAGCGTTTAGTGAAGAATTTGAACCGACCTTGCACTGGTGTGTGAGAGCAAAGTTGATTTGAATTAAACAAGCAAATACAAGGATTTATATAAGAGTACAGAGAATAGATAGATAACTGTATTGCTGTTGCGGTTCGATATAGCGCGACTCGGGCAACTGCTCTGTAACGAGTCAGTTGTGTGTCCTTAACTGTCGCGCTGTAATTGTCGAGTCAAAGGTCAGCGACCTTTGACTTTCTCGTAACCTCCAGGCGGTTACTCTAACCTCCGAGGTTGACTCGATGCTTCGATTGGGACTGCTTCGCTTGGTACCTTGGATTTTGATACGACAGAAGCGTACTTAGGACTTATTGTTTCCAACACTCCCCTTCGCTTCTGGAGTGTTACTGCTGGTGACGTGGCCTTGTCCAGTCAGCATCATGCAGTATTCGAACTTCTGCTTGCCGAGTTTCTTGGTCAAGTAATCGGCTGCCATCTCGGATGTTGGACAGTATGACAGATCGAGTTTCCCTTTTTCTATCTCGTCCTTCACGAAGAAATAGCGCAGGGCGATGTGTTTCGTCCTGTTTGCGAAGCCGTTTTTGTTGGCGATGCGAATTGCTGACTGGTTGTCGCAGAACACGGTGAAGCTGGGTAACTCGGCTAGCTTCGCTTCTTCCAGTAGTTCGCGAAGGTAAAGTCCCTCCTTGGTGGCTGAGCAGAGTGCAATATATTCTGCTTCTGCTGAAGATAGTGCGATTAACTCTTGCTTGCTCGACTGCCAGGAGATAGGACCGATAGGCTCAAGGCGGTAGACATAGCCGGTGCGTGAGCGCCTGTTGTCGGTGTCGCCGGCGTGATCGGCGTCGACGTAGCCGATTAGCTTAGTCGGTGTAGCTGCGCTCTTGTGGTAGGTTAGCCCGATCGTCGCGGTGCTGACGAAGTAGTGGAGAGCGCGATCAAGTTCCGCCAGGTGTTCAGCTTCAGGCTTCTTGAGATAGGTGGCGAGCTGACTTGCGGAGTAGGATAAGTCAGGACGGCAGGTGACGGCGGCGAATAGCAGGCATCCGAGCTTCTTCTGATAGTCGCGTATGCCGGCGGGCTTGAGTAGAGTAGTTCGTTCCTTCTCGGTTCCTGATGTGTAGCGGTAAGGCGTGGAGATGGCGCTTGGTGTGAGGCTGAACCGTTTCGCGATGGTGTCGGCGTATTTCTCGGCGCTTAGATAGATGGCGTTTTCTTCTTCGCAGATGTTGAGCCCGAGGTACTGTGTAACGGTGGAGGAGACCGTGAGCGTGAGGTCTTTCTGGAGCTCTCCTTCGAACCACGTGGCGATGCCGTCGGTTGACCCAATGTAGAGAAGATCGTCCACGTAGACGATCAGGAGAACGTAGTCGCTTCCCTTAGTGAGGCGGTACATGCCTTGGTCGTGAGGTAGTTGACTAAAGCCGATGCGGATGAGACGGGCGTGCAGGTACTGCTGCCACAGTCGCGGTGCCTGCTTGATCCCGTAGAGCGACTTAAGTAGTTGACAGATTCGGTTGGGTTCGCCGTGGGAACCGTGCGGGAGCTCGACGTAGATTTCTGCATCCACAGGTGCGTAGAGGAAGGCATTCGCGACGTCGATCTGCCGTAACTTCTTCTTCTTCATGGCGGCAATGGCGAGGAGAATTCGGAGTGACGTGTGGCGGGTGACTGGAGCAAAGGTCTCGGTGAAGTCTCGTCCATGCTCTTGGTCGAATCCACGTACGACCCAGCGTGCTTTGAATTTTTCGATCGTGCCGTCTGCTTTCGTCTTGATGCGGAAGACCCATTTCCCGGTAAGGATGGTTTTGTTCCGTGCCACGCTTACGGGAACAACCTTCCAAGTGTTGCGTTCCTCTAATGCCTTCAGTTCTCTATCCATGGCTTCACGCCATTTCTCCCTGTGTTCCCCCCCCAGAGCCTGCTGAACCGTTGCAGGCTCCTTAGGAAGCGAGCTGCGTGTGTTCCCGTGGACTGCGGTGACGAGGCCGAGGATTTGCAGCCCAGTCTGTGAGTATCGAGGGAGTTCTGGATCCTCGGGATAAGCTGCTTCGTCTCCCGCTTCTGGATCAGGGATGAAATTCGGTCCTATCCTTTCTGCTTCATTTGTGTTGACGGTTGCAGGTGTTACGTAACCGGTGTCGGCGAAGTGGTAGAAGACTTCGGCGTTGTTACTGTCGCGAGGATTTTCTTCGTCCATGGGCACGTTGACGGAGCAGTACGGGAGAGGTCCGGCTTCTGCCGATGCGTTGTCAACATTCTGCTCGTCCCAGTCTGCTTCATCCGCTGCTGACGCGAAGGCTCGGTCACCACGAAAACCACTGGTGAGGTCCCGATTCTCGTGCAAGTTGGCGAGGTACGTCTGAAGGGTGAGTCTTTCGTAGAAGATCACGTCACGTGCTGCTACTGTTTCCTTTGTGTGGACGTCGAAGATTCTCCATGCGTTGTAATTTTTCTCGATGCCGAGGTGTAGTCCCCACTGTGCCCGTTGCGAAAATCTTCCCGCTCGTGCTTCTGGGGGTCTGTACTGTACCATGCACCCGAAAACTCGTAACATTTTCGTGCTGCCCTGCTTCCCTGTCCACAGCAGATGCGGTGATGCGTTGTTCGGGAGTGACGACGACGACAACAAGTTGTGCAGCATGACAGCGTGGTCCATTGCTGCTGGCCACTGGTGGTTGGGTAGCCGCATGCCACGTAACAGTTTGCGCATGCTGTTCTGCAGGGTCCTGTTCAGTCGTTCTGCAACACCTTGCTGCTGATGTGCGTAGGGAAGGGAGAGGAGTTGCTTGATCCCCCTTTCCGCCAAGAACTGCTTGAAGCGGTGAGAGGTGTACTCGCCACCTCCGTCTGACTGGAAATTTTTCAGTTGTGTTCCAGACTCTCTCTCTGCTATCGGTAGCCAGGCGGCGAATGCTGCGAGCGCCATGTCGCGGCTGGGTAGGTTGCGATGCCAGACGTATCGAGTGGCGGCGTCGATGAAGGTGATGGTGTAGTTGTAGTTGACTTGTCCTGGTTCGCGATTGTAGAGGATGTCGCTGTAGACTTTTTCGAGTGGTGCGTACGCTGGAGCGCTCGGGTTGTGATGTGAAGCAAACGGTCGATGAGGTAAGTCAGCTTCGGGACATATAAGGCAAGTCCCTCGTGCCTTCTGGAGTTCTCTGCCATCGGGTAGAAGTAGAGAGTCTTTGTCGAGGACTCCTGCTCTTATCGTGTTATTCAAAACCGTGTTGCTTGGATGTCCTGTGCGTGCGTGCCAGATCTCTTCAGAGGCGCGGTGTCCAGGTGAACGCTGATATGCGTCGGAGTTGGAGTAAAAGCTGGCGACGAGGTTGGCGCTTCGGTGGACTTCACGTTGAGTCGGATTCAGCTGTTGCGCGGGTGTTGGTGGTGCTTCGTCGACTGTGACTGGTGTCGTTGTTTCTGCTGCTGCTGATGTTGTTGCTGCTGCCGATGTTGTTACTGCTGCCGATGTTGTTGCTGCTGATGCCGATGTTGTTACTGCTGCCGATGTTGTTATAATTGCTGTGTCGTCGTTGAGTGTGGAATGCGAACTCTGATACTGTCGTTTTCTTCCTGTGTCGTTCTTCCTGCAGGTCCATATCTTGCTGCTCGGCATGTATTTCGGCGCAGAGTGCAGCTTCAGAGATTCTTCCGTGGGCTCGAAGAATGGCTTTGGTGGCGCGCCACTGAGGACCAAGCCCACCAATGATGACTGTCACGAAGGCGTCTTCAGAGATTGACCCTCCGCATCGAAGCAGCTTGTCGCGCAGTTCGCGACATCGGCTGATATACGCCAGTCCTTTTTCTCCTGGTTTCATTTCGACTGTCGTCAACTGCGCCATTAACCTGCTCTGGTTTACACTGTCTGTTGCTTGATACAGGTTCTTCAGATGGCTGTACGCGAGCTCCGCCGAGTTGCCGAAGGTCCGGTAAGAGCGAATGTTCTGCTGCTGAGTTGGTGTCACATTCCTCAATAGGATTGTATACGCCATCATTGATTGATACGTATACTGCTGCTTTTCATATTGTGTCCCGTTGGCTGGATACTGCAGGGACCCGTCGAAGAAGCCGAGTATCTGCGCGCCCTCCATCATCAGCTCGAATTCAAAGGACCAGGTAAAGAAGTCTTTGCCGTCGAAGGGTCTTGACGTTTGCAGTTTTAAGACGTGTGCAAACTGCGACTGAACTTGAAGTGCGTCCAGTGGTCTTTCTTGTCCAGGTGAAGGTTGCGGGTGGGGCACGAAGCTGATTGACCCGCGCTCGTACGGAGCAAAGGTAGGTTGCTGCTGCTGGTTTCCTCGCGCATATGACGACCCATCAAGACTCATGGGTGTCGCTCCGTTGTTGCTGTTGTGTGTTTGTGCAGGTCCCGACTGCTGGTGTTGTTCGTAGAAGGACATGAAGGAGAAAAATTTCTCCATCATGTTCTGGTCAAAGTCCGAAGGGTGGTTCATGGGGGTCTCGGTTGACGTTCCTCTTGGTCTTGTTGCCATGCCTTCTTCTGTCTGCAGGCCAGAGGCTGACGGTGGAGTAGGAGTAGTGCCCGAGGAGCCATTAGGGGAGCTCCTTTCCTTGTTTGTTGCCATGTCTTGTAATGATATTGAAAAAGAGTAGAATTTCCCTTGTCCGCTCTCATACCATGTTGGGCTGAGATAGCCCCTTAGGATCTTTGCAAGGGATAACTCTAGGTGAAGTAGTTGTAATAGCGGAAGCGTTTAGTGAAGAATTTGAACCGACCTTGCACTGGTGTGTGAGAGCAAAGTTGATTTGAATTAAACAAGCAAATACAAGGATTTATATAAGAGTACAGAGAATAGATAGATAACTGTATTGCTGTTGCGGTTCGATATAGCGCGACTCGGGCAACTGCTCTGTAACGAGTCAGTTGTGTGTCCTTAACTGTCGCGCTGTAATTGTCGAGTCAAAGGTCAGCGACCTTTGACTTTCTCGTAACCTCCAGGCGGTTACCCTAACCTCCGAGGTTGACTCGATGCTTCGATTGGGACTGCTTCGCTTGGTACCTTGGATTTTGATACGACAGAAGCGTACTTAGGACTTATTGTTTCCAACATCAACAAGGCTAGGAAGCATCTCGAGTTTCAGGATATCGCAGAAATCGCCGTTGATGCTCGTCTTCATGGCTCATACGAATTCCGCAGAACCACTCGCAGCCGCATTCTCAGTTCAGCGGCTATTCGCTGCCAATATTATGAGCCGAGCACTACCAGATTAGTATTTGTCAGTTCGCTCGCATTTATGGTTGCCAGTTTATCTACGCAGCGTTCCAAATTTCGCTCCGAAGATTAGGTCCGAGCTCACGAGTACCCAATCCTTAGCCCTGATGCTTTAGCCGCCTGATTCAGAACGCAAGATACCGAATTGAATCTGTAAGTCTGGCCTTCACCTTTCGAGAATGCTTCAACACGCAGTTGCGCATCTCTTCTTCTTGAGAAGACCATATGCCTCGCTGAATCTGACGACGAGTAGACCGGGAAACGGAGGAAAACTGTGTTGTTTCACTCACGGCGCTCTTTATTGGGATCGCACTTTTTGTTCCCTCAATTTTCAGCGTCAGAAACGCGAGGCGACATGATCAAGGCCGTGCTGATCATCAACAATCAAGGGAAGGCTCGTTTCGCACGCTTCTACGCGAACATCGTAAGCCCGTCGCGAATGTCGTAGGCCTGTCGCAAACGCCGTCATCAGCGTCTTGCCATACTGTTTTTATGAGCCACAAACCTAGAGTTGCTTTCTCCACAGTTTAATCTCAATCCAGCGTGTGACTGGATTCGTGCTTTACCCTGCAGAGCGGGGAGAGGCAGCAACATATAATCCGGCACTCGTTTGAAGGTCAGTTGCGACTTCTTTCTAGTGACAGAAACCATAATTGGGCCCACAAGAGCACCAGGCCCAGTCCTTCTTTCCCTGTGTGACTGATTCAGCGATCCCTTACGTTCTGTAGTGAGTCTCGAGCTCAGCAGTTCTGCTGCTTTCCATACAAAGCGGTCTTAATTTCTCTCTGTTTCCGTTTTTTTTCGTTTCTTACTCCTGTTTTTGTTCTCGGTCGTCTAATCCCCCTCCTGATATTTGTACCCCAGCTGTGGCCTCTCGCCCACCCACTTGGTCTAATATCATTGAGGACTCCAGCAGGTTCGGCAAGGTGAGAGCGGCTCAAGCAGGTTATGTAAGGTGAGAGCAGCTGGAAGCAGGTTCGGCAAGGTGAGAATGGCTCAAGCAGGTTCGGCAAGGTGAGAGTGGCCGAAGCAGGTTAGGCAAAGTGAGAGTAGCTGAATAGGGTTCAGCAAAGTGAGAAAGAGTGGCAAAGCAGGTTCGACAAGGAGAGAACCGCCGAAGCCAGTTTAGCACAGCACAGCGAGAATGAGCAGATGAAGTTATGATACCGTTATTTTGCTGCACAGATTCGGCAACATGAGCCACTTTTGCAATGAACGTGTGTGTGCATGGCTGCTGCGTGGAATAGTTGGCATGGGGTTGTAGGTTTGCAGGACCAGGGGTTAGTTTGGCAATTGGTCCTGAAGTGCTAGATGGGATGGGATGAGCTGAGAATGAGCTGGCTGCTGAGAGTGCTAGTGCCACTGCTCTCTCAGTCGTGCTAGACGCCCCCCCACCCATCTGTATCGCAGAACATCAAGCTGGTGTACCGCACGTTCGCTACGCTCTACTTCATCTTCCTCATTGACAGAGCCGAGAACGAGCTGGCTGTGCTGGACCTTATCCATGGTGAGTAAGGCTCTTCACCCCCCAGGCTCCTCTTGGCCGCCCAGGCTCCTCTTGGCCGCCCAGGCTCCTCTTGGCCGCCCAGGCTCCTCTTGGCCGCCCAGGCTCCTCTTGGCCGCCCAGGCTCCTCTTGGCCGCCCAGGCTCCTCTTATGAGGCGCCTCTCAATCAGACAGAGCAGAGAACGAGCTGGCTGTGCTGGACTGGACCTCATTCATGGTAAGGCCCTTTCTTTCTTCATCCCCCGGGCTCCTCGTTGGGGCGCTTTAGAAACGACTTTCACGCTCTACTTCATCTTCCTCATTGTCAGGGCTGCGAACGAGCTGGCTGTGCTGGACCTCATTCACGGTGAGTGAGGCTCTTTCTATAAGGCCCTTCACCACCCAGGCCCCTCTCTTGAGCTGACTCACAAACAGAGCTGAGAACGAGCATGTCGTGTTAGCCCTCACTCATGGTAGGGTTCTGGGTCTACAGTCATGCCCCCTCACTCCCTCTCTCATCCCCCTGTGTCTTCCCTGCCGATTTTTCCCATCCTCCACTTATGTATATGCAGTGTTTGTGGAGTCGTCCCGTTGGATCGCTTCTACAATAACGCGTGTCGAGTGTGCACCCAGCTTTCCTGACCTCCCTGAACCTCTTAACTCCTCTTGTGCTATTGTGTGCATGCAGTGTTTGTGGAGTCGTTGGATCGCTGCTACAAGAACGTGTGTGAGCTGGACATAGTCTTCAACTTCACCAAGGTAGGTACCACCCGAGCATGATGCCACTACCTTTTGTTTTGTTCTGTTTTTTCTCCTCTTCTTCTTCTTTCCTTTTTCTCGCAATCACAGCCTTGCAAGTTGCTGCCAAGCGTAACGGCATATAAATCATGGCGACTGTGTAGTATACTGTACGATCAGTCTGTGTGGGATGTCATTCGAATAAGCCTGATCCCGTTTTTGCTCCCTGCCAACATGGTTTTGCGTGCAGGTGCATCAGATTCTGAACGAGATTGTGATTGGAGGGCAGGTGCTAGAGGTGACAGTGGATGAGGTGCATCGAGCCGTGCAGGAGATAGAGAGGTGAGTATAACGGTTGGGTATAGGGTGTGTAGTTAGGGAAAACGGGGAGTGCCAGGCGTCACATAAATGCTGGAGGTGACAGTGGACGAAGTGCAGGAGATCGAGAGGTGTGAGAGAGAGGGGGAGAGCATTGAGTGAGCGACTGGTTCTCAACACTCACAAGAGAAAGTGCAAGAGGAACACGGGCTGGTTGGCATTGGAGAAGGATTGAAAGGATGCTCGGTACACATTGAAGGGATGCTATTGAAAGGATGCTCGGTACACATTGAAGGGATGCTATTGAAGGGATGCTCGGTACACATTGAAGGGATGCTCGGTACACATTGAAGGGATGCTCGGTACACATTGAAGGGATGCTCGGTACACATTGAAGGGATGCTCGGTACACCATACATGTGTGCTGGTGGTTTGTTTTGTTACTTTCCGAGTGATCCAAAAGTCACGAGGGCTTGAACAGGTGTTCAGTGCTTGTGCGTGTATGTTTTTGTTTTACACATCACCAACGCAGCTGTGCCTGTATGTGACTGCACACCTCACTGAGTTCATTATCCTCCTCTTGCCTTTCATTCACCCGCTCCCTCCCTCCCTGGAGCACAAGCCAGACACACCAGCAACGCAGCTGCACCTAAAGGTCGCCCCAGCCATGTGTGCGCACTCCTCCAAGTTGATCCATTATTTTTTTAGACGTCTCAAAAGAGTTTTGGGACGTGCTTTGAGACGTCTCAAAACGCAGCTGCACCTAAGGGGCGCCCCAGCCATGTGTGCACAGCACACTCCTCTGAGCTGATTTCTTCTCATTCTGCCTTGCGTTCACCTCCTCCCTCCCTGCCTCACAGGCTTGAGCGGAAGCCAGACACGCCAGCAACACAGCTGCGGCCCAGGGGCGCTCCTCTGCTCTCCTGATTCATTGCTGAAGGGGCATATCTTGTTGACCCCTCTGCCCCGGCTCTCACAAGAATTATGACTTGCCTATTCAAGACAGCAGTGCCTGGATTCTGGTAGACAATCTGGTGATTTGTGTGAAGGCAAAATCTGAGCCTCACGGTAATTAGAATGGCTCAAACACTCATGTTCGAACATTGATTCTGTTTGATCAGCAGGCGTTGGGCACAGCGAATTAGTAATAACGGTAGGCAGAGCGGATGATAAATTTAAATCGCTCTGTGATATTTACACATCAGCCTTAAAACCCGCGTGTAAGGAAATTCCCTTTTCCTTACTTCGCGTCCCTGCCCAGCGCGTACGTCACTGTAGCACCTCAGTCAGCACCGTTACCACTCGCGACTATCGCATCATTCATCATCCCGCCTTTTTCGCACATCGCATCCCGACCTCACGGCTCGGCTGGTAACCCGCGCTCCGGGCCTACGCTTCGACACTTTCCCAACCTCAGTCCCAGGCTCGACGCGCGACAACCACAGTCCATTACCGTTACCACTATTGTTTCGCTATATAATCCTTCGCTCATGCCTTCGCTCATTGTACTTTTGCTTCGATAGTGCAATTCTCGTTCCTTCACTCAATTGCACACGTAACACTTGGTATCAGAGCCTACGATCTCATCTCGGACCGCATCCACACCTTCGCTTCCCACTATCTCAATTTTTTGGGGGGGGTAGACGTCTCTCAGCGACACAGCACCGCCGCTCGAAGTGCTCTCTCGCAAGCACGCACGGCCACGACCGAGGCTCTCGCTGAGCTTGCCCGACACCCCCGCCATGGCCGACCTCAATCTCGCCACGTTGACGCAGGAGCAACTCGATCGTCTCGTGCGACAATTGGAGGATTCGGCGCTTGAAATCGGGACGCTCACGGCGGAACGTGACTCCGCCCGTCAACAGTCAACGGTGAATGCTCCGACAACATCCCACGCACCAACCAATGTCTCTGTACATTCGGAGGAGCCGATTATCATTTCATCCGGCACACCAACGCAACACAACAGCACGGGACAGCGCTCAGGCGCAGCCAGTGACGGCGCAGCCCAACCGATGCCCGGCATGGGAGGGAACAGGAGCACGCTAAGCCCACGGGAGCCCCGAGAAGCCCGTCGGCACGTGGAGTTCGCGACGACAAGTGGTGAAAACGCCATGATGGCCCCAATGCCACTCAAGCCGCAACGCCCGCCCTGCTTCGACCCAAGCCAACGCGGCGGCCCGACAGTTCAATCGTGGGTCTTCACGATGAATGTGTTTTTCGACGCCAACTACGTCGAGTCGGACGCCGCCAAGATTCGGTATGCGGTTTCACTACTCAGGGGCCCCGCCATGGACTGGTGGCGAGTCATCGTGACGTCGCCACGCGCCTACGAGCCACCGTCGCACGAGGAAGGGCCCTCGGGTCCAGCTGTCACCTGGAGTTCGTTCTGCGAAACAGCCCAATACAGCACGTGGGATGCGTGGTGCGCAGGGCTTCGGGCGCGTTTTGAGCCGATCGCGGCTTCGATTTCGGCGCGTCAGAAACTGCGCACTTGGCGCCAGCTCGGGTCGGTTCAAGACTACACCAGCGGTTTTCTCGCACTTTGCGAACAGGTCGGCTACATGCACGAGGCGGAGCGGGTGGACCGTTACGTCGGAGGGCTGAAGCCGGACATATCGCACGAGATAATGCTACGCGGGCTATCGAATTTCAACGAAATCCTCGCGCTCGCCGAGAAAATCGATATCCTACGCCGACCGAGACCGGGGTCCTATTTCGGACATCGCCCTCGGGGACCGATCGAGCACGCCACTGTACATGCCGTCGCAACGAATGCAGCTGCCACGCCATTTAGAGGGCGCTGCTTTGCTTGCAACCGGCCGGGCCATCGCAAGAGCGAATGTCCAGAGGAGCTGAGGCGTCGAGGAGCAGAGCAGGGGAAGGAGTCTCAGAGGCAGGGAAACGCCAGCAGTCAGTAGAAGTTGGGCCAACTACTGACGAGACTGCCTGCTCGCCCAACCACACCGACCCTCACCGAGTCACAGTACCGATTCACGCCATCGATCGGGCTCGGATGAATAAGGAGGGTACAGCGACGGATTGCCCGGTACTGATCTACGGGAAAATACAGGGAGCAGCAGTGAAAATCTTCATTGACGGAGGAGCAAGTCACAGCTTAGTTAATACTGCAACCGCACGGAAATTACAGTTAACACTTAACCGATGTTTACCTGAGATAGATGCACGCTTAGTCGACGGCACGCCTTTGGCCATACGAGAAAAAGTGGAGCGAGTAAAAGTCCGCTGCGGGGGAAACTTCGGGTTTACACAGGGAATGCTCGCAACGACGCTGGATGGGCACGACATTTTACTGGGACGTGATTGGCTGCGACGGTACAACCCACGGATCGACTGGACGACGGGGAGCTGCACAGTGCGAAGTAGCGGTAACTGGGTCGTCCTACCTCGCTGGCGGCCACCCGAATCTTCGACAGTCCAGGTCAACGCCATCGCGATGAAACGGGCTGTCGCTGCTGGAGCTGACGTGTACGCAGTGGATATCGCAGTGGTAGAAAAAGACGAGCAGCAGAACGATTTACAGAAACTGCTAGCAGCCGTACCGACCGAATTACAAGCACTACTGAAACGGTTCCCGGGGATATTTCCGGATGATTTACCACAGGGACTGCCACCTCAGCGAGCGCACGACCATAGGATCGAGCTAGAACCGGGGGCACAGCCAACAGTACAGCGGCAATTTCGACTGACACAGCCCGAGCTCGACGAGTTAAGGAAGCAGTTAGATTACCTGTTAGAGAAGCAGTTTATTCGACCGAGCTCGTCACCGTTCGCCGCACCCATACTGTTCACACCGAAAAAAGATGGAGGTTTTTGCATGTGCATCGACTACCGAGCGCTTAACCGAGTAACAGTCAAATCGCGATACCCCATCCCCCGCGCCGACGAACTGATTGACCAACTACGAACAGCACGTGTCTTTTCGAAAATAGATTTACGAGGAGGTTACCATCAGATTCGCGTCGAACCATCGGACTGCGCAAAAACAGCATTTAGGACTCGGTACGGGTCATTCGAGTATACAGTAATGCCCTTCGGGTTGACGAACGCGCCTGCGACTTTTCAGATGACCATGAACGAGGCATTTAGGCCACTTTTAGATAAATGCGTCATCGTTTACCTAGACGATATCCTCGTTTACAGTCGGGATAGGCAGCAACACTTAGCAGATCTTGAAGCAGTTTTTAAGGTTTTAGAGGAACATCGGCTGCTCACCAAGGGCTCCAAGTGCGAGTTTTTTAGGGATAGGCTAGAGTTTTTAGGTCACGTCATTTCAGAGGCTGGGGTTGAGATTGACCCAAAGAAGCTGGACACGGTAAAAGCGTGGCGCCCCCCGACGAACATCACGGAACTGCAGAGTTTTTTAGGGTTTGTTAATTACGTTCGACGGTTCGTGCCCGACATGGCACGTTTAACCGCCCCACTAACTGATTTACTGCGTAAGGGGGTCGCTTTTACGTGGGGGGAGAAAGAGCATGCTGCCTTCTCTGCCCTAAAAAACGTTCTCTGCTCACCACCCGTCCTACGCATCGCTGATCCCCACCGCCCTTTCGAAGTGGTTACCGACGCAAGTGACATCGCCATCGGAGCTGTACTGTTACAGGACTTCGGCAACGGCCTCCAACCCATCGCCTACGAATCACGAAAACTACATCCGCCTGAGCGAAATTATCCGATACACGACCGCGAAATGCTCGCGATCGTGCATGCATTCAAAGTTTGGCGCTGCTACTTGACTGGCGCAGACGTGACAGTACGGACAGACCACCGATCTCTACAGTACCTCCGCGCACAGCCCCACCTCAGCCCACGACAGATTCGATGGCTCGATTTCCTCGAGTCGAATTTTCACTATACGGTCACATACAAAAAAGGAGCATCGAATATCGCCGACGCACTGACCCGCCCCACTGCCCAGATCCACGCGATACTACTCGCCCAGACCAGCCCACTGCTTATCGGCCTATTTACCCACGGATATCAAACAGACCCGTTCTTTACAGGAGGCAACTCACAGCAATTCGCAGCGGCAAAAGGAGTCTATTACGTAAAAACTGGAACCGACCGCATCTGGGTACCGGGATACACGTTACTTCGGGAACTACTGTTACAGGAAGCACACGACGGAGTTACCTCGGGACATTTCGGGGTAGAAAAAACACGGCAGCAGCTGCAGCGGTACTACTACTGGCCAGAAATGTTGACTGACGTGCAACGACACGTGGCATCGTGTCCCACTTGCCAGCTCATGAAGACAAGCAGGAAGCGACCAGCAGGGCAATTACAACCCATCCCGCCTCCAGAGCGTGCTTGGCAGCAGGTGACGATGGACTTCGTCACGGGGTTACCAGCTGGGGCGAGTGGGAATGACGCGATCCTGGTCGTCGTCGATCGACTAACGAAAATGGCTCATTTCGCAGCATGCAGGAAATCCATCACAGCCGAGGAAACCGCCCGACTATTCATCTCCACCGTCGTACGCCTGCACGGGATACCCGCGTCGATCATCAGCGACAGGGACACGAAATTCACCAGCAACTTCTGGCGGAACCTGTGGCAGCAGTTCGGCACGCGCTTACAGTTCAGTTCATCCTATCACCCCGAAACCGACGGACAGACGGAACGGACAAATCAGACCATGGAGCAGCTGATTCGAGCCACGTGCGACGACCCGAATACGTGGGAACAGCAACTGCCACTCATTGAGTTCGCATACAATAACGCACCATCAGCCACGACGCAACAGTCGCCGTTTTATCTAAATTACGGACAGGACCCAACAGTACCCATGACACCGAATCCCGACAACCCCGTCCCACGAGCACAACAGTTCGCCGAGATCCTGCAAGCAGCACGGACCAGGGCAGCAGAAGCAATAAAAAAATCAAACATCATCGCTAAACGCAACGCCGATCGACATCGCAGACCCGTTACTTATCAGCCCGACGACCTCGTTTTACTCGACACTCAGAACCTTCGCCTGCCCATCACTCCAAAACTTCGCCCCCGATATTGTGGGCCATTTCGCATCAGCCACATGATCACACCCGTCACCGCCCACCTCCTCCTCCCCGCTGACTGGTACGTCAGCCCGTCATTCCACGTCAGCCTACTTCGCCCTTACATCCCATCCACGAGCCAACTGCCACGAAATCGCCCAGCCAGCATGACACGTCCCCCAACCGAACCACTCATCACCCCTGAAAAAATCCTCAGCCACCGCGTCCGCGACCCTCGGGGAGCCCGAAGGATCGAGTTCCTAATTCGCTGGAAGGACCGAACGCCCACAGAAGACAACTGGGTCCCCCTGGATAAAATTGAGAACCACCCTGTCTTCACCGAGTATCTGCGAAGCCGAAATTTCCGCGACGTCCATGCGCTCTCGTAAGAGGGGCCTCCTTGGGGAGGGGGGTAGTGTAAGGAAATTCCCTTTTCCTTACTTCGCGTCCCTGCCCAGCGCGTACGTCACTGTAGCACCTCAGTCAGCACCGTTACCACTCGCGACTATCGCATCATTCATCATCCCGCCTTTTTCGCACATCGCATCCCGACCTCACGGCTCGGCTGGTAACCCGCGCTCCGGGCCTACGCTTCGACACTTTCCCAACCTCAGTCCCAGGCTCGACGCGCGACAACCACAGTCCATTACCGTTACCACTATTGTTTCGCTATATAATCCTTCGCTCATGCCTTCGCTCATTGTACTTTTGCTTCGATAGTGCAATTCTCGTTCCTTCACTCAATTGCACACGTAACACCGCGTCTCATATTTCCTCTTTCCAACCAAGAGTAATACGCTCGAAACCGGGTAACCTCACAAGTCAGTCGGAACTTTGTTGGGTTTGGTTGGGAGCACCTGTGATTGGTTGCAACCCCATCAGGTTGGCGAAGGGTGACGCACGACTACCCAACCATATTTGCGAGGAACACACCACCTTGTGCGACGACGTTAGGGAACACAAAGAAGCAAGCGTATTACCACAGCAGAAAAATATGAGACTGCAAACCCAGACAGGTTGTAGGTGGCGGAGGACCGATTTCTCAAGCGACTAAGTCTTATTTCAGCATCTTCTTTCCCCTGATTTTTTTCGAGCGTCAAACGTGACAATATGCAATACTTCTCGTTGGTCACTCCGCGCCTGCTTTTACTTTTACGCACGTACAGTCCGTCCATCGCCAGAGCTGGTCCTCATTATTGCAGTAAGATGCAACACTCTATTTGGACCAAGGTGTACTGCAGTGACGCTCCCCCCTGTCGAATTTGGACGGAAGGGACACGACGGAAAGGCAGCAGTTAGGACGAGGTAGGAAGGGACGCGACGGAAAGGCAGCATTTAGGACGAGGTAGTAAGCGACGCGACGGAAAGGCGAGGGTTAGGACGAGATAGGAAGCGACGCGACGGAAAGGCGAGGGTCAGGACTAGATAAACAGCGACGCGACATTACAGGAAGCGACGCGACATGGCTGGAAGCGAAGAGATACTGTAATATTATAGTTATTTTACCTCATATTAGTATTCACTAATGTAGGCTTGACTCTAGCGAATACGTAGCGGAGGTTCTCGCCTCGAATCTGCCTATTTTTAACCTCGTTATTCTTCCATTCAGTACTATCTCATTCTTTCTGCCCACGCCTTAGTGATGTACTTATCATAAAATGGCACATCAACTTTCCAACAAGTACCTCTTTATGCGTTAGTAAGCACCTCGCTGACACTGCGAGGGATGGCTGTGGTCATTCTGTTGCTTAGTGCGACATTAGCGGGGAAACTTAAATGGATGATGCTGGAATGAACGGTAACGGGGGAGTTGAGATGAACGGTCAGGATGAACGTATGGCTGACGTCAACGGCTTAGATGCAGCTGAAACAAGGAAAGCGGAGATAGAACCTGCTCGTAGAGGCGCTGGCGAAATTGACCCAGGTAACACTGGCGAAACGGGTCCTATTAACGCTGGCGAAATGGACCCTAGTAACACCGGCGAACCTGACCCGGGTAGCATTGCAGTGCTGAAAACAGTTGACGAAAGCGTCAGGACGGCGCGCGAGGCTGAAACGAAGGGGGGTGACGAAACTAGGGACGACGGGAGGATCGAGGCAGGAGCGGAAGCAGAACGAGGTGAGAGGAAATCAGCGGGAAGAAGGGGAGAAGAGAGGGAAGCTGGGGAAGAGAAGGGGAGTGAGGAGAGGCAGGGCGAAGGCACTCCTAGGAGAGACGCTGGGGTTGAAGGACAAGAGGAAGGGACGCAGCAGCAGGAAGGAGAGCAGCAGGTGGAAGGAGAGCAGCAGGAGAAAGACAAAAAGCAGGTCCAAGAGGAGGAGGAGAAGGAGGAGCAGGAGGAGCAGGAGGAGCAGGAGGGGCAGGAGCAGGAAGAGGATGAGGATGAGGAGGAAGAGAAAGAAAAGCAGCAGCTAGTGGGCGCTAGGGAGAGCAGTAGGAAGGGCGACAGGGACGGCGGCGGTGGCAGCGGAGTGAAGCGGGGGCTGCGGTCAGTGATGGCAGGGCGTTTCCAACATTACTCGGCACTCAAGAGCAAGCGCCGGCGACGACTGGAACAGAGGAGCTTCCAGGAGTTCTTCCTCGCGGGGGGGGAGGGGGAGGAGGCGGGGGAGGGGGAAGAAGAGAGGGAGAGGGGGGATGCGGAGGGGTTGGGTGGGGGAGAGGGGGATGGGGAGTTAATGGGAGATGGGGAGGGGGATGGAGAGAAGGAAGCGGAAGGGGAGGAGGATGAGGTTGGTGTTGCTGTGGGGGAGGATGAAGGGGATGGGGACGGGGGGAGTGAGAGTGATGGGGTGGAGGAGGTAGAGCAGGAGGAGGAGGGAGAGGAGGGCGAGGGGGAGGAGGAGGAGAAGGAGGAGGAGGAGATGAAAGAAAGCGGAGCTCTAGAGGGGGAGAGGAAAGAGGAAGGGGACGAGGAAGGCCGGGTGGAGGAAGAGAGGGACGGGATGGTTGAGGTAGCTGATACGGGTTTGGGAACAGCAGGGAGTGGAGCGGATAAGCTAAGAGGCTCTCGGAAAGCTGTGGTGGGGAAGAGGGAGGAGAAAAGGCGAGAGAGGGAAGTGAGGTCGCAGCCGGTGGTGGAGGAGAAAGGCGAGGGGCAGAGGACACTGAGAAGGAGAGAGCAACCGAAACGAACCCAGCAGAGCAAGCAACAGCAGAAGCAGCAGCAGCAGCAGCAGCCACAGAAGCAGCAGAGGCGGCAGGGGAAGAAGCAGACGGGTAAAGCGAAACAGGCAGCAGCGGCGAAAGCAAAGGCAGGGCGAGCAGCAGCAGCGAAGGGAAAGCGGGAGGCGGAGAGGCAGGAGGAGCACGATGCAGAGGTGGCACGGGCGGTAGGGTTCCCTCCGGATGGGCTGAGGGAGGACGAGGAGGAGGCGGGTGTGTTTCGCAGTGGTACAAGTGGGGAGGAGGGCGTGTATGTGCGCATGCGGAATCGGATTTTGGCGCTTTGGAGGCGGAATGTGAATGGGTGGATACACGATGACAAGGTGGGTTGGGTGAGGGGGACGCAGTAGGGATTGGGAAGAGGGAGTGGGGAAGAGAGTGTGTGTATGTATGTATGTGCGAGTGAACGGTGCGGAGGGGTTTCCCCTGGATGGGTTGAGGGAGGATGAGGAGGAGGCTGGTGTGGTGCGCAGTGGCACGGGGGGCAGTGGGGAGGAGGGTGTGTATGTGCGCATGCGCAACCGTATACTTGCGCTGTGGAGGCGGAATGTGAACGGGTGGATACATGAAGACAAGGTAGGGAGAGAAAGGAAGAGATAGCGAGAGAGAGCTGGCAGTTGGGTGGGGAGCGTGTATGTGCGCATGAGAAACCGGATTTTGGCGCTTTGGAGGCGGAATGTGAATGGGTGGATACACTCGAGTGACTTTTGAGAATTCTCAAAAGATTCACGAGGACAAGGTGGGTGGGAGGAGAAAGAGAATGGTGCGGTGTGGGTGGGAGGAGGATAGGTGCGAATGAGAAACTGTTTATTGGCGCTCAGGAGGCGGATTTACCAGAACAAGGTAAGTGGAGTGAGGGATGGGGATGGGGGAGAGGCGAGGAACATTTATATGTGTGCGTGAGGGAGTATGCGTATGTGTGCATGCCTCTCCATCCCCCAAACCTCCTCACCCGCTCTCTCCCCCCAAATTCCAATGTCTTCAGCTACTAAGCAGCACACCAGCAGCCGAGTGGGAAGCAACAAGAGCAGCCTTCACCTTTCTCCATCTGCGTGGTTTCATCAACTGGGGCCTGTCGCGTACCGCCACATCCGCCATCCCTCGCCGCCCCTCCCTGCCCCACGTCATCGTCCTCGGTGCTGGCCTCGCAGGCCTTGCTGCAGCGCGCCAGTTGATGGTTCTCGGGCATCGGTGAGTGCTGTGGTTGAGTGGGTATTTCGAGCCGCCCCTCCCTGCCCCACGTCATCGTGCTCGGCGCTGGCCTTGCAGGCCTTGCAGCAGCGCGCCAACTACTAGCCCTGGGCCACCGGCGAGTGCTGCGGCCGGCTGAGTGCGGTTTTGAGGCCAGCTATGTTGATGTAACATCAAAAGTATGTTGAGAATTTTCAAAAGTAACATCAACATAATCGGTAAGTGCTGCTTTTTGAGAGTTCTCAAAAGTAACAACAACATAACCGGTGAGTGCTGCGGCCGGCTGAGTACGAATTTGAGGCGCTTAAAACTAACAATAATTCGGGCCTCTCTCGCACGGTCGTCAGCCACTGTGGCCATTCCTCGGCCATTCCGTGGCCATTCCTCGGCCATTCCGCGGCCATTCCTCGGCCATTCCTCGGCCATTCCTCGGCCATTCCTCGGCCATTCCTCGGCCATTCCTCGGCCATTCCGCGGCCATTCCTCGGCCATTCCTCGGCCATTCCTCGGCCATTCCTCGGCCATTCCGCGGCCATTCCTCGGCCACTGTAAAAGCTCGCAACCGGCACTCTTATCTTGGATGCTCTCTTTCTCCCCCCTGCCTTCTTGCCCTGTCTACCGCCTGATCTGTTCCCATAAAAGTGACAGTGATAGAGGCGCACAAGAAACCAACCCTCATGTCTAACATTTCTGTCTCTCTTATCGTCTTCCTCTGATCTATTCCCATCAGGGTGACAGTGATAGAGGCTCGCAACCGCCCCGGAGGGCGAATGCACTCCAAGCTGCTCTCCTCGCCTCCAGGCCCCAACCAGGTGGGTCAACATGTGGTGACATAGTGGTGACATAGTGGTGACATTCGATTTCTGAGGTACCTTGGAACATTCCAAGCTGCTCTCCTCTCCTCCAGGCCCCAACCAGGTGGGGCAGTAGGTGGTGCAGATGGCATGCGGTGCAGGTGACATGTGTGGGATGCGGGCGTAAAGTGGGTGGGTGGCAAGCAGGTGGACCACGGAACTGTGTTTTTTCGATTGGAGTGAGCGCGGAGACATGGTACCTTTGCACCACACTCATTATCCCCGCCCCATCCTCTTCTTTGCGCTTTCCCCTCTCCCAGGTAGCAGTGGCAGCGTTTTTTGAGGCGCCTCAAAACTCTTCTTTGCGCTTTCCCCTCTCCCAGGTAGCAGTGGCAGCGGAACTGGGTGGTTCGATTCGATCGTCACCGGCATCCTCAGCAACCCTTTGAGCGTCCTAGCTCGTCAACTCCCCATCCCTCTGCACCGCTTTCATTAACCTCCCAACCCTGCTCTCCCATTTTCACCATGTCTCTCCGCTTCCCTCTCCCTGCTCTCCCCCCAGGTAGCAGTGGCAGCAGAGCTGGGCGGATCGATCGTCACTGGCATCCTCGGCAACCCTCTGGGAGTCTTGGCCTGCCAGCTCGCAAACCCTCTGCACTACATTCACTACCCCCCAACCTCCCTGCCTTTCCCAACACCCTGTTCCCCCTACGCCCTTCCCTTCCCCTCCCAAGTGGCAGTGGCAGCAGAGCAAGGCGGTTCTATCGTAACAGGCATTCTCAGCAACCCTCTGGGCGTCCTAGCTCGCCAGCTCGCCATCCCTCTGCACCGCTCTGCATCCATTGCGCCTGCTCTCTATCCCCCTCTGTGCCTCCCACCAGGTGGCAGTGGCAGCGGAGCTAGGCGGGTCGATCGTCACAGGCATTCTCGGCAACCCTCTGGGAGTCTTGGCCCGCCAGCTCGCCATCCCTCTGCACCGCATTCGCGACGCCTGCCCGCTCTACCGCCCGGACGGGCTGCCCGTGGATGAAAAAGCTGACCGGGTGGCAGAGGCAAGATTCAACGTGATGCTGGACTTAGCTTCAGAGAGGAGAGCGGAGATGGAGGGGGTAGCAGATCAGATCTCCCTTGGGAATACCATGGAGTTTGTTCGGCAGCAAGCGGTGCAGGCTGTATCTGAGGAAGGTGGAGCAGCCTCGGGAGCAGCAACAGCAGCAGCAGCCGCAGCAACAGCAGCAGCAGAAGCAGCAGCAGCAGCAGCAGTAGCAGCAGGACCACCAGCAGCAGCAGCAGCACAACCAGCCAGAGTCCAAGAAACAGAAGAGGAACAAGAGCTAGTGCAGTGGCACTATGCGAACCTCGAGTTTGCCAACGCAGCCCGTGTAGCGGACCTCTCTCTGGCCTTCTGGGACCAGGACGACCCCCACGAGCTGCTGGGCCACCACTGCTTCGTGGCGGGCGGCAACGGGCAGCTTGTGGATGCCCTGGCGGACGGGCTGCCCGTGGTGTATAACTGTGCGGTGGAGAGGGTTGAGTATGGGATAGGGAGGAGTCGAGAAGGGGACGAGCCGGTTTCAGCAGAGGCAGGAGGGGGAGGAGCAGGAGGTGGAGCAGGAAGAGGAGGAGGCGGGGGAGAGGGGGGAAAGGAAGAGGAAGTGGGAGGGGAGGGGAGAGCGGCGGCGGGGGGAGTGAGGGTGGTGTGTCGGGACACGAGGAGTGGGGAGGAGGTGGAGTATGAGGGGGACCATGTGCTCTGCACGCTGCCGCTGGGAGTGCTGCAGAGGGGGTCCGTGTCCTTCCACCCGCCGCTGCCTCTCAGGAAGACACGTGCCATCCATAGGCTGGGCTTCGGGCTCTTGAATAAGGTTAGGTTCCTGTGAGTGTGGTGTGGTGTGGTGTGGTGTGGTGTGGTGTGGTGTGGTGTGGTGTGGTGTGGTGTGGTGTGGTGTGGTGTGGTGTGGGGTGTGGTGTGGTGTGGTGTGGGGTGGGGTGTGGTGTGGTGTGGTGTGGTGTGGTGTGGTGTGGTGTGGGGTGGGGTGTGGTGTGGTGTGGTGTGGGGTGTGGTGTGGGGTGTGGTGTGGTGTGGGGTGTGGTGTGGGGTGTGGTGTGGGGTGTGGTGTGGGGTGTGGTGTGGTGTGGGGTGTGGTGTGGGGTGTGGTGTGGGGTGTGGTGTGGTGTGGTGTGGTGTGGGGTGTGGTGTGGTGTGGTGTGGGGTGTGGTGTGGTGTGGGGTGTGGTGTGGTGTGGGGTGGGGTGGTGTGGTGTGGTGTGGTGTGGAGTGGGGTGGGGTGGTGTGTGTGGTGTGGTGTGGTGTGGAGTGGGGTGGGTTGGTGTGGTGTGGTGTGGTGTGGTGTGGCGTGGTGTGATGTGGTGTGGTTGCATGGTGTCAGGCTTGGTGGATGTCGCCACACCACACTTCTCATCACAATTCGCCTCAGAGCTCTTAGAGGGCTATATCCGTGTGACTTTTGAGAATTCTCAAAAGAGAACCTCCATGCCTTTCCACCCGCCCCTGCCTAACAGGAATAACTTCTTCGTTCTAGTACCCTCCCTGTGCCTGCACACTCTCACCCGCATCCCTCCCCTTTCTTTCTCTTTCCCTTGCTCTTCCCCTATGTTTTCTGGGACACCACCATCGACACCTTTGGTTGCCTCAACTCGTCAGCTCATGACACCTTTGGTTACCCTCTCCACATCCCTCTTCTCTCCCGTCTCCTCTTTCCTCCCCATGTAGGTAGCAATGCTCTTCCCGTATGTCTTTTGGGACACCACCATCGACACCTTTGGTCGCCTCACATCGCACCCCTCGCAGCGGGGCGAGTTCTTCCTCTTCTACTCCTACGCTGCTGTCTCGGGCGGCGCGCTGCTCATGGCTCTGGTCGCGGGGGAGGCTGCAGAGAAGTTTGAAGGAGAGAAGTCGGATGCGCTCATGTGGCGGGTGCTGACAGTGCTCAAGAGTGAGTGGGCCCTGCTCCTCAAATACCATTTGGGGTCCGCTTTTGAGTCGACTCAAAATGCAAGTGGGACTCCTTTTCCATGGAGTTGAGCTGAGTAGCTTTAGGCGAGTCCTTTGTTTTCTACTCCTACACTGCTGTCTCGGGCGGCGCGCTGCTCATGGCGCTCGTTGCGTTGCGGGGGAGGCGGCTGAGAAGTTTGAGGGGGAGAAGTCGGATGCTCTCATGTGGCGGGTGCTGACGGTGCTCAAGAGTGAGTGCATCGCCTAGTGCCCCTCCCTCATTTCTCTTGCGCCACCTGGGTTTGAGAGTTGAAGCAAGTGCGTCGAAGGGGAGAAGTCAGATGCGCTCATGTGGCGCGTTCTGACTGTGCTCAGGAGTGAGTGGGCCCTGTTCCTCATGTGCGCGTGGCGACCCTCCCCTCCGGGCCCTCCCCACCCATCCCTCCAACAGAGATTCACGAGCCCAAGGGCATAGCTGTACCACACCCTCTGCAGTGTGTGTGCACGCGGTGGCGCAGCGACCCGTATGCGGGGGGCTCGTACTCGTACGTGCGCGTGGCAGCCTCGGGGGATGATTACGATACACTGGCAGAGAGCGTGGACGAGCGGCTCTTCTTTGCTGGCGAGGTGAGATTGTGATGGTTCGCAGTGAGTGACTTCAAACTAGGTGCGTTGATTGATAATCAATGTCTTTGTGCGCGTGGCGGCATCAGGAGACGATTACGATACACTGGCAGAGAGCGTGGACGAGCGACTCTTCTTTTCTGGCGAGGTTCGTACCACACATTTGAGAGGACTAGATGCACGTGTGAGCTTCACATGTGTCCCTGAATGTGGCGGCATTGAGGGACTACCGAACACGATACATACACTGGCAGAGAGTGTGGACGAGTGGCTCTTTCTCTCTCGCTGGCGAGGTGAGCTTATGACGGGGGTTGCAGTGAGATATGGTGAGATCGCGGTGTGATTGCTGTGATACGGTGAGATGGCAGTTGGGTGCCCCACAAAGGAGTTGTGTTCCGTGCCGGCTCAAAACTAGGGGCACTGTGTGAGCGCTTCTGTGCCACCTTGTGGCATCACCTGCTTAGCGCTCATCCACACATGCAGACGCCCTCACCCTCCCTCTGCCTTACTCTATCTTCCTCTCCTCTTCAGGCCACTAGCCGCCACTACCCCAGTACCTACCATGCACGGATCATTTTTTTCCGTTCACATGCACACGCGATCCTTCTCTCTCCTTGTTTATTTCTCTCCCTTCGTTCCATTCTCTCTGCTCTCCTGCAGGCCACGAGTCGTCACTACCCCGCCACCATGCACGGAGCGTGTTTCAGCGGCCTCAGAGATTACAATCAGACACACTCACACACAGTATGAGCACGCCCTCGAACTCATTCTCTAGCTCCTTCTTTCTTCCTCTCCCCTTCAGGCCACGAGTCGTCACTACCCCGCCACCATGCACGGAGCCTGTTTCAGCGGCCTTAGAGAAGCAGCCAAGATCAACCAAGTCGCCACGGCTGCCGAAGCTGCCCGGGCAGCTAAAGCAGCGCGGGATACTCAAACCGCACCTGCTGGCACCACCACAGGGAAAAGCACACCCATGAGCACAAGTGCAGGCATATCAACCCCAAGCAAGAGCCCCAGCACGAGCACAGCACCTGCAGACACAGCTGCACACACAACCTCAGGCAAGGGCCCGGCCACGGGCATGGTGAGCAAGGGCACAGGCATGGGGGCAGAAGCAACATCGCCAGCAGCAGCAGGAGCAGCAGCAACTCCAGCGGTGGGCATGGGCATGCAGATGGCGGTGTGTCTGCTGGATGCTCTGTTCAGCGATCCTGACCTCGAGTTTGGTGCCTTTGCTGTTCTCTTTGACCCCCGCGGCTGCCAGCCTGACCGCGCTGCTGTGCTGCGCATCACACTTAGGAAGGATGCCTTCTTGCCAAGGCTACCCGCTGCTCCTGCTGCTGCTGCTACTGCTGCTTCTGTCCCTGCTGCTGCTGCTGCTGCCTCTCCAGCAAGAGTGAGTGAAGATGCAGCAGCAGTAGCTGCAGCGAAGGAAGCAGCAGGGAGGCGAAAGGCAGAGGCTGCGAGAGAATGGGGTCCTGCAGTAAACACTCCCGTGTCACAAACCCATGTGGAGAAAAATGAGAGTCAATCAAGCCATCCATTAAAGGAAGCAGAAAATAAGCCATCTAGCACTACTCTACCTCCCCCACCGGCTGCTGCTGCAGCCAACACCACATGGCCCCTTCCCCAGATGACCCTGCACACAGTTGTCACCCGCCACCAGGCCTTGCTGCTCCGGGAGGTTCGGGGGAGTGATGCGGCTCGGCTGGCGATCCTGACGAGCAGGTTCGGGGTGAAGCTGGTGGGGAGGCGCGGGCTGGGGCAGATGGGGGAGGAGGTGTTAGAGGCAGTAAGGGAAGCGAGAGCTGCTAGCAGGAGGAAGCTTGGTGTGATTTGACTAGGTGCTTTGGTATAGGCTCATACGGTAGTTGAAATGGGCTGGGGCGGGGCAGATGAGGGAGGAGGTGGTGGACGCAGTGAGGCAGGTGAGACCTGCTAGCAGGAGGAAGCTTGGTGTGATTTGACAAGGTGATTTGGTATAGGCCCCAATAGTTGAAATGGGCTGGGCTGGAGCAGATGGGGGAGGAGGTGCTGGAAGCTGTGAGGGAGGCGAGACCTGCTAGCAGGGAGGAGGCTTGGTGTGATTCGACCTCGTTCGAGGAGGAGTTTGGCTTGCGGTATGGGCTCATGCGGGAGGAATGGTCTGGTTGGGAATCAAGATGGGTAAGATGGGGGAGGAGGTGCTGGAGGGATTGTATATACCATTGTTAATATCTTTATATTTGAATGTGCAATGAGAGGTCGAATTGATTGATGGCTAGTGGAAGGGGTGGTTAAATTTTTTTTTTTTCAATGCAGGTATGACCTGGGAGCCAGCCAACCTGGGGGTTTTCTCATAGGCTGATGCTTTTAGTTTGGGAATGTGCAGTGGATGGGTGCGTTTATGAAATAAAATAAAACTTGAATTGTAGCTATGCGTTTCGCCTTGCCTCATTCCCTTCTGCCGCGTATTGGGGTATCGGGATTTGTTATGGGCAGCATTGTAGGTTCTGGCCTGGCCTGGACCCAGCCAAACCAATGGATGGTTTGCCCTTGGAACGCGTTGGTGGTGGTCTGTGCGACCATGCGATTGACTGTGAGACGATGCGAGAGCAACGAAAGTGTGCGAGCAGCGAAATTTGTTCGAGTGGGCCAAAAACTTGCAATAATGCAGGTGTGCGTGCTGTGATAGGCTCCGCTACTGCTGACTTCATACCCAGATCAGTCGCCGCATTCTTCGCCAAAGTGACGCATCAATAAGTGACGCAGGCGCTCTTCAGCGGCGCCCCTGGGAGCGTCCCGGACTTCGTCTCTAAATCACCCGCTCGCTAGAGCAGCCATGGAATCATCTCTTCCGCCTCCGTTTCTGTGCCATATCCTGCTGCATTTTAAACCGGTAGTAGCGCCAGCAGCTGTACCAAGAACCGCTTTACCTACCACTACTAGTAGCCTCGAGTTGTACCAAGAACCTCATCAGTTCAAAATCACCTCGGCGTTGCGCTATTCAGTGCACATCCGTCACGCGTGCCACCCCAGAGCCGGTCGATTGGCCGACGGAGGCTCAAGTCACTCGGTTGTGCGTGCTCAGGTCAAGCAGCTGACGTGGCAGCTCGACCGCAATGGCCACCTTTCCTTCCGCGCTGCTTCCGCTCCTCATCCTTTCCGTCATCATTGGAGGCGAGTCGTTGGGTTTATTGGAGGCGAGCCGTTTCTGTCCTCTCTACATTGAAGTTATATTTGAGGCGCCTGAAATATACCGTCGTCATTGGAGGCGAGTCATTTCTCTCCTCTGCTTCTCTTGGGGTTTCTGGGTTGAGAAGCGCGCACGCTTGTTTCCCTCTCACCCCTCTGCTCCCTCTCACCCCTCTGCTCCCTCTCACCCCCTCTGCTCCTTCTGCCTCCAGTGGCCGCAATGGCTCACGTGGCGGCAGGCGAAGGCACGGATCGCCTGAACGGCCATGTGCAAGTGAGCAGCGCGCGCAACAATGTGGCTTTTGAGGCGCCTCAAAAGGCAGGCGAAGGCACGAATCCCCGGAACGCCCATGTGCAAGTGAGCAGCGCGGGCTCCACTGTGGCGGCGAGGAGGAGCATCAAAAGCGATGGCACGACAGCAGGAAGCAAGAACTTGAGCATGGGAGTGGGGTTGGGTGTGGGGTTGGGGGTGAGGGTGGCGGGCAGTGGCGGCACAGGCGGAGCAGTGGGCGCGAGCGTGCAGGTGGCGACGCAGATCACGGTGCCAGGCGTCAGCCTGCCCGTCAGCTTCGACGCCCTCCGCTGCTTCACCCTTCCCCGCGCAGCGGCTAAGGCGGCGCGGGACGTGCAGGTGTGGTGGCATGGGCTGGCGGGTAACAGCAAGGGCGGCAGCAAGGGTGCGGCGTGCAAGCAGCTGCGGTTCTTTGCCAACCCCGCCTGCAAGGGCAAGGCGCTGGATGAGGTGCTCAAGCCGCAATACGCCGGCCTGCGCAAATTCTTCCACGTGCCCAGGTGGGTGTTGGGGCAGCCTGGCAGGTGGGTGGGTCATGGGGGTTAGGTGGCTTCTATTGGGTTGTGCCTCTGTAAAGTGTTTCTAACGTCTGATCTTGTTCTAAACTTTTAATTTGAACGTGCTTTTGACGTTTGCAGCAAGAAGAAGGTCGCCCGATGGACTTCTGTTGCTTGCCAGCCTGGTGCGTGCCTTGCCTCCATGCCTCCATGCCACCTTGCCATCATGCCACCTTGCCTCCATGCCTCCATGCCACCTTGCCATCATGCCACCTTGCCTCCATGCCTCCATGCCACCTTGCCATCATGCCACCTTGCCTCCATGCCTCCATGCCACCTTGCCATCATGCCACCTTGCCTCCATGCCTCCTTGCCACCTTGCCATCATGCCACCTTGCCTCCATGCCTCCATGCCACCTTGCCATCATGCCACCTTGCCTCCATACCTCCATGCCACCTTGCCATCATGCCACCTTGCCTCCATGCCTCCATGCCACCTTGCCATCATGCCACCTTGCCTCCATGCCTCCATGCCACCTTGCCATCATGCCACCTTGCCTCCATGCCTCCATGCCACCTTGCCATCATGCCACCTTGCCTCCATGCCTCCATGCCACCTTGCCATCATGCCACCTTGCCTCCATGCCTCCTTGCCACCTTGCCATCATGCCACCTTGCCTCCATGCCTCCATGCCACCTTGCCATCATGCCACCTTGCCTCCATACCTCCATGCCACCTTGCCATCATGCCACCTTGCCTCCATGCCTCCATGCCACCTTGCCATCATGCCACCTTGCCTCCATGCCTCCTTGCCACCTTGCCATCATGCCACCTTGCCTCCATGCCTCCTTGCCACCTTGCCATCATGCCACCTTGCCTCCATGCCTCCATGCCACCTTGCCATCATACCACCTTGCCTCCATGCCTCCATGCCACCTTGCCATCATGCCACCTTGCCTCCATGCCTCCTTGCCACCTTGCCATCATGCCACCTTGCCTCCATGCCTCCATGCCACCTTGCCATCATGCCACCTTGCCTCCATGCCTCCATGCCACCTTGCCATCATGCCACCTTGCCTCCATGCCTCCATGCCACCTTGCCATCATGTCACCTTGCCTCCATGCCTCCTTGCCACCTTGCCATCATGCCACCTTGCCTCCATGCCTCCTTGCCACCTTGCCATCATGCCACCTTGCCTCCATGCCTCCTTGCCACCTTGCCATCATGCCACCTTGCCTCCATGCCTCCTTGCCACCTTGCCATCATGCCTCCATGCCTCCATGCCTCCATGCCTCCATGCCTCCATGCCTCCATGCCACCTTTCCATCATGCCTCCATGCCTCCTTGCCACCGTGCCCCCTTGCCTCCCTTCCTCCATGCCACCTTGCCATCACGCCACCTTGCCTCCTTTCCTGCATGCTACCTTGCCACATGCTGCACACATCTCTTGCACCTCCTCTATGAAAACGGGCTTCTTGCATTCCTGCATCACACCATGTGGTGTCACCGGCTGTGCCGCACGCATCTCTGCTGTTCCCCATGCACGCCAGACATCACTTGCGAGCATGCCAAGTGTCCGAGCAATTCCATGTGCAAGCCAGCGAATGACAGCCAGGGTGTCATTTGTGAATGCAACAAAGGCTTTGTTCCCGTCACTGGCACTTGCGAAGGTACGGTGCTTGTGCTACCTCCTCTCTTGTGCTCTCTCTAGCGCTTTTTGCCTCCCTTTCACCTGCAGTTTGCCCATTTTTGTTCTTGAGGATGATTTCCAACCATTGATTTTTTTGGGGCTTCTTTTGAATTGGAAGAATGGCATCGTTAAGAAACGGGTGCTGGATAGCAAGTTATAAACTTACTGGCATAACTTTATGACCATCCTCAATCCAATACACCCTTTTCTTGTGTCACACTTGCATCACAGGAACAGGATGCGCCCTGTTCCTGTAACGAGGGTTTTGAAATGATTGCCAATGGCACTTGTGCGGGTGAGGTGTGTTGCTTTGAAAGCTAAGAGAATGCTCGGACTTTCTTTTGAGTCGACTCAAAAGTCAACTAGGTGTGTTGCTTTGAAAGCTAAGAGAATGCTCGGACTTTCTTTTGAGTCGACTCAAAAGTCAACTAGGTGTGTTGCTTTGAAAGCTAAGAGAATGCTCGGACTTTCTTTTGAGTCGACTCAAAAGTCAACTAGGTGTGTTGCTTTGAAAGCTAAGAGAATGCTCGGACTTTCTTTTGAGTCGACTCAAAAGTCAACTAGGTGTGTTGCTTTGAAAGCTAAGAGAATGCTCGGACTTTCTTTTGAGTCGACTCAAAAGTCAACTAGGTGTGTTGCTTTGAAAGCTAAGAGAATGCTCGGACTTTCTTTTGAGTCGACTCAAAAGTCAACTAGGTGTGTTGCTTTGAAAGCTAAGAGAATGCTCGGACTTTCTTTTGAGTCGACTCAAAAGTCAACTAGGTGTGTTGCTTTGAAAGCTAAGAGAATGCTCAGACTTTCTTTTGAGTCGACTCAAAAGTCAACTAGGTGTGTTGCTTTGAAAGCTAAGAGAATGCTCAGACTTTCTTTTGAGTCGACTCAAAAGTCAACTAGGTGTGTTGCTTTGAAAGCTAAGAGAATGCTCGGACTTTCTTTTGAGTCGACTCAAAAGTCAACTAGGTGTGTTCCGTGGGACTTTCTTTCCCTTGCAGATGTGTGTGCTTCATTCAAATGTGGACCTGGCGGCAACTGCACGAGGGATGCAAACGGAAATCCATCGTGTAGTTGCAGCGCTGGCTTCACGCCGTCTTCTGACAAGCTTTCTTGCATTGGTGAGTTGGTTGGAGGGGTGCAACACAGAGGGCGTGCCTTGCGTTTTGGACCCAGTCCTTGAAACTTGACCTTCCTTCAACTCAAGTTTTGGCTAGAGTTGCTGAAAGTGTGTGCGTGTTCAACAAAGTGACCCTTGATTGTCAAAAGATTGGAGCACTATATGTTGTTACAATATCTTTTCTCTTGCCTGGATTTCTTTGCTGCAGACCAAGGTGCAAAAAAACGACGTTTTTTTCAATTTTTGATTGTAAAATACCGTATCGTAATAAACGATCGTAAAAAAAGATTAAAAAAAACGGTTTTTGAAAATAAATACTTTTGGTGCAAAAAAACCTTCTTTTTTTTCAGTAAAAAGACCAAAACTGCTGCTGAAACAAGGGGATTGATTGGTGAGAAGAACAAGGGGGCCATTAGAAGTGCTGATGATGCAGCGGAAGATTGTTAGAAGTGCTTTTGTGATCAGAACAGCATCTTTGAAGTTGAAGAGTTTTTTTTGTCTAACAAAAAAACGACGTTTTTTTCCCAAAAGGTACCGTAAAATACCATCGAAAAAAACAATCGTATTTTTCGACAATCGTTTTTTTCTACCTTGCTGCAGACAACTGTGATGCGGTGAAGTGTGGACCTGGCGGCAACTGCACGAGGGATGCAAACGGAAATCCATCGTGTAGTTGCAGCGCTGGCTTCACGCCGTCTTCTGACAAGCTTTCTTGCATTGGTGAGTAGGAGGGGTGCAACACAGAGGGCGTGCCTTGCGTTTTGGACCCAGTCCTTGAAACTTGACCTTCCTTCAACTCAAGTTTTGGCTAGAGTTGCTGAAAGTGTGTGCGTGTTCAATAAAGTGACCCTTGATTGTCAAAAGATCGGAGCACTATATGTCGTTACAATAACTTTTCTCTTGCCTGGATTTCTTTGCTGCAGACAACTGTGATGCGGTGAAGTGTGGGCCTGGAGGCAACTGCACGAGGGATGCAAACGGAAATCCATCATGTAGTTGCAGCGCTGGCTTCACGCCGTCTTCTGACAATCTCTCTTGCATTGGTGAGTTGGAGGGGTGCAACACAGAGGGCGTTTCTTACGTTTCAAAACCAATTCTTGAACGTTGTCTTTCCTTCAACTCAAGGTGTGTTTTGAGTCGACTCAAAACACACCAATTCTTGAACGTTGTCTTTCCTTCAACTCAAGGTGTGTTTTGAGTCGACTCAAAACACACCAATTCTTGAACGTTGTCTTTCCTTCAACTCAAGGTGTGTTTTGAGTCGACTCAAAACACACCAATTCTTGAACGTTGTCTTTCCTTCAACTCAAGGTGTGTTTTGAGTCGACTCAAAACACACCAATTCTTGAACGTTGTCTTTCCTTCAACTCAAGGTGTGTTTTGAGTCGACTCAAAACACACCAATTCTTGAACGTTGTCTTTCCTTCAACTCAAAATTTTGGTTGAGTTATTGGAGTTGGCGCGTATTCTCAACGACCCTTGCTTCTCAAGATCCGAGCATTATTTTTATTTTTTTTGTACTGTCCTTCCTCTCGCCTTGGCTCTCTTTTCTGCAGACAACTGTGATGCGGTGAAGTGCGGGCCGGGCGGCAACTGCACAAGAAATGCGAGCGGAAATCCATCCTGTTCATGCAGCGCTGGCTTCACGCCGTCTTCTGACAAGCTCTCTTGCGTTGGTGAGTCGGAGGAGTGCAATTTAGAGGGCATGCCTTGCGTTTCAGACCCAATTCTTAAACTCGAACGGTCCGTTGTATTGATTCAGCAGGGGTACAGACATGCAGTGTTGTATATGATAGCTTCAATCCCTCTAGCCCTTGAACCCACCTTCCTTAAACTCGGTCTCCTCTCACCTTCCTTAAACTCGGTCTCCTCTCACCTTCCTTAAACTCGGTCTCCTCTCACCTGAAACTTGTTGCAAGAGTTGATGAATCGCGTTTGTGACACTTGATTTTCAAGATCCCGGCATAATTGTTTTTTTTTTTTTTTTTTTTATGATGATGATGATCCTTTGACTTGCCTTGCTCTCTTTTTCGCAGACAATTGTGCCGCAGTGGATTGTGGGCCCAATGGCAAGTGCGCGAAGAAGGATAACGGGGACGCAACCTGCGAGTGCGACTCGGGCTTTGGGATGCCTTCCGACCAACTGCGTTGCGTCGGTGAGTTGCTGTGGTCTCGTCTGCAGGATGGATATGCCATTGCAACGAGGTGATGCAGGATGAATATAGCTGCTGCAACTCCATTGTTAAGCATGCATACTCCACCTGTATTTCTCTTTCCCTTTCGATCACCCCCGACCACCCCCCCTCCTCCCACCACCTCCATCCCCCGTTCCCCCCTCGCACCCCACCCCCCTCCCTTTTTTTGTTAACTTTTTTTTTTTTTCCCTCCTCCTTTTACCCTTTTCCCCTCTCTTTGACCCTTGACCCCATCCTTCTTTGCACTCACATCAGGCACAGCTTGCTCTGAGTTGGGCTGCGAACCGGATGGGGATTGTGTGAACACCGATGGAGTTCACTCTTGCAAGTGGAGTAAGCATGGCTTTCAGCTTTCTCTACACCCAACCCAGCCCATCCGCACCGCACTCATTCTCTACCATCTCCACCATCTCTTTCATTTGGTGCAGTCTACTCCAAATTTGAGTGAAGCTGGCGCATTTGCCAAGCTCATTTTGCCGTCTCTCTGCCGCACCTTGTGTCTGCCTTGCGTGCTGCTGTGTTCCCCAGAGTCACCCTGTGGCACGTGTCCCACTGGCGCCACCTGCAAAACCGTCCATACAACCAATGCAGAATCGGCTGATGTGCCATACTGCGAGTGCCCTGAGGGCTTTGGGATGACCCCAACAGAATGCATCCCGGGTAAGATTCAATACCACCCTGATTTACTCTCCATTGATAGCATCTCACCCCAAGCTGAGAGCATCTCACCCGAAAGTTCTTCAACTTGGAGTGTATCAATAGCCCCAACATGCAGCAGTCAACTTGGACGCCATGTCAGATTTTGCCTTCACCATCCTTTTCCATCCCGGTTCATAACATCACGTTTCCCCGCGTCCTTGCTCCCTGTTTCCCCTTCTTCTTGTGCCATCCTTTCTCAGATTCACCCAACGAAGTGCTTGCCAGCAGTGTGACATTCATCCAGGATCGTAGTGCCAGAGGCAAGGCGTCCAAGCCCTACACCCTCCGTCTCAAATATGGCTGCACTCAGTTGCCGGAGGGGGTGGCTGGGAATTTCACGACGGCATATGAGCTGTTGTACATCGGTGGTGGTCCGAGTTGCGAACGGTTCAGATGGTATGACACGGATAACTGCGTCTCGAGCAGTGTATTGGAGCGTGCAAATTTTCTTCGGACCCCAAATGCTGCATTCGCAAATACGTGAGTGGTGATTTGTACCAAAGTCAGTCAGCAGTCTGCATTTTGTCATCAAGTATGTCAATCAATATGCACTTTACATTTCATTGTACCATTAAAAAAAATGCATTATATATTTCATCATACTATGATCTCAATGGTGCGCTTTACTATGCACTGCGCTTTACTATGCACTGCACTTTACTATGCATTGCACTGTACTAAGCATTGCATTGTACTATGCATTGCACTTTACTGTGCAGTGCACTGTGCTATGCATTGCACTTTACTGTGCAGTGCACTGTACTGTGCAGTGCACTGTACTATGCATTGCACTTTACTATGCATTGCACTTTACTATGCATTGCACTTTACTGTGCATTGCACTGTACTGTGCAGTGCACTGTACTATGCATTGCACTTTACTATGCATTGCACTGTACTATGCATTGCACTTTACTATGCACTGTACTATGCATTGCACTGTACCATGTGTTGCACTTTTAGACCTTTACCCAAAACCGTCTATCTCAGTAATTGTTTCTTTTCTTGTACTGGTATGCGCTTTTCTTTTCTTTCTTGCATTATCAACCAGGTTCCGAAATCCCTTAAACTTCCGCTCTTTTTGGTGCGGTGATGCCTAGTGTTCTCTCCTGCCCGCGTCTGATCCACTCAACCATGGAAATCAGTGCCCGACAGCTTGGCATGTTACTCATTTAGTCCCGAGAAACGACTTTCTCCTCCTGCTCTAGTCCCTAGAACGAGTTTTCTTCCTGTCACAGTCCTCAGAAATGAGGTTTTCTCCCGCTTTTGTCCCCAGATAGCAGACCCTGCAGTGTTGTTTGTACACCTGAGGGCATGTAATCCAAGATGTGTTTGTACTAATTAGTACCTACTTCATTAACGATACTGCACCCTACTTTACTATTTAATACACTATCTTGCAGAACACCCATCACTGTTGTTTTTGCCTGCAGACAGGCTGCAGACAAGCATCATACACATGAAACGCGGCAAGAACCTGCCCGCAGCAAATGGGACAAAGCGACTGCTCCTCCTCTCTCACAACCCGCGAACACGACAGGCAACACGTGCGGTGGCCACACGGGATGAATGCCGCCTTGCGCTTGCGATGCAGACACACCACACAGACAGAGCTCCCCGCTCTGCACCACTTCTCTCATCACCATTCTTCCTAACACAACACTCGTACCGGTAATTGAATTGACACAGCACTACCTATGTTATTTCAAGCATCGTACACACGAAAAGCAGCCAGAACCTGCCCGCGACAAATGGGACACAGCGATTGCTCCACCCTCACAACCCTCGAACATGACAGACAACACACGCGGTGGCCACACGGAATAAACACTGCCTTGCGCTTGCGATGCAGACACACCACACAGAGCTCCCCGCTCTGCACCTCCTCCCCCACCACCTCCTCCTCATCCGCATCCCCACCTCGAATCAGATTCTCCAAACTCCTCTCAAATTCCGAAGGCAAAGCTGCTATTACACCGCCTTCAGCATTCTCCCATCTACTCCCTTCTGCCTCTGCCCCTGTTCTTACTCCTGCCCCTGTTCCTGCTGCCCCTGTTCCTGCTGCTCCTGTTCCTGCTGCTCCTGCTCTTCCTCCTGCTCCCATTCCTCCTGTTCCTGCTGTCTGCTGCTGTCTCTCGAGGAGAATCCCCATCCATCGTTCCAGCTCTGCCTGCTCCAACTGCTGCCGCCGCTGCCGCCTGGCTTGCCGGCGCCGGTACGTCCTGATGGGGAATAAGGGGGAGGAGAGGAGGAGGTGATGCGGTCTGCTGCTGCCTCTCGAGGAGAATCGCCATCCACCTTTCCAGCTCTGCCTGCTCCAACTGCTGCCGCCACTGCCGCCTGGCTTGCCGGCGCCGGTACGTCCTGATGGGGAATAAGGGGGAGGAGAGGAGGAGGTGATGCGGTCTGCTGCTGCCTCTCGAGGAGAATCGCCATCCACCTTTCCACCTCTGCCTGCTCCAACTGCTGCCGCCACTGCCGCCTGGCTTGCCGGCGCCGGTACGTCCTGATGGGGAATAAGGGGGAGGAGAGGAGGAGGTGATGCGGTCTGCTGCTGCCTCTCGAGGAGAATCGCCATCCACCTTTCCAGCTCTGCCTGCTCCACCTGCTGCCGCCGCTGCCGCCTGACTTGCCGGCGGCGATACGTCCTGATAGTGTATGAGGGAGAGGAGATGGAGAGGGGGGGAAGTGAGGAAGGGGTGGGAGCAGAGCAGCAGTGCCAGAAGAGAGCATCGTTCCAGCTCTGCCTGCTCCATCTGCTGCCGCCGCTGCCGCCTGGCCTGCGGGCAACGGTACGTCCTGACCAGGAGGAAGAGCATGACGGTAGAGCATGACCAGGAGGATAGGGGGAAGAGAGGGGGTGGAACAGAGGAGGAGAGGGGAGGAAATGAGAAAGAAGTGAGGGTAGTGATGTGAGGAGCTCTGCCTGCTCCATCTGCTTTTTGAGCTCCTCATCTCAAAAGCCATGTGAGGAGCTCTGCCTGCTCCATCTGCTTTTTGAGCTCCTCATCTCAAAAGCCATGTGAGGAGCTCTGCCTGCTCCATCTGCTTTTTGAGCTCCTCATCTCAAAAGCCATGTGAGGAGCTCTGCCTGCTCCATCTGCTGCCGCCGCTGCCTCCGATGCCGCCGCTGCCTCCGATGCCGCCGCTGCCTCCGATGCCGCCGCTGCCTCCGATGCCGCCTGGCCTGCCAGGGACAGTAGACCAGGGGGCATGAGGCGGAGACGACATGACCAAGAGGAGAGGGAGTGGGTGAAAGAGGATAAACGGGATGAGATGAGATGAGTGGATACGAGAGGGAGGCAAGGGAGAAAGGGTTAAGTGCATTATGAACAGGAGTGGTAGCGATGAGGGGATGGGAGACAGAAGAGGAAGGGAAGGCTTGTGACGCACGAATCAGGATGGCAGTGGAAAGAGCAGACAGTCCAACACAACACACCAGTGGTAGAAAAAGGAAAAACCTTTCTCACGGTTCCCTTTCAACACAACCTGGTTTTTTAGAATTCTCAAGAACCTTTCTCAGGGCTCCCTTTCAACACAACCTGGTTTATTAAAGAATTCTCAAGAACCTTTCTCAGGGCTCCCTTTCAACACAAACTTTTGAGTCGTCTCAAAAGCTCTCTTGCAACTTTCGGAACTTCCACACAGCAGAGCCGATAACGCCTGCAGCGGCGGCAGAGAGCAGCAACCCTTGCACCCACGCACACCCACATGCACACTTCAACACCCACCTACACCCACGCCCACACCCACAACCACACCCACACCCACATGCACGAACTTCCACACAGCAAGGCCGATAACGCCTGCAGCGGAGGCAGAGAGCAGCACACAGAAACCCTTGCACCCACGCACACACACACAGCCACACACACACACCCACACACACGCGCGCGCGCACACACCCACACACACACACCACACACACACACACACACACACACACACACACACACGTACTTCCACACAGCAAGGCCGATGACGCCTGCAGCGGCAGCAGACAGCAGCACTCCCCATCCAAGCAGCGACCCCCACCGCTGGTTGAGCTTCTGCATCATGCCCGCCTTGGACTCTGGGAAGCTGGAAAAAGATGGGAGAAAGGGGTAATATAAGAGATTGGCCGTTAACATGCACCCCAGCCCTCCCCACCCCAGCAGTGCTCCCCACCGCTGCTTCGGCTTCTGAATCATGCCCGCCTTGGTCTCTGGAAAGCTGCGAAGAGATGGGGGTAAGGGGCATGTGAAGGGGTGGTGAATAGGGTCACGGCTACCATAACAGAAAGGGATCTGGAGGATAGAGGAAGAAGACAGTAGAAATGGATGCACCCAATGATGAGAGAGTGACCCTACGTCAAGGAAAGCACTCACAGGAAGAAGGAGTTGACTTTTGAGTCGACTCAAAAGTCAACTCTCTACGTCAAGGAAAGCACTCACAGGAAGGAGTTGACTTTTGAGTCGACTCAAAAGTCAACTCTCTACGTCAAGGAAAGCACTCACAGGAAGAAGGAGTTGACTTTTGAGTCGACTCAAAAGTCAACTCTCTACGTCAAGGAAAGCACTCACAGGAAGGAGTTGACTTTTGAGTCGACTCAAAAGTCAACTCTCTACGTCAAGGAAAGCACTCACAGGAAGAAGGAGTTGACTTTTGAGTCGACTCAAAAGTCAACTCTCTACGTCAAGGAAAGCACTCACAGGAAGAAGGAGTTGACTTTTGAGTCGACTCAAAAGTCAACTCTCTACGTCAAGGAAAGCACTCACAGGAAGAAGGAGTTGACTTTTGAGTCGACTCAAAAGTCAACTCTCTATGTCAAGGAAAGCACTCACAGGAAGAAGGAGTTGACTTTTGAGTCGACTCAAAAGTCAACTCTCTACGTCAAGGAAAGCACTCACAGGAAGAAGGAGTTGACTTTTGCGTCGACTCAAAAGTCAACTCTCTACGTCAAGGAAAGCACTCACAGGAAGAAGGAGTTGACTTTTGAGTCGACTCAAAAGTCAACTCTCTACGTCAAGGAAAGCACTCACAGGAAGAAGGAGTTGACTTTTGAGTCGACTCAAAAGTCAACTCTCTACGTCAAGGAAAGCACTCACAGGAAGAAGGAGTTGACTTTTGAGTCGACTCAAAAGTCAACTCTCTACGTCAAGGAAAGCACTCACAGGAAGGAGTTGACTTTTGAGTCGACTCAAAAGTCAACTCTCTACGTCAAGGAAAGCACTCACAGGAAGAAGGAGTTGACTTTTGAGTTGACTCAAAAGTCAACTCTCTACGTCAAGGAAAGCACTCACAGGAAGAAGGAGTTTACTTTTGAGTCGACTCAAAAGTCAACTCTCTACGTCAAGGAAAGCACTCACAGGAAGAAGGAGTTGACTTTTGAGTCGACTCAAAAGTCAACTCTCTACGTCAAGGAAAGCACTCACAGGAAGAAGGGGAACTTGGGCGAAGCGAAGATGGCAGGCCGACCGTCGGATCTTCGCCTCACATGGCCGACAGCTGTCAGCTCGTGATTGATTGGCAGCACCCTCTCGTCTGTCCGCAGGCCCACCTGGGGAAGGTACATATGGGGGAGTGGTATTACTTATTCACCAACTCATTCATTCATACACAAAATGACATATGAGACAGGCAGCACCCTCTCGTCCGTGCGCAGGCCCACCTGGGGAAGGTGTATGTGCGGAGTGGTACTCATTCATCAACTCATTTATTTGATTCATGCACGCAATGACAACATGAGGCTGACAGCACCCTCTCTTCCGTGCGCATGCACACCTGGGGAAGGCATATGTGCGGAGTGGGATTCATTCATTCATTCATAATCACAATGGGAAGATGGCGTACAAGCACATGCATGCCAGGATCTCCTCTGAGCATTTTGCAGAGAAAAAAACCCCAACATAAGTACATTAAGCACACGCGCAGCTCTTATATAAAAGTATACTCACCGGAAGGAACTTCCCTATAAGCATATGCAAGGATTTAGCATGGAGAGCAAACAGAAGGCGACTAGAAGTTCCTATAAGCATATGCATGGTTGATAAAGAGTACGTGCAGCCCTCATGGGGCGCCTCCAGGCACTCACTCACCGGCAGGCGCTTCCCTATAAGCACGTGCAGGGCGGTGGCGCCCCATGACGGGTCGGCCTTTTGCATGTGACTGTAGACGGTGTGCAGTGGCAGTGGCTGTGTGGCGCCCACCAATGAGATGTCGACACGTGGCGCTGACAGGTGTGAGGTATCTGCTAGAGAGAAAGGGACCTGCGGGGAAGTGGTGAGAGGGGAGAGAGAGAGAGAGATGAAGGGAGAACAAAGCGGATAATGCAAGAAGTGGTGATGGGGGGGAAAAGAAACAGGGGACGGTGAAGCGGGGGGGGGGAGGAGAGGAGAAATCGGGGAAGATGGATAGAAGAGGAGAGATGAGGCGAGGACAATATCAGAGGTATCAGCTGGAGCAGGCAAGGGAGAGGGCAGGAGAGTGAGGCGTTGGGGGGGACAGGGAAGGTGGGGAGAAGGATAGCCGAGGCGAGGGGGATGATAGGTAAGGCGAGGGGGATGATAGGTAAGGCGAGGGGGATGATAGGTAAGGCGAGGGGGATGATAGGTAAGGCGAGGGGGATGATAGGTAAGGCGAGGGGGATGATAGGTAAGGCGAGGGGGATGATAGGTAAGGCGAGGGGGATGATAGGTAAGGCGAGGGGGATGATAGGTAAGGCGAGGGGGATGATAGCCAAGGCGAGGGGGATGATAGGTAAGGCGAGGGGGATGATAGGTAAGGCGAGGGGGATGATAGGTAAGGCGAGGGGGATGATAGGTAAGGCGAGGGGGATGATAGGTAAGGCGAGGGGGATGATAGGTAAGGCGAGGGGGATGATAGGTAAGGCGAGGGGGATGATAGGTAAGGCGAGGGGGATGATAGGTAAGGCGAGGGGGATGATAGCCAAGGCGAGGGGGATGATAGGTAAGGCGAGGGGGATGATAGGTAAGGCGAGGGGGATGATAGCCAAGGCGAGGGGGATGATAGGTAAGGCGAGGGGGATGATAGGTAAGGCGAGGGGGATGATAGGTAAGGCGAGGGGGATGATATCCAAGGCGAGGGGGATGATAGGTAAGGCGAGGGGGATGATAGGTAAGGCGAGGGGGATGATAGGTAAGGCGAGGGGGATGATAGGCAACGCAGCGGGGTGGGCAGAGGAAGGGAATCAAGAAAAAGGCTTGAAAATGGTAAGGCTTGTCATTATGGAAGGACAGGAGGGATGAAACAAAGCCATGTGGTAGAGAAAATGGTAGTCGGTGTCGGTGACGAGCGAGGGGAATGTGAGGAACGGAAAGGCAGGGGACGGGTGGACGCGAAGGGCAGGGTAAAGGCAGGAACGGAAGAGAGCTCACAGATTGTCTGACAAGGTTAACCTGTTCTGACTTAACGACCCAGCCCAGCAGCGGGTGCAGCTCCGAGTATAGCATCTGAAGCAAGGCAAGGCAGGGCAACAGCACGGGACTTGAAGAGGATGTCAGGTTTGTTTAGAAACGGATGATGAGGAGGAGCCAGGACTTGACCATGACAAGCCCAGCAGCGGGTGCAGCTCCAAGTATAGCATCTGAAGCAAGGCAAGGCAAGGCAAGGCAGGACGCCAACAGAGTCCCGGGCGGAAGATTTTAACGAGGTGAATGTGGAGAGCCAAACCCTGACCTTGTTTTTTGAGACGTCTCAAACTCAAAAGTTCCGAGACGTCTCAAACTCAAAAGTTCCGAGACGTCTCAAACTCAAAAGTTCCGAGACGTCTCAAAAGGTGAATGTGGAGAGCCAAACCCTGACCTTGACAAGCCCCTTCCTCTTCCCCCCTTCCCACCCACCCACCCACCCACCCACCCACCAGAGGACACTCATCCGCATCCTGACACCTCCCACCCGCCCACTCACCACATCTGACCGCTCCACCACAGCGCATGGCTGCTTGGCGCCATGCACTGGAAGCAGCGGAGAGCAGCCTGGCCCAGCTCCAGCAGCTGGAGGAGAGCCCAACTCTATCCCTGACCCCTGCCCTCCCCCCACCGCCCCAGACCCTTTCCCCGCCCCTAACTTGGGGAGCGAGAAGGAGAGCGGAGAGGAAGAGGAGGTGGAGGAGGAGGAGGGGGGAGAAGGCGAGGAGGAGAGCTGCACGGATCCCCTGACGAGCACCAGCTCGTGGGGGTTGGTGTAATCCGCTAGCTCACTCGCATCTGACGGGCCCCGGCCCAGCTCACGTTGCCCCCATGCTGCTGCTGACTGGCTTGACGACCCTTCGTCGCTCTTGCTTCTTCCCACGGGTAACAGCCATTTCAACCCGCCACTGCTGCTGCTGCTGCTGCTGCTGCTGGTGGTGCCACCACCAGTGGTGCCACCAACGCTGCTGTCGCTGCGGACGCTGAGAATGCTGCTATCATCCTTCCCTGGCCTGCTCTCTCCGCCTCCATTTCCCCGCCATAGGCGCGTGAAGTATCCACTACTTTCACCGCTGCCATTACTCCTCTTATCCCCGCTACTGCTGCTACCTCCCGCACCGTCAAATCCCCCCCCGCCTGTCCCGCTGGCCTGCTCCGGCGCGCGCCTGAACCACCGCCGCCACCCGCCGCTTCCGCCAGCCTTTCCCCCGGCCGCGCGGGGAAACTCCGAAGCTCCGCCTCCGCCGCCCGCCGGCGGAATCCCGTTGAGTTCCGCGATGGTCGTTTCGCGCGCGGATTTGAGCGCCTTGAGCGAGCGCGACACGCCGTAGAGCTGCCACCAGGCCTGCGTCGCGCTGCCGGCGATTAAGAGGCCGAATAATACCTCCTCCTGCGCGAGAAGCGCGCGGAGGAGCGCTACCCAGCTTCCGCCGCCGCCTGACGCGCCGTAATCCGCGCCGCCGGACGACGTCATTCACGAGGAAGACGTGTGGGATACAGAAAGGACGAATATTTCTTGTCTACTGATTCGAAAACAAGAACGAGAGCGCTTTGTACAGTTACTTGGCAATATACCTTATTTGGCTAGCTACATGTAGTGTACCGTACATGACTATTATATGTAGGATATTGTATAGGGCTACTATATGTAGCGTATGGTGACTAGGTATTTTACACTTGGAGCTTGACTGAGAGCCATAGGATCCACAGCAGCGAGCGACGTGACTAAGGTGCCAAGGCTAGAACTACCAGTTTGACGCGAAACATCGAGAAAAGGGGAAAAAAAACGTATACGACGTCACGGACGCAGCGTGATAGGTACCCGTTGAATGAAGCGAAACGGAACACAAGCAAGCAAACAGCAACAGAACGAGCTATGAGGAAATGGAAACGCGAATGGAATCCCAACGTTGGCAGCGGCCTTTCAGGCGCTTCCTCTGAGCAATTATACGTGTACTTTGACCTCGCTGGGGTCCGAGGGCGCATTCCCAGCATCGCGTCTGACGTCTCTACCGCATCACGTTCGTTTCAAACCGCGACACAAGACGACAACTACAAGTGAATCAACATCTGCACCGCAAAATACCGAGCAATAAGAACGTGAGATGTTTGAGACGCGAAGGAAAAATCGCTGATTGAAATGCGATGCGAAGATTTCCGCTCATCCCTCAATTTCAGCTCGTCAGGGGTTTTCTCGCCCTAGATTTCGGCTCGTTTTGCGTGCTCTCAGTTATCCGCGTTTCCTGTCAAGACCACGTACCCCGCTTTTTGTTTGGTGCTCTGCGTTTCAAAGCGGTATCTTAACATGAAAAGTGGGGAAAATAAAAACAAAAGTTAATCCAGTCAACTTGAGAGGGTTCAAGACTAGCGTCTCCACCTAAATGTTTCTAAGTTGATGGCATATACACAAACTAAGAGGATTCAGCATGGTGCAAGGAAGCATGTGCATTCTTATGCGCAATGTGAAAAGGGGTCAAACACAGGGATATCAGACTTTAGAGTCTGAATCAGAGTCAGTTCAGACTTTTTTTTGGTACCGTACCTAGTCTGCACTCTATGAATTTTTTTTGGGGCCTTGTCTGATGTTTCAGAGTTTTTTTAACATACTTGTCTGTAATTTCATACTATTTTTAGTAGTGTAGGCTGTGCCTCAGACTTGTATCGGGGGTGCATTCTAAATCCGATAATACAGGGGGTAGGGTCCAGCCTGGCGGCGTGGAGCAGTAACCCCGTCAATCACGGGCGGGAACCCACGATTTCGCCAGCGCGACAACGCACAGTTGCGTTGGTACAGCGTTGCTGTAATCCCACCCAATTCTGACCAATCGCGGCTGCGCCGCAGGCAGTGTTGGCAAGATTCCTTGCCAACACATAGCTCGCCACGCACTGCACCCTCGCTGTACACCACAACCATCCACCACACCCCGCCTTCAATGTTGCCTGTCTGAACATTATAGCTTATGCTTATGCCCATAAGGGGTACAACCCAATTAGGGTTAGTACTTGTACCCAACTGTTTCATAGTTCATTCATTCTCGTTTCAGTTTTCTCATGGTATCGAGCAGGTTCCCTCGTGGGAACTGTTTCTAGGGCCCACCGATTCGATTTTTTTTTTCCTGCCCGGAGCGCGCTCAGCCCTTGCTCGAGTCGCGCTCCCCTTTCTCGACCCTGTCGCGCCGCCCTAGCGGCTGTATCGCGCCGCCCTAGCGGCTGTGTCGCGCCGCCCTTGCGGCCCCGATCCGCTGCCCTAGCGACCCGTCGCCTACCTCTGCGGCCCCGGCGCCGCCCTTGACAGCCCCGATCCGCCGCCCTAGCGGCCCCGTCGCCTACCCTGCGGCCCTGGCGCCGCCCTTCCTGGCCCCGATCCGCCGCCCTGCGACCCCGTCGCCTACCCCGCGGCCCTCGCGCCGCCCTTCCCAACCCAGCCCCGCCCTTGCTGGCCCCGTCGCCTACCTGCGGCCCCGTCGCCTACCCTGCGGCCCCGGCGCCTACCCTACGGCCCCGTCGCCTACCCTGCGGTCGCCTACCCTGCGGCCCCGTCGCCTACCCTGCGGCCCCGGCGCCTACCCTGCGGCCCCGTCACCTACCCTGCGGCCCCGTCGCCTACCCTGCGGCCCCGTAGCCTACCCTGCGGCCCCGGCGCCACCCTTCCCGACCCAGCCCAGCCCTTACTGGCCCCGTCGCCTACCTGCGGCCCCGGCGCTACACTTCCCGGCCCCGTAGCCTACCTGTGCGGCCCCGGCGCCGCCTCTGCCGGCCCCGCCGCCGTCCCCACGCGGCCCCGCCATCACCACCGAGCCGCCGGCGCCGTCGCCTGCTGCCGAGCCGCCCGCCACCCAAGCCGCCAGCCGCCGCACCGCGCCGAGTTGCCGAGTCGCCCGCTGAGCCGCCCGAGCCGCCGAGCTGCAAATGTTGTCGAGCCGCCGTACCGCCGAGCCGCCCGAGCCGCTGAGTTGCCGAGCCGCCGAGCCGACGAGCCACCCGAGCCCCGCTGTCTGGTAAGAGCAGCGCCTCTGTCACTGCACTGCCCTTACCCTACTGTCCGAGCTGCTAGTCTACTGCTGTCATGGCTACCCCTAGTGTCCTCACTTTTGACGCTGAGGGTCGGGCCATTGACTTTGACGTCTGGGTAGATGACCTGCAGCTTTTCCTACAGTGCGATAGGGCAGACGGTCTCTCTCTCTTTGACCTCACCTCTGGTGCCTCTCCTGCCCCTGCTGCTGATGCCGACGCCACTGTTCGCTCACAGTGGGCCACACGCGATGCTGCTGCACGTATTGCTGTGCGTCGCCACCTGCCTACCTCTGAGCGTGCGCACTTTAGTCAGTACAAGAGTGCTCAGACCTTGTACGACGCTGTAGTTGCACGCTACTCCTCCCCCGCCACTGCTGCACTGAGCCGCCTCATGCTCATGCTACCGTACCTCTTCCCTGACCTTGCTGCCTTTCCGACAGTCGCTGAACTCATTACGCACCTCCGCACTAGTGACACTCGCTACCGCGCTGCACTCCCTGCTGAGTTCTGCGCTAAGAGCCCCCCCCCTCCCATGTACATCACCCTCTACTACATAGTCACCCGGCTCCCAAACTCCCTTCGCGTAGTCAGGGACCACTTCCTCTCTGTTTGCCCCACCACTCTCACCGTTGACCTCCTCGAGAAGGCCCTCCTAGCAGCGGAGAAGAGCATAGTAGCTGTAGGAGACTCTCGTGGTGACCCTCGCACCCCCATCTTTGAGGGGTGTTCCCCCTCCCCCCTTTTGCCCTCTGTTGCCTCTGCTGCTGCGTCCGACCTTGTTGGTCTGGAGTCGGTCGGTGCGGCGTCTACCCCTAGCGGGAAGCGCCACCCTGGCAAGGGCAAGGGGGGCAGGGGTGCTGGAGGAGCTAGCGGGGGCGGTGGAGGCGGCGGTGGAGGCGGTGGAGGGGGTGGGGGTGGCGGTGGGGGTGGCGGCGGGGGTGGAGGTGGAGGTGGCGGCAGTGGAGGCGGAGGAGGCGGCGGCGGTGGCGGTGGGAGCGGAGGTAGCGGAGGTGGCGGCGGTGGAGGAGGCGGTGGCGGAGGAGGTGGAGCTGGTCGGGGTGGCGCTGCGCAGAGGGTCGGCTCTGGTAGTGGTCAGCCCCAGCAGCAGCAGTAGCAGCACACTCATGACATCCCCCCCCCCCGGCAGCAGCTCCGTGAGTGGTACGTTGCACGCCAGCGGGGTGGGGGGGCTGGTCCGTGCACCTACGTCCTACGCACCGGCGACCGCGCGGGTGAGCAGTGCGGGGGAGCGCACTCCACCCAGCGCTGCTTTGGCCGCCTGACGGACGCTTGGCGTCACCAGTTCCCGGAGGCCACTAAGATCCCCTGTTGGGGTGAGCTGTCTAGGGCGGGAGTAGCTGTCTTTGACCTTGACTTTGATGCTATTCTTCCTGCCATATATGCTGTGACTATTAGTGATGAGGGTGACTGTTACCGGTGTTTTCCGCCCGACCCGGGCATTGAGACTGCTGCTCTAGGTACTGGTGAGGCTGTTGCTCTAGGTGCTAGCGAGGCTGCTGCTCTAGGTGGAAGTGCGTCTGCGTCCTCAGGTGCTGGTGAGTCTGCTCTCTCAGGTACTGCGTCGGCTTCGGCCTCCCTCACCTTCACCCTTGACTCGGGGGCTTCTCGCTCCTTCTTTCGAGACCGCACCACACTCACGCCGCTTGGTCGGCCAGTTGCAGTCTCTCTGGCAGACCCCTCTGGGGGTCCTGTCCTTGCTCACTTCTCCACTGTCCTCCCGTGTCTGGTGGCTCCCTCTGGCACCCTGTCTGGTCTTTACCTCCCCTCATTCTGTACGAACTTGGTGAGTGGTGCTGACCTACAGGATGGGGGATTTCACCAGTTCACTCCTGCTAGCCAGCGGGTGACCCACTGCACGGACGCTCGTACGGGCCGACACGTGGCCACGTTTACACGTCGGCCGGGGTCGAGCCTGTACACACTGACCACTGGGTCTCCTCCTGTCCCTGTGTCTGGTCAGGTAGCTGCGTCGAGTCAAGTGTTTGCTGCGGCGTCCAGGTCTGGTCCTGAGTCTGCCCCCTGCTCGTGTCGCCTCCTGTCTCACCAGACTCTCCTCTGGCACCACCGCCTTGGTCACCCCTCCCTGCTTCGTCTCAGAGGCATGGCCTCCTGTCTCCTTGTTTCTGGTCTTCCCCGGTCCCTCCCTCCCCTTCCTCCGGGGCCTGGCCCTACCTGTGTCCCCTATGTCGAGGGGCGGCAGCGGGCTGCCCCTCACTCCTCCCAGTTTCCTTCGAAAGAGGCCCCGCTGCAGATGGTTCACATGGACGTGTGGGGCCCGGCCCGCGTCTGTGGACAGGGTCATGAGCGCTACTTCCTGCTGGTGGTTGACGACTACTCGCGTTACACCGCAGTCTTCCCCTTGTGCAGCAAGGGTGATGTCACTGCGGTGTTGATCAACTGGATCCGCACAGCTCGTCTCCAACTCAGGCAGAGCTTCGGCTCGGACTTTCCTGTTCTGCGTCTGCACTCTGATAGAGGCGGAGAGTTCTCCTCTGGCCTTCTGCGAGCCTACTGTCGTGCACGAGGCATCCGTCAGACCTTCACACTTCTGGACTCTCCGCACCAAAATGGGATTGCTGAGCGCCGCATTGGCATGGTCATGGACGTCGCTCGTACGTCCATGATGCATGCGGCTGCCCCCCATTTTCTGTGGCCATTTGCGGTTCGGTATGCGGCGCATCATATCAACCGTCACCCCAGGGTCTCCAGGTCGGAGACCTCCCAAGCTTTGCTGTGGACGGGGAAGGTTGGCGATGCGTCTGCGTTCCATGTCTGGTGATCTCGGGCGTTTGTCCGCGACTTGTCTGCGGACAAGCTGTCTCCTCGTGCTGCTCCTTGCGTCTTCCTTGGCGTCCCCCCTGACGCGCCAGGGTGGCAGTTCTACCACCCCACCTCTCGCCGTGTTCTGTCCTCCCAGGACATCACGTTTGACGAGTCGGTCCCCTACTACCGCCTCTTCCCCTACCGCAATCCGTCCCTCCCCCCGCCACCGCTCTTCCTTGTGCCAGGTCCCCCCCCGGTAGACCCCCTCCCCCCTCAGGGTCCTGCCTCTTCAGGTGTGTCCCAGGTAGACGCAGTCGACCCTCTCGAGGTTACTGGTCACTCTGGTGCTGCTGAGGGTGCTGAGCCTGGGGGTGCTGACTCTGGGAGTGCTGAGCGTATGGGTGCTACGCGTGCGGGTGCTGAGCCTGGGGGTGCTGGTACTGGGGGTGCTGAGCCTGGGGGTGCTGAGCCTGGGGGTGCTGAGATTGGGGGTGCTGGGTCTGGGGGTGCTGAGCCTGGGGGTGCTGAGCCTGGAGGTGCTACGCCTGGGGGTGCTGAGCCTGGGGGTGCTACGACTAGAGGTGCTGAGCGTGGGGGTGCGGAGCCTGAGGGAGCTCGGCCTGCTCGTGTGGCGTCTAGCGGTGCTGGACCTGGAGGTTCTCCGGGTGCTTTGTCTCGGCGGGAGCCACTCTCTCCACAGGAGCTGCGCGAGTGGTTTGCCCGGCGCTGGAGGCGTGCTGCTGGAGCTGGTAGTTCTTCGGTTGCTGAGGGTGCTGGTGCCGCGGGTCCCGGAGGTGCTCGTACTGGGAGTATTGGAGCTGCTGGGCCTGCGGCTACGACTAGAGCTGGAGCTACTGAGGGTGTTGGGGCTGAGGCTAATGCTGTTGGTCCTGGAGGCGGTCCTGCTGAGGGTGCTACTGTTGCTGCTGGAGGTCCTGGAGCTGGAGGTGCTGCTGGCGCTGGTGCTGCCGCTGGGGGTGCTGGTGCTGTCCCTGCTGTGTCTGTAGTCGCCGCGCGGCCTCAGCCGTACTTCGTTCCGCTCCTTGAGCAGGTTCTTGGTCTCCCGCCTTCTACTGGTCCTCCTCCTCCCTTAGAGTGTCCACGGCCTGTCCCGTCACAGTTACAGTTACAGCCGGCCTCCCCTTTGCCTGCTCCTTCTCCCTACACTGGTCCTACTGGAGGTCTTGCTGAGCGTCGTGAGCGTGCGTCTTGCCCTGCGTCGCCTGTCTGTGCTGCTCGCACTAGTGGTCCTGGTTCCCGTCAGCGTCCTCCTCCTGTCCCTGGCACGCACCGGATGTCTCTGCGTCTGTCCACTGTTCCTCTGCGTGCTCCTTTGCCTTCTCCTCCTGAGTCCTCTCTCCCTGCTCTTGCCGACCCGGAGTCGGACTCTCTTCGTGCTGCCAGTCCTACTGTCACGCATCTTCTTGCTACTGCCGTCACTGACCCTTCCTTTGAGTCCACTGCTGCGTCTGCCCTTGTTGCTGAGCTCGTCGACTTTGCTGCTCGCTGTCGTCTAGACTACGCTGCTAGTCTTGTCGCTGAGTCTGGGTCTGTCTGTCCTCCGTCCGTCGGGGGTGAGTGTGCCCTTGGCACGGACGTCCTTGAGGACAGGCAGGAGGAGTTCCAGTGTCTGGCTGCTGCTTCACCTCATCTCGTGTCTATACTCCTTACCCCTAAGGGAGACCCGGATGCACTTGACATCCCGACTCCGCGCTCTTACGCGGAGGCGATAGAGGGTCCCTACTCCTCTCAGTGGCAGGCAGCTATGGACGCAGAGATGGCTTCCTGGAAGTCCGCAGGCACCTACGTTGACAAGGTTCCCCCGCCTGGGGCGAACATCGTCAGTGGCATGTGGATTTTCAGGGTGAAGCGGCCGCCAGGTTTTCCGCCTGTCTTCAAGGCGCGTTACGTGGCTCTTGGCTTCAGTCAGCGGCAGGGAGTTGACTACTTTCAGACCTTCTCTCCCACCCCGAAGATGACCACTCTTCAGGTGCTGCTGCACATAGCCACTCAGCGCGACTACGAGTTTCACTCTCTTGACTTCAACACTGCTTTCTTGCAGGGCAGCCTGCACGAGGAGATCTGGCTGCGCCGCCCACCTGGCTTCACTGGGACTTTTCCTCCTGGCACCCAGTAGAGCCTCCGGCGGCTAGTCTACGGTCTCCGCTAGGCACCGCGTGAGTGGCACGACACACTGAGGACTACGCTTGCGGCTCTTGGGTTTGCTCCCTCTACTGCCGACCCGTCGCTATTTCTGCGCACCGACACTTCTTTGCCGCCGTTCTACATCCTCGTGTACGTCGACGACTTGGTCTTTGCCACAGCTGACACTGCTGGACTCGCCCACGTGAAGTCGGAGTTGCAGAAGAGACACACGTGCACAGACCTGGGTGAACTGCGCAGCTACCTTGGCTTGCAGATCACCCGGGACAGAGCACGCCGCACCATTACCCTGACTCAGTCACACATGGTGCAGCAGGTCCTTCAGCGCTTCGTCTTCACGTACTCCTCGCCTCATGCCACTCCTCTGCCTACTCGCCACTCGCTCTCAGCTCTGCCTTCGGATGAGTCCGTAGAGTCGAGTGGCCCGTACGCAGAGCTTGTTGGCTGCCTCATGTACCTGATGACCTGCACACGACCTGACCTTGCATACCCTCTTAGCATTCTCGCACGCTATGTTGCTCCTAGAAAACACAAACCAAAGCACATGGCTGCAGCAAAGAGGGTGTTGCGCTACTTGTGCAGTACGTCGGGCATGGGGCTTGTGCTTGGAGGGCAGAGTCCAGTGGTCCTCACTGGGCACGCAGACGCTTCTTGGGCTGACGACCAGGCTACGCAGCGGTCGCCACAGGGTTACACCTTCAGCCTTGGTTCCGGCTCTGTTTCGTTGCGGGCTACCCGCTCGTCTTCTGTTCTCGGCTCCAGTTGTGAGGCTGAGATCTACGCAGGGGCCATGGCTGCACAGGAGCTTCGCTGGCTCACCTACCTGCTGACTGACCTAGGAGAGCCGCCTCGTTCTCCTCCAGTGCTGTACGTAGACAACAAGGCCATGCTGGCCTTGTGTCGGGAGCAGAGACTGGAGCACAGAATGAAGCACATTGCTCTTCGCTACTTCCTTGCTCGTGAGCTACAGCAGCGTGGTCAGCTGCGCCTTGCGTACGTGGCCTCTTAGGCCAACACTGCTGATATCTTCACCAAGGCACTTGTGCCTTGTGATCATCAGTGCTTTTGTACTCAGCTGGGTCTTGTGTCTGCCTTGCCTCACTTGCTCACCCCTTGACCTTGTTTGTACTGCTACATATATTTATACACCTGCTCTTGCTTGTCTAGCCTTATATATATATATGTAATCCTGCATGTGAACTGGCCTTGTGGCCTTGAACTTGTGCTCGGAATGTGTGGTGACTTTGTGATCCACCCTGAGCTTGCTTTGCTTTGCTTGACTGGTCTTGTGACCCCTTGTTCTCCCCCACTTTGCCTATGGGGGTGTGTCAGAACATTATAGCTTATACATTTGTGTAGGCTATAGTGGGGTAGCCCATAAGGGGTACAACCCAATTAGGGTTAGTACTTGTACCCAACTGTTTCATAGTTCATTCATTCTCGTTTCAGTTTTCTCATTGCCAGCGCATAGCTCGCAGCGCGCTGCCACTCTCACGTCACCACGTCCATCCACCCCACCCCACCTTCCCAGTTGCCAACGCAGGGCTTGCACCACGCTGCTTCTCTCACGTGACTCCATCCATCAACCCCAATCACCCCACCTTCCAAGGATTCATGCCCAGGTGCAGTGCATGCAATGACCTTCTGGGAGATGGGAGGTCCTATTACACGAGGGTTTCTCATCTTCTTCTTGGTCATCGTTCTTGTAGTCCCTCTCATGGCCCGCTCCATTTGCCTGGACTCAAACTAGTGTAGGAGCCCTTGTTTCAGGCTCCCACCTCCTAGCTCGCTACTCCTCTGCTCGGCAGGCTCAATGGCAGTTACAGAGGCTGTCGCGGATGGGCCCGACGACAAGGATGATGCAATCGGTCGCCCAGTATCCGGCCCAGTATCCGACCCTCTCACCGGTCTAGATTTTCTTAGGTATGTCCTACCGAAGCACAATCCACCTCCAACGCCACCGTCGCAACCTAGCTCGAGCCGCCCACCTATTCCCAGAGACACCACATCTCTGCACGAGGCCGTCACTGAACCAGCGACCGCTGCGCAACAGGCGGTGCCCCATGAGGCGTCTGTTGGTGCACCTTCTCGTCCCGCGCCACCGTCAAAGCTGCGGTACCGGCAGTCCACCCTTGGTTGGGCCACTCCGCCTCCTCCATCGACCGTTGTGACTCCTGCGGGCGACGATTCTCTCATGGAGGACAGCTCCATGCCCACGCAGGGCAGCCCGAGGCCCACGCAGGACAGGTCAAAGCCCAAATCCGATAATCCTGAGTTGAAATACGAGGAAGCGCATGAGAGATTCAAATCGAAGTGGTCCACCGATTACAGTTGGCTTGTTCTAACTAAGACCTCTTCTGGTGCCCCTTCTTTCAAGTGCAGTATTTGCCTGGAGTTTGCGGGATTGAAAGGCAAGTGTGGGCGGCGTACCGAGGGAGCTACAGACGTGCAGACACAGTCCTTCAAGAAGCACGAAGGGACGGTGAAGCACCGATTTGCTCTGCAGCGCCAAGAGGACTTGCTGCAGAAGTACGGGCGGCAGTAGCGCATCGACATGCACCCGAAAGCGCAAGACATGGAGCTGCTGCAGGTGTCGTCGCTCGTCGACGCGCTGTACTTCATGGGGAAGTGCAACGAGCCCATGGACTCGTGGATCCGGCTCGTGCGCTACTTGGCGAAGAAGAAAGTGCCCGGGTTTCCCGAGCAGGGATACGGCACATACTATAACACGTACGTAAATTCTTATGTGTGTCCCGTGTGTACAACGTTGTATCCTTGCTGACCGTCACTAACGACCTTGTCTTCCTTCTGTAGGTACGGCTTTGGAGAGCTCACTCAAGCCATTGCGACATGGCTTCAGACAACGCAACTGGAGCACCTCCTCTCGAGCCCTTTCATCGGGATAACGCTCGTTGAGAGCACCGACCGTCGGCGCGGCAAGCACATGATTGTGTTTGCCACGTTTCTCCGCGAAGGCCGAGTTGTCACTGAGTTCGTCGCGCATTTAACGGTTGATAGGGCTGACGCTGCATCTTTGTGCAGTTTGTTGCTTTCCCACCTCAGGGCAGTCGGCGTTGACCTCCGGCGTATCTCGGGAGTGAGCACGGATGGCGCCCTGTGATGGCGGGGAGTCAAAACGGTGTGGTTGCTCGTCTGCGAATGCTCATCCCCAACCTGGTCTCGTTTCACTGCATCGCTCACAGGTGCGTTTGTGTTTTAACGCCATGTGTAAACGGCAAATCTGTTTGTTTTATGAAAAACTAACCGTGCATGTGTGGTTTTGTCTGGCAGGGAGGCCTTGGCTGCCAAGGCCGCAGCGGAGAAGATACCCACCTTCAACATGGTCGACGACGTGATCCGCGTCGTCGCAGAGTACCTCGGGCAATCAGGGCCGTGGCATCAGCGCTTCATGGAGCTCTAGGAGGTGTTCACGTCCACCATCCTCGAGGTCCAAGGCATACACGACGTGCGGTGGCTGTCCAGAGGAGCTGCAGTTGCCCGCTTCGTCCAAGTCCTACCTGCCATCATGGTCATGTTGTCGGAGTGGAAGGACCAGACCATGTACGAACTCGTCACGTCGTACAGGTTCCAGTTCCTCATCAGGTTCCTCGCGGACATGCTGGAGCAGCTCAACGTCCTCTCCTCAGTTTTTCAGAAGCGAGAAGTAAGTGAATTTGAGGGTGTAGATTGTATTGGTTTAAGTTCGAGACCCATTGTACTAATTCTCTTTGTATGTTTGTGATGCAGCTCGACTACGCGCTGGTGCACACGCAGATTGTGCGCACCACATCGATCCTGGAGGTTTGGGGGGGGGGGGGGGGGGGCGACCGAGAGGCTCTACCGCTTCATTGAGAAGCACGGTCCGGGAGGGACACCAGAAATGGTGGTGGAAGGATCATCGTCCGACGGCAGTATGAACCGCTTCAAGGTGAAGCTTCACGAACGCACAAACCCAAGCTATCGTGGGCCTGGTCATCACCACGCTGCGTTGCGCTCTGCACCGACATGGCCGAGCTCGTTGTCGAGCAGCTCCAGTCCAAGCTCGGCGACCTTGACTCACTTTCCGGAGTGCGGCTGTTTATTCCGAAGATGTGGCAACCTCACTGGGACCGGGACGCACGGCAGGCACAGTGCCTGGAGTGGCTGATGTCGCTTGTCACGTTGTTTCGCGCAGATGAAGCCGACGAGATACTACCTGGTATGGTTTTGTGTCACCCCGCCCCTTTCCCCCTTTGGCTATGGCTCGTTTACTTAACCCGTGTCTCGTTTTGCCTTGCAGGCATTGACAAGAAAAAAGCCATGAGGGAGCTGCGCACACTGTGTCCGGTCCTTGCCAGAGCCCCCAAGAGCGAGCGCAAGTTCCACACGGGACTTAGTGCGATGCTCAGGACACCCGACTGGCAGCAGGCGTACCCCAACCTGGTCGGACTGTGGGTGGCGATTGCGGTGCTGCCTCTCAGCACGGTCGAGTGCGAGCGCGGTTTCTCCCGACAGAATCTCATCAAAACGTGGCAGAGGGGCAGCATTAAGGACTGTAGGCTGAGTGATCTGCTCTGTATTTCACTCCTAGACTATGAGCTAGATGTCCCAGGAGTAGTAGAGATATGGCGCAGCTACAAGAAGTGCCGGCCGGTCACAGCACCTGCTGCAAGGCACAAAGAGGAGCCCTCGTGGGCTGGGAAGGAGCCTGTAGACGAGGCAGTAGTAGAACGTGAACCTGTATTAGACTATCAAGAAATGTAAGAAGGTTACTTAGTGTTTTCATTATAACAACAAAATTGACTGACTCTGTATGTTCAGCGTAGAAGTGCAAGTGTAGTCTGAAATCTCAGACTTAAAAAATCAGGTCACTCTGACAGCCAGACTAGGAAGAGCAGTGTACTCTGAGGCCTCAGACTACCTCAAAACGAATCTAGGGGCCTGGTCAAACATATGTAAGAGGTGGGAGAAGATGAAAGCCCATCAAGGTGCCTCAACAGTAGCAGGTGCATTTTCATCCGCCAATGCAGGAATGGAGTCGAGCGTTGGCAAGAACTGGGGTGGAAGCGGAGGAGAGAGCACTTGTGCCGTGTGACCGATGGAGTTCTTTTCTCGGAGCTCACATAGGTCTGCCTTTTCTGCGGCCATGCGTGCCTGTGGAGGATGTGAGAGGACAGAGTCAAGATGGGAGAGGAGAGAAGTGAGGAAAATTGAGAGGGGAGCGAGAGGAGGGGAGAGAGGGTAAGGGAGAGGGGAAGGCAGAGGGTGGGTGAGAGCAGGGACGGGAGAGGTGGGGAGAGGAAAGGGGCTTGCATTGACAGCAAGCCAAGAAACCATGTCATACTTCAACATTCAAAAAGCAAGTGGCAAACTTGCACAAGCCCCCAGCGCACTGAGCATCAAAGTCACCAAACATTATTTTAGCCTCTCAAAAACACCCTGAGCACAGGTGTTACAAGGGGTGTTACTGATCCCAGTACTCACTTGAAACTTGAGATCGCTGATCTCATCCTCCCAGCCTTGATCCTGAGCTTGAGCGAGCTCAGAGCAGCAAGGGTTACACCCCGAGCAAACAAGTCACCAAGCCCAGCTACTCACCTGGAACTTGAGGTCGCTGATCTCGTCGTCTGCAGCTTTGATCCTGAACTTGAGAGCGTTCAGAGCCGCTAGGGCCGCACCCGATGGGTCCGCACCTAACGTCCCCTCTCCCACACTGCTGCTTCCACCACTGCTGCTGCTGCTCTCACCGCCGTTCTCTGTATCTGCTGCACCCTCAGTTATCTGCATGGGCAGAGAGGTACAGATGGAGCAGATTGCCATGTGAAACTCATAGCAATCCACGCATAGCTACGGCAGCAGCATGTGAAATATATTTATGTGGCGCCTCAAAGACAGAGGCACAGAGGGAGCAGAGTGTCATGTGAAACTCAAAACGAGTTTCACGCATAGCTGCTGCAGCATGTCAAATCCGCGTCAAAGCAATGAGCTCAGTTGAAGTGAGTGAGGTGACTCGTAGCGAGAGAAATGCAACTGGGTCGTGAGGACGTGGCACTGACCTGGAGGACAGCTTGGCAGACAGTGAGCAGCTTCTGTGCCACGTCAGCACTGCCCCTCTCCACCTCCTGCAATAAAGGGGAACCCGGGTATGCAGGGAGCAGAGAAACACAGTTTGACCAAATGGGCAGCTTGGGGGGGTCTTCAGCCCTATAGGGGAAGAGGGGAGGAGGGAAGAGGCAGCAGTTGGACCGCCACCACCCACCACCCACCACCCACCTCCAGTCGCTGCTGCAGCCTCGCCTCCTCATCATAGCCAATCAATCCTCTCCGCCTGTCCCGCCCTTGCCCCTGTGCTAACCCCTGGTTCTACACTCGCACTCCTCCCTTCCCCTTACCCACCCACCCACCTCCTGTCGCTGCTGCAGCCTCGCCTCCTCATCATAGCCAATCTTCTCCGCCTGCCCCCCCTTCCTCTCATGCTGGTATGACATTTGAGAATTCTCAAAAGCTACACAACCCCACCTTTAGACGGACCCATCACCACTGCTTACCTCCAGTCGCTGCTGCAGCCTCGCCTCCTCATTAAAATCAATTTTCTCTGCCTGCCCCGCCTTGCGCCTGTGCTAACCCCTCTGGTGCTACATCCCACCACCACCACCAACACTATCACCCACCTCCAGTCGCTGCTGCAGCCTCGCCTCCTCATCAAAATCAATTCTCTCTGCCTGCCCCGCCTTCTTCCTGTGCCGCCCCACCTCCTCCTCCAGCCGCTTCACTCGCAACTCCATGCGCTTCACTGCTGCTGCCATCTCCTCGTTCTGCGCCCTCAGAGTGCTGTTCTCCACCTGTGTGAGGGGGAAAGGAGGTCGTCAGAGATGGGGGAAGGAGAGGAGGGGTTGGGATTGTGGCTTCACCCGCCCTTCCATGCGCTTCACTGCTGCTCCAAGCTCCTCGTTCTGCGCCCTCAGAGTGCTGTTCTCCAGCTGTGCAAGAAAGAATCTTAGGGGAGGGGGGGGAAGCGTGGAGGGAGTGTGGGGGAGGAAAAGGGCGAAGGGTGGAAGGGAGAGAGGAGTTGAGAGAGTGGCTTCACCCGCCCCTCCATTCGCTTCACTGTTGCTGCCAGCTCCTCGTTCTGTGCCCGCAAAGCGCTGTTCTCCACCTGTGTGGGGAGAGGGGGGAACGCAGGGGAGGAGACAAGCGGTTGAGACAGTAACTTCACCCGCCCCTCCATATGCTTCACTGTTGCTGCCAGCTCCTCGTTCTGCGCCCTCAGAGCAACGTTGTCCGCCTGAGCAGGTGGAAGGTTTAGTTTTGAGTGAACTCAAAAGTAAGTTTAGTTTTGAGTGAACTCAAAACTCAGCTCCTCGTTCTGCGCCCTCAGAGCAACGTTGTCCGCCTGAGCAGGTGGAAGGTTTAGTTTTGAGTGAACTCAAAAGTAAGTTTAGTTTTGAGTGAACTCAAAACTCAGCTCCTCGTTCTGCGCCCTCAGAGCAACGTTGTCCGCCTGAGCAGGTGGAAGGTTTAGTTTTGAGTGAACTCAAAAGTAAGTTTAGTTTTGAGTGAACTCAAAACTCAGCTCCTCGTTCTGCGCCCTCAGAGCAACGTTGTCCGCCTGAGCAGGTGGAAGGTTTAGTTTTGAGTGAACTCAAAAGTAAGTTTAGTTTTGAGTGAACTCAAAACTCAGCTCCTCGTTCTGCGCCCTCAGAGCAACGTTGTCTGCCTGAGCAGGTGGAAAGAAACGGAAAAGTGGAGGTGGAAAGGGAAAGCAAGGGGGTTCGCGATGGCGTGGATTCACGTCCCCTGCTACACAACACAATTCGCTGCTGCTGCTAGCCGCGCCAGCTCAACCCACCCTCAGCCTGGAAAACACTTGCAGTGGTTCAAGCTGTGGTATTAAACCACCCTCCACACCCCCACACACCTTGAGCTTGAATGCGCTGGTTTAGGCTGTGCTGCCCCACCAGCATCTGCAGTTCACCCCACTCTAATCTGGAATAGCCATCCTTCCCTTAATCTCGTACCTTGACCTTGGAAAACACGTGCAGCACAAGCTGAAGGAAGGATGACCATTCACGATAAATCTAGCACTGCTTCGGCTTGTGCTGCACCACCAGCCGCGCCAGTTCGTGAGGTGACACCCGAGTCAACTCAAAGGTCTCTCCCCATTCACACCCCTCCACACCCTAACGCACCTTTACCTTGGAAAACGTGTGAATGCGCAGTTTTGGATTGTGCTGCCCCACCAGCCCCGCCAGCTCCCTCTCTCTTTTCTTCCAACATCAACCCACCCTCAACTTGGAAGATCGAACCCTCTGACTATGCCTCACCTTGACCTTGGAAAACGTGTGAATGCGCTGTTTCGGGTTGTGCTGCCCCACCAGCCCCGCCAGCTCCCTCTCTCGTTTCTTCCAACATCAACCCACCCTCAGCTTGGAAGATCGAACCCTCTGACTATGCCTCACCTTGACCTTGGAAAACGTGTGAATGCGCTGTTTCGGGTTGTGCTGCCCCACCAGCCCCACAAGCTCGCCCTCTGCCTTCTCCAACTGCTGCTGCACGCCCTCCAGTTGTTGCTGGGGTGGGGTAGAAAGATGAGCGAAAGGAAAGGAGAAGAGAAGAGAAAACAAAGGGTGACGGGACGAACAGGAGAGGCCAAACCCGAGTATCTCCCTCGCCAGCACACTCCACCTTCTCCAACTGCTGCTGCACGTCCACCACTTGTTGCTGGGTTAGGGGAAGGAGCCACGAAAAGGGGAAGAGGCAAAAGAACCATAAATCAAGAAAATGGTTCACACCGGCCTCTCCATTTCGCCCTCTGCCTCCTAACAACTGCTGTTGCACGCCCTCCAGTTGTTTGCTGGTGGGGGAGGAGAGAGGAGGGTGGAAGGGATGTTTTCTGTTGAACCACTGCCTTGCGCTGTCGCTCTGGATGCCACTGCTGCAGTGCAGTGCCTGCTGCTGCACTGCACCAAAAGACAGTTTCTAAGACGCCCTAGAAGCACAATCTCACGCTGAGCACTCTTCTGGAAAAGCACCTGGTCCCTCTCCCAGTAATCCGTTCCGCCATGCTCCTCTGCAGCACTGCATGCCGCAGATGCTGACCGCTTCTGACCGCTGCACTGATTGCTGCTGTGCTGGATGTAGCTGCTGCACTAAGAAACTGTTTCTGAGGAGTTATAGAAACCCGCTCTCACCTTAAGGTGAGCATTCTCCTGGGAGAGCGCGTGATTCTTCTGCAGGCTCTTGTCTGCCATGCTCCTCTGCAGCACTGCCTCCGACTGCTGTGCTGCCCCCTTCTGCTGCATTTCCTGCTGAAGCACTACCTTCAACCCATCAAGCGCCTCTCACCTTGAGGTGAGCATTCTCCTGCGTGAGCGTGTGGTTCTTCTGCATGCACTTGTCCGCCATGCTCCTCTGCAGCACTGCCTCTGACCGAATCTGCTGTATCTCCACCAGAAATCTGGCGGGATGGGGAATGTATGAGAAACGGACAGAATGAGTGTGATCAGGATGGGGCGGACAGAAAACTCTAGGGAATATATGAGAAACAGAAACCGCAATGCATAGCCACAGCACCACATCAAACCGTGTTTCCTGCACGCTGCATCTTCACTACCAGAATTAGCATGAAATGGATGCTGGGAAAGCACAGATCGGGAGTTCCGAACGCCGTGTAAGTGGGTGTTGAAAATCCTCCAAGGAAGAAGCCAGTGACAAAGTGTTTCCAGAAGTGCAAGTTCTTAATGCTTGTTGCAAGCAACACCAGAGGAGAGGGGAATGGATGAAATGAGGAGTGTCTGGGAAGGCGGAAGGTTGAGGAGCGGAGCAGAGAGGTGAATGAGGAACGGTCGAGATACACCTCTTTTTTAAGAATGGAAAAGGATCCGAGTAGAGAGAGAGCAGGTGAAAAGAAGAAGGGTGGCGTATGTCTTGTTCTCGACAATGAGAAAGGGATTTCAGAGCTGAGAGGGCAGATGAGAAGGCAAGGTTGACGTACTTGTCTTTCTCGTGAAGGAGGAGGTCTTGCTGCGTGCGAAGCTGGCGAATCTCGTGATCCTGGCAGAAGAAGCAACGAGGGACGGAGTTCAAAAGGGGAGAGATAAGGAAGGGGAAGGACGAAGACAAGGTGAGGGAATGGGCAAAGGCATGGACGTTGGAAGCTGGCGGATCTCGTGATCCTGGCAGAAGAAGCAATGAGGAGGAGAGGTCGGAAGGAAAGGGACAGGGAAGGGAAGGACGAAGGCAAGCACGTTGGCAGAAAATCTATGGTCCTGATGGAGGCGAGGCGACAAGGAGGGGACGAGAGGGCGTGGGTGGAGGGAAAACTTGCCACCATGGCAGGGTTGCTGATTGAAGGAGCCATCTGTGCCACGTGAAGTGCATGATTGAGGAGAGCATGGAACATTCTGGGAGTGGGGCTGCCGTAGTAATAAACAAGGCCACCAACTCGCCTGTGCAGTAAATCAACTAAAAAAACTGTGCCACGTGAAGTGCATGATTGAGGAGGAGAGCACGGAACATTCTGGGAGTGGGAGTAACAACCAAGGCCACCAACCCACTCAATGCATCACCTGTTTGCTGAGGCGCCTCAACACCTGAGCGCGGCAACCCACCTTTTGCAGCACTTGCTGGTGCCTCCTCAGTGCTTTCGCCTTTAGCAGTTCCACTGCTGCCCCTCCTGCTGCTGCACCTGCTGCATCAGGCGAGCATCCCCCATCCGCGGCCGCTTCACTGCCTCCAATACCCGACTCTGATGCCGATCCTGCTGCTTCAAGAATGGAGCCCATGCCCATGCCCATGCCCATGCTCATGCTCATATCCGTCGCTCCAGGTGACCCGTCTTGTGTGCTTCGTCTGCTCCTTGCCCGCGTGGGAGCTGGAGTGCTCATGGCAGCGAGTGAGCCGCGCACCGACTGCTCCGATGCACACAGCTGGGCGTGAAGCAGGCGGTTCTGGTAGGGATGGGAGGGACGGGAGGGATGGGAGGGATGGGAAGGATAGGCGCACGGGAAGGTTGGGTTGTGATGAAGGAAAATCTGCGGTGGAGTGCTCATGGCAGCGCGTGAGCCGCGGACTGACTGACTGCTCCGATGCACACAGCTGGGCGTGAAGCAGGCGGTTCTGGGGGTATGGACTGGAGAGATGGGGGCATGGGAAAGAGCAGCGAGAATGGAAACACGCCTGTGCTGGAGTGCTCATGGCAGAGCGTGACCCGTGCACTGACTGCTCTGACGCTCTCAGCTGGGCGTGCAGTGTATGGTTCTGCAGGTATAAGGGCTATCGGAGGGATGAGAGGGATGGGTTAATGCGGGGATGAGAGGGATGCGGTAATGCGGGGATGAGAGGGATGGGGTAATGCGGGGATGAGAGGGATGGGGGATGGGTGATGAGAGGGATGGGGGCATGGACAGGAAGGGGGGCGAGTTGAGAGCGATAGGGGCATGGCCAGGCTTTCACAATGCAGTGCTAGAAAAGGTGAAAGTTGTTGTGGGACATCTCCCAAGTACGCACCTCCTTCTGAAGAACTTCAATCTGCTTCACCAGCTGCTTCACCTCGCCCTCCTTCCTCTCCATCTCCCTCTCCCTCTCCCTCTCCCTCTCCATCCTCCCACTCCACCATTCATCACCACTCCCCACCGCTCCCTCCCTCCCACTCTCCAAACCGCCAGCAGCACACACCACACTTCCATCCAGACGTGCAGGCAAGCTCATTCTCCCACCCTGCCTCCCTCTCCCCAGTTCACGAGAAGCCGAGAAGAGCACTGGAGTGGCATGTGGCTGCTGCAAGCTCACTGCTGACACCCCATCTGTTCCCACGTCGGCAGCACGAACAGGAGAACTCAGGACCCCCATCCCATGCTCCTCCCCACCTTCTTCCCACCCAACCCCTTCCCCATCTCCCTTCTCCTCGCTCCTCCTTTCCCCCTCATCCTCTCCTTTCCCCTTTTCCTCCTCCCCATTCTCCTTCTCCTTCTCCACCTTCTCCTCCACCCCAGACTCCCCCCTCTGATCCAACAGCCACCTTTCCCGCTCCAGAACCTCCCTTACTGCTCGCATCTGCTCCACCTCCCTCCTCTGCTTCTCCCTCTCCGCCCTAAACCCTGCCAATTCAGCATCCATCTGTGCTCCCTGCCCCTCCAGAGCAGCAGACGATGCTCTCAGCCGCTCCTCCTCCATCCTTCTCTCATCCTCCGTCTGCCCCCTACCCTCCTTCGCTCGCTGCCCTTCCCCCTCTGCCTGCACTGCCGGTGTGACCTCCCCCTTCTCCCCCATCTCCGCCACCTCAGGCATTTCCGCCAACTCCCCCATCTCCCCCATCTCCCCCGTTCCCAACACCTCTTCCCGCTCGATACTCCCCACTCCTATCCCCTCCATCTCTGATGATATCTCATCCCGATCCCTCTCTTCCTGCAGCACACCCTCCTCGCCCAGCACACCCCCCTCACCCGCCTCCTCATCCCGCCTCCTCTTTTCCTCCACCTCTCTCCTCCTCTCCTCCACCTCCCTCCTCCTCTCCTCCACCACCCTCCTCTCCCTCTCCACCCTCGCTTCCTCCCCTTCCAACTCCCTCTCCCTCACCCTCCCATCCCAAATCCTCGCTCTAAGCGCCCCAATTGCAAGCTCAAAGCTCTCTCTCCTCCCCTTCCCCGGCACCGGAACCACATCCCCTTCCTCCAACCCCAACCGCCCCCTCAGCACCCCATTCTCATCCACCAAAGCCCTCACTTCCTTCTCCGCTTTCCACACTGCCTCATCCGCCTCTCTCCTCTCCTCCTCCGCCCTCTCCTTCCCCTCCTTAACCCCCCTCAGCTCTCGCTGTACCAGCTCCAGAACCACCCTCCCCCAGTTATACCTCACACCCATGTCATACCAACATCCCCCTGGATATTGCACCTCTTGCCGGTGAGTCTCCCAGGCCCCCCACGTGTCCTCCCACACTCCCAGCTTCACCGTCACCTCTTCCAACTCCCTCCGACTCCTCTCCAACTCCTCCTTATGCCTCCGAATCTCCTCCTCTTTCCCCTCAACCTCCTCTCGCACCTGCAACAACTCCCCCTCCAGCTCTTCCCGAGACTGCCCCTGCTCCAGCCCCCCTTCTCCTTCCATCTTCACCATTCCAAACCGACCAATACCTTCCATATCTTCCAGTATCCCCTGCAGCAACATCACCTCTGCATTCGCCCTGACAGCTTCTGCCTCCTCACTCTGCATCAGACCCTCCAGAACCTCCAGCCTCGCTCTCACACTCTCCTCTTCCTCCAGCCTCTCTCTCACTCTCTCCCCTGCCAAAGCCGCTTCTTCCTGCGCCTCCTGCACCTTCCTCACTGCCTCCGCCAGTCTCACCGCATCCTCTTCCGCCCTCCTCTCCGCCTCCCGCCCGTTCTCCTCCAATTCCTCTACCTTCCTCATAAGCTCATCCACTAGCCGTTGTGCCTGCTCCCTCTCTACCTCCTCCCCCTCGCTCACCCTCACCTCTCCTCCTGCCACCTCACTCCCCGCATCCACCACGTCACCCTCCCCACCTGCCACCTCATCCCCCCCAACACCCGCCCCAACTCCCCCTTCCCCCACCTCACCTCCCGCACCCACCACCCCGCCCTCCCTCACCCTCCTCTCTGCCTCCTCCGCCCTCTCCCCTGCACTCAACACCTGCGCTCTCACCGCACCCATTTCCTCCCTCATCCTCTCCAACGCCTTCTCATCCTCCACCTTCTGTTCCGCCGCCTTCACCAGCCTCTGTAACGCCGCCCGTAGCTCATGCTTCAACCTCACATACTTGGCCTTCGTCTCCTCCGAATCATCCAGCAATCCCCGCAGATTCTTCGCCTCATCCATCGTCCTCTGAAGGCTCCTCTCTGCAGCAATCCTCCTAGCAGTCGCCTCTTGAGTCTTCTTCCACTCTGCTTCCGCCAATTGTGCCGCCTCCTCCCCCAAATCCCTCTCCCTCCTTAGCGCCTCTTCCAAATCCCTCTTCTCCTCCTCGCTCCGCTCCTCTCGACCCTGCAGCGCCCGAACCTGTTCCTGAATCGCCCGCAGCTGCTCCTCCACCGAAGCTTTTTCCCGAGCCAACGCCGCAGCCGCGGCGGCCGCTTCCCGAACCTCTCTCTCCGCTTCCTCCGCCAGCCTCTCCGCCTCGTGCCTCCGCCCCTCCTCCGTCTGCATCCTCTCTACAAGCTCCCTCGCTTCCTGCTCCTGGAGCTTCAGATTCGCCTTGAGCGCGCTATTAGCCCACTCTGCCTCGAGTTTCCCTTTAATTGCCGAGTCCAAATCCAACCTCTGCTGCCTGAACCGGTCCTGATCCTTCCCCACATGCCTGAGTGAAGACCTACAGTCAACCACACATTCCATACCTCCCACTCTTCCCCCTCCTCCTCCCCCTCCGCCTCCGCCTCTTCCTGCTGTAGCACCCTTGCCCCTCGTTGAAAGCGGAGTCTCAAACCCCTTGGCGCCAGAAAACGCCTCCTCGAGATTCCTATTGATGCCTGCCCCCAGTGCGGTACCAAACCCGCCGCTGCTGGGAGTGGTGACATGAGCGCCCCGAGTGGTGGTGACCAGAGGCGTGGGAATGAGAGTGCTGGGGGCAGCAGCACGGGCGACTGATGGGACGGGAGTGGGCGCGGAGGTAAGACCTCCCTTCTGTGTGGTGAGGCCTCTCTGGAACGCGGAGGAGGAGGTATCGGCGTTTAGAGCCTTGAGAGAGCTGATTTGCTCTTCCAGAGAGAGGTTCTGAGCAGCCAGCAGCTGCATCTCCGCCTCCATCTCTTTCGTTTGCCTGTTGGATGGGCAGAAGAGGGATCGAGGCATGGAAGGACGGAGGGATGGAAGGATGAAGGGGTGGGGGAGCGGATGGCGCGCATAAATTGAGACTTTCAGCAGCCAGCAGCTGCATCTCCGCCCCTGCACCCGGCCAGCTTTTGAGTTGACTCAAGAGTCACCTAACCCATCATCCACCATTCGTCTCTCACCTCGACAGCTGCTCATTGGCAGCATCAGACAGCCTTACGCGCTCCCTGCACGGATCCACCTGGTGTGCTCCCTGCAGCGAGCCAGCTGTTGCGTCGACTCAAGAGTCACCTACTGTCTGCCGCTCAGCTCGCCGGCTCCGACAGCCCGCCCTAGCTGCTCCCTGCAGCGAGCCAGCTGCTCACGCACTCCCCAGCATCACTATACCTGCATTTCCCTCTGGATCTTGCCGGTCTCTCACCTCGCCAGCTGCTCGTTAGCAGCATCTGACAGCCGTAGGTGCTCCCTGCAGCGACCCAGCTCTGCCCGTGCGCCCTGCAGCTCCTGCGTGAGCTCCTCTATGTGCGCCTGCGCGTGGCCCCCGCCCGCTGCTGCCTTCTGCACCAACAGCTCCGCCACCTGGTGAGGAGAAACGAAGGAGAGGGCAAGGAGGGTAGGGGAGGAAGGGAGGGCAGGGAGGGCAGGGAGGGCAGGGAGGAAGCGGGGCAGGGAGGGCAGGGAGTGGGGGAGGGCAGAGAGGGAGTGGGGCAGGGAGGTAAGCATCAGACAGCCTTAGGTGCTCCCTGCAGCGACCCAGCTCCGCCCGTGCGCCCTGCAGCTCCTGCGTGAGCTCCTCTATGCGCGCCTGCGCGTGGCCCCCGCCCGCTGCTGCCTTCTGCACCAACAGCTCCGCCACCTGGTGAGGAGAAATACGTGTGGTGAGAAAATGGAGGGCAAGGTTGAAAGGGAGGGGGTATGGGAGTGCTGCCCCTTGCTGCTGCCTTCTGCACCAGCAGCTCCGCCAACTGGTGAGCAGGAACACGTGTGGGGAGAATCCAGGGATGGGAGGACAGGGAGGGCAGGGATGGCAGGAAGAAGGGAGGGGATGTAAGGCAGGAGGGGCAGGGGGGGCAGGGAGCGGAGGTAAGGCAAGGAGGGCAGGCAGGGGAGGTAATGCACAGGAGGACGGGAGACACTCCGCAGTGCTCTCCCATTACACCACACTGTTCTTCCCTCACACCGCATTGTTCTCCCCTCTCACCGCACTGCTCTCCTCTCACACCGAACTGCGCTCGCCTGACCCTCCAGTTCGCTCAACCACACTACACAGTGCTCACCTGATCCTTCAGATTCTCCATATCACTCTGCACACCCTCCGACCCACTTCCCTCCTCCTCCACCTCCTCCTCCTCCTCCCCCTCCTCCACAGTCGCCAACCTTCCTTCCATCCCCTCCCCCTCTGCACCACCAGCATCACCAGCACCACCGTTAGCACCCATCACATCAACCTGATTCCCACCCCCACCACGAGCAGCAGTAGCAGCAGCAGCGGAAGCAGCAGCGAGCTGCTTCCTCAGCTTCGCATTCTCGCCCCTCAGAACGCCCACTTCCCTCTCCAGCTCCCTCTCCCTGCGCAAGCACCCCGCCAGCGTCCGCTCCAGCCGCTCAATCTCCCCCAGCAGCTGCACATGCCTGGGCGAGTTCGCCCTCTCCTGCAACGCTATTGCCAGTGGGGAGCAGGCAGCAGCACTGGTGGAGGTACCAGCAGCATTGGTGGCAGGGTTGCGGGGTGTCCTGGGTGTGGTGGTGCGGGAGTGAGGGAGGGAGAAGGGCGGCGAGGAGGAGGAGGCAGGGAGGAGCAAACGGGCTTCGCAGGTGCAGAGCTTGTACAGTCGATGAAGCTCGTCCTGTGTGTGGGGATGGTGGGAGAGGAGGGGAGAAGAGGGAGGACGCATGGTTGAAGGGAAACGAGGCAGCAGGGAGTGAGAATGACAGGAGAAGGTGTCGTTAGGAAGGAGATAAGTAGAAACAAGAGAGACAGGCAAGGCGAGGATCCATCAAACTCAAAATGCACCTGAAGGTTGTTCTTCGTGCGTTGAGTCGACTAAGAAGAGGCTCACCTTGTGCCTCACCTTGAGCACCGTGTGCATGACTGTGAGCATTGCCGTGCGCACCCTGAGCCATATAAGGGGGCAGGGAGCTTCGCAGCTTGAGGGCGTCATGCTCACCCTCTGAGACATTTGGAGTTGTGCTGAGTTGTCTCAGAACGCACCTTGTGCTCGGCTAGCTCGTGCTTGAGAGCATCTTTTCTACCCTCCGCAGCCTCGTTCACCACCGGTCCACTGCCTTGTTGTGCATTCTGACTCGACTGAAAATACACCTAAGCATCGCACCTTGAGCCTTGCGATTTCCTTCTTGAGAGCGTCCTTCTCGCCCTCTGCAGCCTCATTCACCACTGCCTTGTTATGCACCAGCTTCGCCCGCTGTGCGAATTTGAGCGTACTGTGCGACTCCCGGAATGACCTGCGGATGCAGCCACACACGAGGCACGGTAACAAGAGATTATGCATGAGATGAGGCATCCCGAGAACTTGCCCTGATGTGAGACTCACAGCACGATCTTGGCATGTATGAATGCATGCAGGGGAGACATGCTACACAAGGGACGCGATATGTGCCAGAGCGTCACACGAGAAAAACTAAGAAGAAAAGGCTTCAAGGACGACAAGGGAGGGAGGTGGGGGACGGAGACTTAAGAGCCGAGTCTGAGTTGTGAGCGGGCAGCAGTGTCACGGGAAGGTGCGTGCCCCGTGCTCGCTATCATGCTTACCTCTCTTGCTGCTGGCATTCCTGCTGCTTACCCTGCGAATGGGCTGATGCACGCGATAATGGTGGTCTTTGAGTTGCCTCCCAGAGAGTCCTGCACACGGAGATGGTGGTGAGTGGAAGGAGGAGCAAGAGTATTCACCTGGAAGAGCAAGGAGGAAGAGTATTCACCTGGAAGAGCAAGGAGGAAGAGTATTCATCTGGAAGAGCAAGGAGGAAGGGTATTCACATGGAGGAGCGAATTGAAAACCCGGAGGAAGAAGAGGCAAGAATATTTACCTGGAGGGGAAAGGGAACCTCACCTGGAGAAGCCATGGTGTTCACCTGGAGAAGAAAGGTGAGGTAGGAGTCGCGGTAGGGCACGTGGCGAGGCCTGTTCTCCCTCAGCGACTCCACCAGCACCATGATCACCTTGCTGTTACACACAAACACACAAACACAGACGATTGTGGGACACAGGAATCAAAACAAATGACATGTGATAAGCGCTTGCGTAGCGACTCCACCTGATGCCCGGCCCTCAATTGAATAAGTGGCATTGATCCGACTAGCACCGTAATGACCTTCATCATACGTGCACACAGCATATTAAGAAGAGGAGAGTGGCTGGCGACAACCCCGAGTTGGGAGGGAGATGTGTTGATGGAGCTCGCCACCTTGATCCACACATGCTCTCAAAGCGTCCTCTCAGCAATTCACATAGAAGCACTCATTCTCGGCACGCACAGGCAAGGGAGAGAGCCAAGGGAGAGAGGCGACGAACCCGAGCTGGGAGAGGGAAGTGTTGATGGAGCTCGCCTCCTTGAGCCGCTCATGTCCTCAAAGCATCCCCTCAGCATTTTAAACAGTGTGCATGCGTGCATACAGCATCACGGTGCATCATGCACAGATAAGGATGAGAGGTGACAAACCCGAGCTGGGAGAGCGAGGTGTTGATGGAGCTCGCCTCCTTGAGCCGCTCTCCTGTGGCCCCTGATGACTTCTGCCTGGCAGGGGTGGAGCGCAGTGGGGTGGGGAGGGGTGGAGTGGGAAATTGAGGGGTGGAGTGGGGTGGGAAGTACTCTTTGTAATGGGGAAGAGGGGATGAGGGATACCTTTCAAGATGTGCAACAGGGTAAGCGAGGTACCCTTTCAGAGCATCAAAAGGCAAGTCAATAGATGGCGAGAGGGGATGGGAGGGGGTACCTTTCAGAGCCTGCTAGGTCAACGAGATTGAGTTGACCAAAGCGCCGATTGCTGATACCCTCAACCGTCCACTGCAGCGGAGGGAAGGGGAGACATGGGAGGCGTGGTGAGGCACGTCAAGACACGCACACATCTGCATACTTGCACATATGCACACACACATGCTGTTGCATGATGCATGCATGAGAGAACGTAAGCATGGAAGAGGCACCCAATGAGTGTGCCCACTGTGCTATCAGCGCTCACATTGCTCTCTCTCAGTACGCCAGGTATGTGTTGCCATCTGTGCATGTGTGTGTCTGCAGCAGCAGCAGCAGCAGCAGCACTCACTGTGCTCTCAATGCTGCCAGTGGCAGGCACTCACGGTTCTCCTCCGCAAGCCTGCCAGCACCAGCACTGCACTTACCGTGCTCTCGATGTTGCACGTGAAGACGCTGTGAGACCGGCTGCTCTCCCGGTTCATGTTCGTCCCCGCCACCCGCCGGTTCTTCGCTCCCTGCACACACACACACACACACACACACACACACACACACACACACACACACACACACACACACACACACACCGATGTCAACACTTTGTTACAACATTGAGCCGACTCAGAAGTAGACGACTTTCTAGACGTCTCAAAAGTTGCACACACACACACAGACACGCCGATGTCAACACTCTGTTACAACCTTGAGCCAACTCGAAGGCATCTCTGTGCATAAGAGCAGGCCACTTACTCGCTGGATGAGCTCCATGACTTGAGCAAAGCAGGTGACCGGCTGCTTGGTGAGATTCTCCACATAAACGCCATTGGGGCCCTCCCGGATCTGAGGGAGACAAAAAGGGGAGGGCGTGGGGAAGAGGGGGGGGGGGGGAAGGCAGGAAAGAGTGTTTGAGAGGCTTACAAATGTGTGTGACAGGAATGGATAGGCGAATAAAGACTGGATTGTAAATATCCAGGAATGAGCACGTTCACATGAACGTGAGACGCTCGCCCTACACCTGAAACCCTAAGCGTTATACCCTGAACCCTGAACCCTGGAACCACATGCAGGTTGCAGCGCTTGAGGTCCAGCAGATCATACAGAAAGTGCTCGTTGTAACTTTCCAGGAAGGAGCACGTGCAGATGAAAGTGAGACGTCTCAAGACACATGCACCCTACACCTTAAACCCTAAGCCCTCATCCCTGTGCTCACGTGCAGGTTGCAGCGCTTGGGGTCTAGCAGGTCATAGAAGTGCTCGTTGTAGATTTCCAGGAAAGAGCACGTGCAGATGAACGTGAGGCGCTCGCCCGCCCTCTGCTGCTTCTCCTGGCAAGGTTGACGGATGGGGAGAGGAGGGAAGAAACAGAGGTGGAGAGAGGAGGAAAGAAACAGAGGTGGAGAGAGGAGGGAAGAAACAGAGGTGGGGAGAGGAGGGAAGAAACAGAGGTGGGGAGAGGAGGGAAGAAACAGAGGTGGGGAGAGGAGGGAAGAAACAGAGGTGGGGAGAGGAGGGAAGAAACAGAGGTGGGGAGAGGAGGGAAGAAACAGAGGTGGAGAGAGGAGGGAAGAAACAAAGGTGGGGAGAGGAGGGAAGACACAGAGGTGGAGAGAGGAGGGAAGTCACAGAGGTGGGGAAAGGAGGAGGGAAAGAATAAAAGGTGGGAAGAGAGAAGGAGGAAAGGAAGAGACGAGGGGCAAGAAGAAGGGAAGGGAGATGGCATTGGGAAAGGGAGAAGGAGAGTGAGACTCTGGTTAGGAGAAATGGAGTTGGTGGGGGCAAGAGTTGAAGGGTGATGGAAGAAGGTGTGATGGACTCAAACACGGGCATGGTGAAACGGAAGGTAGAGTAGAGCAGCAAACAGCTAGCAGACAGACGGACGGTTGTCAAATTTTTGAGTCGACTCAAAAACAGAGTGAAGGAAGGGGAAGGGGAGGATGAGGAAGGTGTGGTTGTGGAGGAGGATGAAGGGTTTTTGAGTCGACTAAAAAACGGAAGGTAGAGTAGAGCAGCAAACAGGTAGCAGACAGACGGACAGTTGTCAAATTAAAGCAAGGTCTGCTGTCAATATTCAGTCGGCTTAGAAGCAACCACATCAGGCAGCCGTAAATTTCCAATCAAGATCCCAATCCAGATTTGAAATCCCAAGGTTCTGGTCCCCAGAAGTTCTGCACGCAGGCAGCAAGGAGTGCCGGCAGCGAGGTGTGCAGTCTTTTTGAGACGCACCTGTTGCATCAGGGCGAAGACCAGCTGGAAGACTCGCGGGATCATCCCCCACCTCGACCCGACCTCCACGTCAGTGTTATCCCCTCGCAATCTGTCCACGTCAGCCTTGTCCACGTCAGCTCCAAACATTGTGTACGTCTTCCCGCTGCCCGTCTGAGATGTGTCATGAGGAAGAGGGAGTGGGCAAACGGGGGGAGGAAAGGAGAGTGGCCAGGAGGAGGGAGGGAGGGCATACAAAAAGGTTGAAATGGAATATGAAAGGATGACAATCTAAGACATCTCAAAAGTAGAGGGAGAGCATGCAGAAAGAAAGAAACAAGGATATGCTCTAGGAAGGGGATACTGCATGAATAAGACTGCTGGGGATGTTGTCAAGGGGTTCAGGGGATAGGGAAAGGGCAAGAGGGACGGGGGGGGAATACCACCATGTTATATGCCACAATTTTTTAGGCGCCTCAAAACTGAGACGATTTTTGAGGCGCCTCAAAAATGTTGTCAGGGGGTTCAGGGAATAGGGAAGAGGCAAGAGGGACGGGTGGGGAAATACCACCATGCCATATGCCACACACGGGAAGCCTTGAAACCACCGTTATCCATGGCAGATACAACGAACCTGGCCATACGCGAACATAGTGCTGTTGTACCCAGCTAGGCAGTTCTCGACTATGGGCCTCCCTGCCAGCTCGAACAGGTCCTCCTGCACAGGGAAAGGGGGGAAGGGGGGCAACGAGGGAGAGGGACAGGGGATGGGGGCTTAGAGAAGAGCTTTGTAACTATGGCCTCCCTGCCAGCTCAAACAGGCCTCCTGCACAGGGAAAGGGGGGAAAAAGGGGCAATGGGGGAGAGTGGTAGGGGATGGGGGCTTAGAGAAGATATTCTAAACTATGGGCCTCCCTCCCAGCTCGAACAGAACCTCCTGCACGAGGAGAAGTGGGGAAAAGGGGCAAGAAGGGGGGAAGGGGCTTATGAGGCGCTTCAGAGAGAGGCAATTCTCGACTATGGGCCTCCCTGCCAGCTCGAACAGGTCCTCCTGCACGAGTAGACAACGGAGAGGGACCAGGGAGGGGGAAGGGAGAGGGGGAAGCGGGTGAGGGGAGCAGCGAGAGGTGGAAGGAAGGAACAACGACCAGACGTGGAAGGAAGGAAAAGAACCTGTCTTGGTTCACCAGGAGCAGCGACCAGGGGCCGTCTTGTGCCCCTGTTCCCACGAGTACCTTCAATAGGTTCTACCTCGACCTTCATTTCAAGAGCTCTGCCACTCCCATCCCCATGCCCACCTGCGACGCGCTCACCCCTACCCTTCAATCCAACAACCCCCGATCCCTGATCCCCACGCCCACCTGCACCGCGCTCTCCCCTGCCACGTGGTCGAATGTGAACTGCTCCGCTGCGCCCGCCCTGTCCGGGTTCACTAGGAACAGCGACCGGGGGCCGTCCTGTGCCACACACTTGGCCCCGGGATACCCCGTCAGCTCAGGGCCTGCTGGCGGTCGCACCCTCACGATCACCTGACGGTGGGCGATTTGGGTAAAGGGGGGAGAGAGAGAAAGAAAAAACGGAGGTGAAATTAGAGTTGGCAAAAGAGCGACTGGGGGCCGTCCTGTGCCACGCACCGCCCCCCAGGGTACCCCGTCAGCTCAGGGCCTGCTGGCGGCCGCACCCTCACGATCACCTGATGGTGGGGTGGGAGGAGGGGGAGAGAAGAAGAAAAGAGGTTACAATCAAGTCAACTAAAGAGCGACCAAGAGCCGTCCTGTACCACACACTTGGCTTCGGAATACCCTGTCAGCTCAGGGCCTGCTGGCGGCCGCACCCTCACGATCACCTGATGGTGCGACGCGCGGTTGGGGGTGGGGAGAGAGGGCAGAAATAGATATGACGTTTGAGTCGACTTGGGGGGAGAGAGAAGAAACGGAAGTTACTTTTGAGTCGACTCAAGTCGGTACACAAAAGGAGGTGGCCCAAAAAGAGTGGGAGCTTGAGTCCTAACCATGATCCAGCGCAGCAAGCAAACGCACACTCTCATGCAAAGGACTCTGAAACGTGACATCTCATGCATTCGATCCTGAATTCCTCTTCGAAATTCCTCTGAATCTTCAAATCACCCTCGCCCATGTATGAAATGTGAGACATCCAATTTCCCTTGGATTCCTTACTTGGATGTTGGAATCATCCGAGATTGCGGCTGATAACCGTGTGGGGACGGGACGAGTCCTCGTGGCAGTGCTCGGGGTCTTGACAGCGATGGTGCGATCGCGATCTGCAGGTAGAGAGGGACGCACGGACGGATAACGCATGAATCCGGTAAATCAGAGGCAGAAAGGTAAAATTGCTTTGAGACGTCTCAGAGCAAATTCTGTTTCACGCTGCTCGAATCTTGACAGCGATGGTGCGATAACGATCTGCGGGTAGAGAGGATAAATGACCGGCGTAGGTCCTGGCAAAGAGGACGCACGGAAGGATGAAGCATGAATCATGGTCAACGTGCGGACTGTTGAGTCGACTCAGAAATCGGCCGCGAATAGACGCACGGAAGGATGACAAAAACAAGAGATGGTCGTATCAAAATAAGAGGGTGATTGGAGTATCGTCCATAGTGCCTCAAGTGCAGTACGGCTCAAATACTCACACGCCTGCGACTGCGGCGTAAGCACGTTGCCGGTCAGCGTCGCAAGCCCCGCTCTAGGCGTGCCTCGCTGCGACAACGACGACGACGACGATCCTCCTGCCTGCAACGACGACGACGAACCCCCTTGTGTCTGACGGCTGAGAGGTTCAGCCTTGCTGGGTCCGCTTTGCAGTCCCGCGGACCTGTGACGGCCTACGGAAGCGGGCGACGGAGCCATGTTCTCCATCCTGAAACTGGGGGAGAAGCGAGAAGAATGGAGAGAATGGAGAGTAAAAACAGGAAACATTTAAGAGGTGAATGGGGAAACGTCGAGACTTCAAATCTTGCTGTCCGTTACTTGGAACGATGCTTCTACGATTCATTCACTGGATGTAGATATTCCAGGTGAAAATTGTCAGCTGAGCCTTGACTCCGAAGTCGGAAAAGCTTACTATCACCTCGTCACATATGTCGGAAGTAAAGGCCTTACAGTGTAAGAAATGAATGTATTTTCTTGGTTGACGATTGAAGTCCTTAGCGTTCAGTAAACAGTTAAACCGAATTCAACAGCTCAAAAGGCGATAAGGCCAGCGAGATGCTGGCGACCCTAGGATGCAAGCCTACGAGGTAACTTACAGTCAACTCAACAACCAGCCTCTACTAAGCTAAAAAAGCTGTCACGTCGAGACCAGAAGCCATGTAAGCTAAACAGTAATCTAAAGGGATCTGCTGAACGGCATCGTGCCACTACCCTGAAGTAGTATTAGAACTGTTCAACTTGTGAGCCAACAGGTACCTAGCGGGACTCTAGCAGTAGTTTTGCCTTGGAGTTGCCTAGGAGTTGTCTTGGAGTTAGTCTTAGAAATGTATTGGAGCTGCCTATGAGTTGTCTTGGGTTTGAACTTCTTAGGATGTGGTTGGCAGTTGGGATTGAATGGGTGGAGAGGTTCCTTTGACCTAGGCTGCCCTGCCTACCACAAGTTTTTCATTCGTACGATGAGCATTTGCTCAATCCATGGTTACATATTACAGTCATCCGAGTTGAATGAACCTTTCAGAAGGGACGACAAAACTCATTCAACCGAACCATAACGAAACCCGCGACCACGACTGGGCGAAGTCACCCCATGCAATACCTGATTGCTATGCGGAATACACACAAGATTGACCGATAATTTAGGGCAATGCTTCGAATCCACCAGGACGCGGAGCCGGCGGAAGATTTCTGCCCGGGGCAAAAAAAAAGTATTCCCCATCGCGACCGGCATGCCGTTCGGGAGCCTCAACCCTAAAATTTTAGGGTTGATGCTCCCGAGCCGCATGCCTTCCGAGTGGGTTTTAGTTTTTTTCTTGCCCGCGGGCAGATCCCTTCCGCGAGCAGGCGGAAGCGGTCGCGCAATCGCCCGTGGTTTACTGTTCCTGCTCGTATGAACATTTGAAAAGCCCTGATTGTTTCCTATCTCTGACGAGCCGCGGAAACTAACTGGAGTGGTCAGGTTCAAATATTCGCGCGCGAAGAAACCACCGGAGTCCTGGAAAGATAGTATAAATGCGCGAAGAAACCACCCGAGTGTAGAACTGACCAGTATCTGTTCAAGATCCAGGGAATCTCAGACCACTGCTCGCACGAATTCTGACAATGACAGCCTCGAGCTCGCCGCCATGGCTGCCTACCGCTTGCCTGGAACTCACATTGCGTGAAGCATGTTTATCAGCTGGTTTTAATTTTACCGGCTTCGGATTCGCTACACCTTTACGAAGAAGACTATACCCTTTATGTGTTCATCAGGCGAACATTGAACGGTCTTCTCAAGGGTGTCTTTCGCTGGTCATAGTTTCAAAGCCCGATGCTAACGCGTGGCTCTCTAGGTTCTAGTTCATTGTCAAGGAACAACCTAAGCTATCTACCATTGGCTACTCAGATGTTACGCAACGGGATGATCCCGAAGTGTTACCCTCAACAATGCAACACCTATGCCATGAACAATGGACAACGTCAGGAGGCTATCATCTATTTAACATTGCTGTGCTCAGACGACCGGCTCATCAGCTCAATCAGTTCTCTCAGATCTTGCTCCAAGAGCTCCTGCCAGGTCATTGTAATCATCGCACGATGCCTCCGAAGAACTCACGCGCTAAGCCTGTGGTCGATGCCCCTATTGGTGGGAGTGATCCTGCAGGCAGTACAACACCAGGCAAGGGAAAGGTGATCATTGATAACCTTCCGTCGGAAGCGGAAGTGACGGCTGGCAACTCCGGACTGACCCTTGAAGAGAAGTTGAAGGCGCTGGCTACGGTGGCCTCGGATGATTTTTTCATCGATGATGATTCGGACGAGAAGCTCGACATTATGGCAACAAAGAGCTCTTACCCGCATTTGCGCTTCACGGCGATCCTGCTCTTCCCGGTTATTCCTTCCCGTGAAGTCGCTTCGGTCATTTTGACCGTGAAAACGCTGATGAAGCGCGTCTGGTCTAACCTGTTGACTGGCGATGTTCTCGTTTCGGTGAAGTTCCAGGAGCTGCTCCCTGCCTTCGTCACAAAGACCCGTTATAGTCGGTTTCAGGTCTCCTTCCTGCACGAAGCTGACGTGGTGAGCATCAAGCAGACTGCGGTCGAACACAAGCGTCAGAACGGCACGACGATTCACTGCTTATGGCTGCATCAGGAGGATGCGGCTTACCTTCGCAAGAAGGCTTTGAGCCCGCAGCTGCTGGAGGTTTTCTTCAAGAACGTACCTGCTGACATCCCGCCTGAGCTGGTTAAGGAGATCATGGTGACTCACCCCTTCAAGATCCGGAGGCAGTCTGCCTTCGCTGAAGGCCACTGCTTCCACCATGTCCTACATCCCGTCACTGATGCGGATACGGACAAAGTCAATGTATTGGTGATCCAGCACGCCGGCGACAAGCACCGTTGGCGTCACGAGTTCCGTCATCAGTCGCTGGGAGGAACGTTCCTGTTGGCTCACTACCCGCTGCTATCTTGCGCGCTCTGTGGTGGTCATCATTAGGACAAGTTTCATAATGCTTTCATCACGGAGCGTCAGAATAACATAGGGAAGTGGAGTTTAACTGTGGGTCGGGTCCATACGATCAATGGTAACCGCATCTCACCATTTCCGGGTTGTCGTTTTGCTTTGCATGTCTTAACGGTTACTAACGCGCCGCTTGCCTCTTGCAGCTGCTTCTCTCCACGCTTCCCCGCTTATCACCCCGCTACTGCTGGATGCGGCTTTTGTGCTGATCTCTACTGGGAGCAACCGCGAGGAGTGGTTGTGCACTCTCGAAAGCTGCGGGAAGGCCCACGGCAAGTCTTTTATGGCAGCAGCAGACCATATCACGTCGGCGAGTCACTTGCTGGGCCTGGAGATGCTGGGCGCTGCCACCCGCTGCTCTCTGGAGAAGCTAGGTCTGCATATCATCCGCAAGGAGTACAAGATCTGAGATCATCACATGCATACCTGACGCAGTGTAGTGTTGTGGTGGAGCCGATGCGTGTTTGTGTAGTTGTAGCCGGTTGTACCCGCCCGTGGATGCGATGGGGCTAGTCATAAGTGATTAAACGAATACAAAAACCTATTATCTTTGGCAGGCCTGAATGTCAACGGCCTGGGAGATGGGAACAAGCAACAACACACGAAATGATGGACCAGACAGGCTGCAGATGTTATTCTGTTATCTGACGTCAGGCTCTCAGACGACCACACCTTCTGGAAATCTCTTAACCAACCCAACATCTTAGTCGCCCCGCCTACCACCAAAGCCGGGGGTGTGGCTCTCATCTCCCGCGGACCCGGCCTCTCCCTTCACAACACGCTGGTTCACTCGTCAGGCAGACTTGTCGCAGCGGAAGTCCGCCTTGACTCTTTCAGCATCACTTTGCTGGCCGTCTATTTCCCGGCGGATGCAGACGAAAGAAAGGCTTTCGTTCGCAGAACCCTGGGCTCGGTGATTGATTCGGTGCAGTCGGGTTCGCACCTGCTTATCCTGGGGGACTTCAACCTGATAGAGGACCCACTAATGGATAGGACGTCGAGGAAAGGTTGGGCAAAAGAGAATGAGGAGCTCTATCAGCGGTGCTGCGCTTTCAGTGTTTCGGACGCTTTCAGGGTGCTGCACCCTTACAAGCGGGAGTTTACCTTTTACTCATGTGCTAACCAGTCCAGCTCGCGGATTGATAGGGCGCTTATCTCGCAGTCGTTGCTATCGCACGTGGAGTTTGCCCTTACACATCATGCCGGCGGACCCGATCTCGGACCACACCTTCGCGGTGAAGGTCGCCTTCTGGATGGATACACGGGTGTAGCTCGAGCCCGGGCTTTGGAAGCTGCCTGCATACATGATCGGGCGGCCGGGGGTCAGGAAGATTATTGAAGCAGTGGATAGGCAACTGGCGTCGAATGGGGAGAACTTCGAGCTGCTGATCTCGCGGCTTAATGCCGGTCTCAAATCTTGCGTGAAGGAGGAGCGTAAGCGGGTTAAAGCCACGTTGGTCCACCTAGGTGCTGGTGGGGCTGCTACTCTAGGTGCTAGCGCGTCTGCTGCCCAAGGTGCTGGTGAGTCTGCCCTCTCACGTACCATGTCGGCTCAGGCCTTCCACACCTTCACCCTTGACTCAGGTGCTTCCCGCTCCTTCTTTCGGGACCGCACCACACTTACGCCGCTTAGTCGGCCGGTCGCGGTCTCCCTGGCGGACCCCTCTGGGGTTCCTGTCCTTGCTCACTTCTCCACTGTCTTACCGTATCCGGCAGCCCCCTCTGGCACCCTGTCAGGTCTCTGCCCCCCCTCGTTCTCTACGAACTTGGTGAGTGGCATTGATCTATAGGATAAAGGGGTTGACCAACTTCACATGTGCTCGGACAGGCCGACACTTGGCCACGTTCACCCGTCGGCCAGGGTCGAGCCTGTACACCCTCACTATCGAGTCTCCTCCAGCTGCTGAGCCTGGTCAGGTCGCTGCATCAAGTCAGGTGTTTGCTACAGCGTCCAGATCTAGTCCTGAGTCTGCTCCCTGCTCGTGTCGTCTCCTGTCTCACCAGACTCTCCTTTGGCACCACCGCCTTGGTCACCCCTCCCTGCCTCGTCTCCGAGGCATGGCCTCCCATGTCCTTGTCTCTGGTCTCCCCCGGTCTTTCCCTCCTCTACCTCCGGGGCCTGCCCCTACCACCGTCCCCTGCGTTGAAGGGCGACAACGCGACGCCCCTCACTCCTCAGAGTTTCCTCCGATAGAGGCTCCGTTGTAGACTCTTCACATGGACGTGTGGTGCCCCACCCGCGTCCGTGGCCAGGGGCACGAGCGTTACTTCCTGTTGGTGGTTGACGACTACTCGCGTTACACCACGCTCTTCCCCTTGCGCAGCAAGGGCGACGTCACTGAGGTGTTGATCAACTGGATCCGCGCAGCTCGTCTCCAGCTCAGAGAGAGTTTCGGCTCCAACTTTCGTGTTCTGCGTCTGCACTTTGACAAGGGCGGGGACTTTTCCTCTGCCCATCTGGGAGCCTTCTGTCAGGCACAGGGCATCCGCCAGACCTTCACGCTTCCGGCATCTCTACAGCAAAATGAGATTGCTGAGCGCCGCATTGGCATGGTCATGGACGTCGCTCGTACGTCCATGATCCATGCGGCTGCCCCTCATTTTCTGTGCACCTCATTTTCTGTGGCCGTTTGCGGTTCAGTACGCGGCGCATCAACTCAACCTTCAGCCCCGAGTCTCCTTGCCAGAGAACTCCCCCACCTTGCGGTGGACGGGGAAGGTTGATGATGCGTCTGAGTTTCGGGTCCGGGGATTTCGGGCGTTTGTCCGCGACTTGTCTGCGAACAAGCTGTCCCCCGATGCTGTTCCCTGCGTCTTCCTTGGCTTCCCCCCTGACGCGCCTGGTTGGCAGTTTTACCACCCCACCTCATGCCGTCTTCTGTCCTCCCAGGACGTCACATTTGACGAATCGGTGCCTTACTACCGTCTCTTCCCCTACCGCGCCGCGCCCCTTCCCCCGCCGCCGCTCTTCCTTGCACCAGGTCCTCCCCCGGTAGACCCCGTCCCCCCTCACGGTCTTGCCCCGTCAGGTATGTCCCAGGTAGACACAGTCGAGCCTGTTGAGGTAGCTGTTGACTCTCCTGCTGCTAGAGGTGCTGAGCCTGCGGGTGCCGGGTCTGGGGGTGCTGAGCCTGCGGGTGCCAGGTATAGGGGTGCTGAGCTTGGGGGTGCTAAGACTGGGGTTGCTGAGTCTGGGGGTGCTGAGTCTGGAGGTGCTGAGCCTGGGGGTGCGGAGCCTGGGGGTGCGGAGCCTGGGGGTGCGGAGTCTGGGGGCGCTGGGTCTGCTTGTGTGGCCGCCGGCGGTGCTTCGTCGAGGCAGGAGCCACTCTCTCCGCTGGAGCTGCGCGAGTGGTTTGCCCGGCGCTGGAGCCGCGCTGCTGGAGCTGGAGGTACTACTGTTGCTTCTGGTCATGGAGGTGCTCGTACTAGCGGTGCCGGAGCTGCTGGGCCTGGGGGTGCTGCTGGGGCTGCTGGAGTTGGTCCTGCTGGAGCTTCTGGCGGTACTGGAGCTGCCGGTCCTGCTCGAGTTGGTGGTGCTGGAGTTGCTGGAGCTTCTGGAGCTGGAGCTGCTGGGGGTGTTGGCGCTCGTGGTTTTGCTGGCGCTGGTGCGTCTGAGGGTGCTAGAGTTGGTGCTGTTGGAGCTGGAGGTGCTGCTGGCGCTGGTGCTACCGCTGGGGGTACTGGTGCTGTCCTTGCTGGTTCTGGAGGCACTGCGCGGCCGCGGCCGCACTTCGTTCCGCTACTTGAGCAGGTTCTTGGTCTCCCACCCTCTACTGGTCCTCCTCCTCCCTTAGAGTGTCCACAGCCTTTCCAGTCGCAGTCACAGTTACAGCCCGCCTCCCCTCTACCTGCTCTTTCTCCATACACTGGTCCTACTGGAGGTCTTGCTGAGCGACGTGAGCCTGCGTCTCGTCCTGCGTCGCCTGTTCGTGCTGCTCGCACTAGTAGTCGTGCTCCGCATCCGCGTCCTCTTGCGGTCCAAGGCACACACGAGATGGCCCTGCTCCTTCCACTGCTCCTCTGCATGTCCCGTTGCCGTCTCCTCCAAAATCCTCTCTTCTTGTCCTTCCTGATCCTTAGTCTGACTCTCTTCGTGCTGCCAGACCTACTGTCACTTGCTCTTGGCCACGGTTGTCTCTGACCCTTTCTTTGAGTCCACTGCTGCGTCTGCCTTAGTGTCTGAGCTTGTGAACTTCGCTGTTCGCTGTCGTCTAGACTACGCCACTAGTCTTGTTGCTGAGTCGGAGTCTGTCTGTCCTTCGTCCGTCAGGGGTGGGTGTGCTCTTAGCACGGACGTCCTTGAGGAGAGGCAGGAGGAGTTTGTGTGTTTTGCTGCTGCTTTGTCTCATCTCGTGTCCACGCTGATTGCCCCTTGAGGGAGACCCGGATGCACCAGACATCCGGACTCCTCGATCGTACGCTGAGGCGATCGAGGGTCCCTACTCCTCTCAGAGGAATTCAGCTATGGACGCAAAGATGGCTTCCTGGAAGTCCACAGGCACCTAGGTCGACGAGGTTCCCCCACCTGGGGCCAACATTGTCAGTGGCATGTGGATTTTCAGGGTGAAGCGGCCGCCGGGCTCTTCGCCTGTCTTCAAGGCGCGTTACGTGGCTCGAGGCTTCAGTCGGCGGTAGGGAGTTGACTACTTTCGGACCTTTTCTCCCAACCCGAAGATGACCACGCTTCGGGTGCTGCTGCACATAGTCGCTCAACGCGACTACGAACTTCACTCTCTTGACTTCAGCATAGCTTTCCTGTAGGGCAGCCTCCACGAGGAGATCTGGCTGCGCCGCCCACCTAGCTTCACTGGGTCGTTTCCTCCTGGTACCTAGTGGAGCCTCCGGCGGCCAGTCTACGGTCTCCGCCAGGCGCCTCGTGAGTGGCATGACAGACTGAGGACTACACTTGCGGCTCTTGGGTTTGCTCCTTCTACAGCCGACCGGTCGCTGTTTCTGCGCACCGACACCTCTTTGCCGCCGTTCTACATCCTTGTGTACGTCGACGACTTGGTCTTTGCCACTCCTGACACTGCTGGACTCGCCCACGTGAAGTCTGAGCTGCAAAAGAGACACACGTGCACAGACCTGGGTGAACTGCGCAGCTACCTTGGCTTGCAGATCACCCTGGACAGAGCACAGCGCACCATTACCCTGACTCAGTCACACATGGTGCACTAGGTCCTTCAGCGCTTCGGCTGCACGTACTCCTCGCCTCAAGCCACTCCTCTGTCTATTCGCCACTCGCTCTCAGCTTTGCCTTCGGATGAGTACGTAGAGTCGAGTGGCCCATACCCAGAGCTTGTTGGCTGCCTCATGTACCTAATGACCTGCACATGATCTGACCTTGCATACCCTCTTAGCATCTTGGCACTCTATGTTGCTCCTTGGAGACACAGACCAGAGCACATGGCTACAGCGAAGAGGGTGTTGCGCTACGTGTGCAGTACGTCGGGCATGGGGCTAGTGCTTGGAGGGCGACGTCGAGTGGTCCTCACAGGTCACGCAGATGCTTCTTGGGCTGACGACTAGCGGACACAGCAATCGTTACAGGGTTACACCTTCAGCCTTGGCTCCGACTCTGTTTCGTGGCGGTCTACCCGCTCGTCTTTTGTTCTCACCTCCCAGCTGTGAGGCTGAGATCTACGCGGGGGCCATGACTGCACAGGAGCTACGCTGGTTCACCTACCTGCTGAATGACCTAGGAGAGCCGCCTTGTTCTCCTCCAGTTATGTACATAGACAACAAGGCCATGCTGGCCTTGTGTCGTGAGCACAGACTGGAGCACAGAACGAAGCACATTGCTCTTCGCTTCTTCCTTGCTCGTGAGCTGCAGCAGCGTGTTCAACTCCGCCTCACCTACGTGGCCTTTGAGGCCAACACTGCTGATATCTTTACCAAGGCCCTTCCGCCTTGTGATCATCAGGGCTTCTGTGCTATGCTAGGTCTTGTGCCTACTTAGCCTCACTTGCTCATTGCTTGACCTTGTTTGTAGTGTACTCTTTCTATACTTGCACTTGCTTGTTTACCTTTATATATACGATCTTGCATGTGAACTGGCCTTGTGGCCTTGCTCTTGTGCTCGGACTGTGTGGTGACGTTGGGATCCCCCCTGAGCTTGCCTTGTTTTGCTTGACTGGTCTTGTGACCCCTTGTTCTCCCCCTTTTTGCCTATGGGGGTGTGTCAGGCATATATGCTATAGTTTGTGTAGGCTGTAGTGGGGGAGTTCATATGGGGTACAACACTTTAGGGTTTACGACTTGTACTCCTCATTTTGCCCAATGCATTTATTCCTTGCTTCTTATCACCAGGATGTTGTCGTGGTGCTGAAACAGGAGTGGATGGGTGACCCGGGGAATGACCGGCTAAAGGCTCTGTTTGTCGAGAAGGAGTCGCAGCTTCGCGGGTATCAACTGGCGAGGCAAGAGAGATTGCATGTGATGGCTGGCATGGACGACGCGATGGCTGGGGAGATTGCGTCCCCGTTCTTGTGAGGGAAGATCAAGGCAAGACGAGAGAAAACACAGATCAAGGAACTGTGTGCTGGAGGCGTGAGGGTCACTAACAATTAAGCAATACTTTTGGTTGCAACGCAATTTTATAGAGACCTTTTCAGGCACGACAGGCAGCTGATTGAGTCAGGCTGGGCTCCTGCCGGTGGCAGGACGCTGTCGCCGACATCTAGGGAGAGGCAAACGGTGGCATGGTCGGAGAGGGAGGTGAAAAGCGCTTTTCGCGCAATGGAGAAGAATAAGGCTTCAGGGAGCAATGGGCTACCAAGGGAGCTGTTTGAGGAGCACTGGGATGTGCTGGGTAAGCACTTCATGGCGCTGGTGGAGAGTTTCACCGAGTCGTCGGAGCTCTCGCAAGCACAAGGAGCGCTGTTACGATTCTGTTGCACAAAAAAGGCGGAAGGGATGCGGTTGAAAACTATCGCCCCATCACGCTCCTGAGCTTCGCTTACAAGGTATTGGCACGAGTCATCGCAGACAGAATGAAGGGTGTCCTGAACGAGGTGATCTCGTCAGAGCAGTACGGGTTTCTGCCGGGCCGGAGGCTCTCTGATGCGGTGGGGTTGGTCGCTGACGTGATCGATGCTGCAAAGAACGAACAGGCGGACTGGTACCTCCTGCTGGTGGATTTCAAGAAGGCTTTTGACTCAGTCTCGACGAATTACCTATTTTTGGTGCTGGAAAAGATGGGCTTCCCCAGTAAGTTCGTCGGCTGGATAAGGGGTTTGCACGAGGAAACACAGACACGACTTTAAGTCAACGGCTGGATGGGAGAAGTGGTTGAAGTGGTATCGGGGGTGCGGCAAGGCTGTCCCCTCGCGCCTTACCTTTTCTTGTGCGCCGTTGAGCCGCTGGCACAGGAAGCTGTAAATCGCAATCTGGGCCTCACAGGGGGTCATCAACGACTAGCCAACCTGGGGTACGCTGACGACGCGACGTTGCTCCTGCAAGGGGAAGAACAGATGTCAGAGGCTGAGAAGCTGCTGGACGACTTCGAAAAGGAATCGGGGCTGGCGACCAACAAATCGAAGTCGGCTGTCCTACCCTTGGGCTGCAATTTGAACAAACAGGCTAGCAAAATTGATGGTTTCAAATGGGTGAAGGCCGACGAGGCGGAGAGACTGTTGGGGGTCTGGGTGACGGCGGCCGGTTGCTGCGCGCCCACCTGGGAGAGGGCATTCACACGGATAAAGGAGAAACTGGGGTAGTGGGAGGTGCAACACCTGATGACCGGTGCGAGAGCAGCAGTAATAAACTGTTACATCTCACCTATCATCTTCTTTCAGGCGCAGGTGTACCCACCTCCGGTTGACATATGGGGAAGGATTCTGAAGCTGACACACAACTTCATGTCTGGGAACCGTGCCTCCACAGACAAAGCCTTCATTCTGTGGAGCAAGGAGTTGCTGTACATGGCTAGAGAGGATGGGGGTGTGGGGGTGTGCGATCCGGAGATAGTCATCGCCTGTCTCTCGGCTAGGCGTATCGGCTTACTCCTCACCGAGACAAACGAGCTGAAACGGGACATTATGCTCAAGGCTGCTGACTTGCCGCTGGGGCTGGACAACTTTGTTTCTCATGTCGAGCTCCTGAAGTGCTGGAGTGGGAAGAGTGAGCGATAGAAGCTGGCTTGTGGCGACTTCATGCAATCGCCGCTGGCCGACACATCTCCTGCACTGTCACGGGCGGAGGCAGAGAAGGAGAGGATCGTTTTCAACCGACATATTTTGCTAAACAGGAGGACTCCGATGGGAGGGCAGAAGGCAGCGGAGAAGCTCTAGGAGGTGCGGCTTAGCGACTTGCTAAGCCCGGACGGTGCGGGGGGCCGGTGGCCTAAGGACGTAAAGCTCCTGGCGAAGGAGCTAGGCGGTACCAAACAAGCAAAGCTGGCGCTGCGAGCCTGGGATGCAGTGCCGCAGAACTGGAAGCTGCTCCTTCTGCCTGCCGAGCAACAGGATGGGGACGTTATGGCTACGAGGGCTCCCTTGCAGAGAACCCTGGTGCTCAGCGATGGGCAGCTGATGTGGCTGAGGGAGCTAAAGGGATGCTGGCAGCAGAAGAAACATCAGTCCGCGAAGAGAGAGTTGTGGGCGGGCAGATGGGGAGGAGAAATTAACTGGAAGGAGGTTATCAAGATCCGGGACTCTTTGGTGACACCAAACAGGCGCGGGACGTACTGCTAAGGATTCACAGTTTGAATCTGCAAGAGGGGAAACGACTCTCTTTCCTAAGTGGCAAGCCGGTCTGCCCGCACTGTGAAGATTTTGAGACCATAGAGCACTACCTCTTCACCTGCCCGCGCATTCAGCTGGTGGTGGGGGCAGTCTGGCCGGCCATGCTTTTGCTTCATCCAGTGAGGCAAGTGGAGAGCCTAGGTGATTTGTTGTTCGGTAAGGCAGCATCCACCTCAGCCTTCCCTGAAGCCTCGCTCGCAGCAATTGCGGTGCATCAGATATGGACAGAGCGGTGTGATTGTGTTTTTCGAGAGAAGCGTTTCCGGGCTCGGCGCGTTCTCAGGCGCATTGAGGAAGCTTTTCCTCTGCATGTGAAAGTGTACACCCATGCAATGGGGAGGGAGCTGGGAAAGGGCGGTGGTTCGAAGCGACAAGGGAGGACTTTTGCACTGGCGGGCTTGGAGAACTATTTGCTTGGACGCATCCGATGCATGAATGAGAAGGGCTGGAAGTGGACCCGCAATTTTGGGGCACTGTAAAACCTCGCGCGTGGCGCTCTGCATCCGCCTTAGACGCTTCCTCTAGGGCCGTTACTAGTTCTCGGCCTTTTGCGATCAGTTAAGACTGACATATGTTTTGGTATACGCATGTACCACCAGTGTATAGTGAACATATTACACAAAAAAAATGCGCTAAATGCTCCCTCATTAATTTATGCGTCATCCTTTCGCAAATACATTTCGCAACTGAAGAGTAAGTGTTGAAGAGATTGTAACACCCTACCAATCAGCTGTAAGCGGCACTGACACAATGCGGTAAGTCATGACGAGGTCATGGCAGCAATCCAGATAAGCTGGAAATTTCGCGAACCCCCAGAGCACAAGATCAGTGTGCGAACTACAGCGATTTTGAAATCACCTCGCGAACTTCTCTATGGTGCCTCTCCCACATTCTACCTGGTTTGGCCGCTCCAGTCTGAAGCTAGGGTCTTTCGCTGAGATCGCCCAAACTGGGTTCATCGCAGCATCTTCTCGCATGCGACCATGTTACGACTTTCCTTCCAACGTTTCGTACTCCCAACGAAGATCCTTATAGCGAAAATTAGTGACAACCACCCCTGCCCAAGCTAAATGGTAATTCTCATCCAAGGAAGATTTCGTCCGTTATAATGGTAGAACGTGATAGCTTCCAGTATTGCATGACTGTTATTATCTCTCGTGAGTCGTGACTATGGCTGGCCATAATTTCTTGCCTCGCAGGGATTGGGACCCCTGCTCGTCTAGCAAAAAAATGAGAGAACGTCGTAACTATCCCGACGACCGCTTGGTTTCCTCGTCTTCACCCCCAGCTGCTCCAAGCTCTTCGTTCCTTCCCGTTTCGTCTTCGCCTCCTCCTAGACCGCTCTCCGTCCCCTCCTCTCTTTCCGCTTCTTTCTCCTCCTCACTAGCAGCAAAGCAGGCTCAGACCATGCTTTTGAGAGAATTAGTGGAACCTGCGCGGAAGCTTCTTCCCGCGTCGCCTTACCTGAATCCGAGCTCCAACGGCCATCCGTCCACTCCACCTCCTAATCCCAAGGTACATATTTTAACTCACTTTCATGAAGCATGCTTTCTCTCACTTTGTATGGAGTTGCTTCGTGCAAAGTGAGAGAAAGTAGGCAACTTCGAACATACTTTTCCCATTCACAGTACGTTTTATTCTCGAGATTTGGAACATACCCGTGGCCGTTCTGCTTTCTCCGTTCCCCACTCCCCGTTCCCCACTCCCCATTTACCACTCCCTCTTTCCACTCGCCACCGCTCTCCTACCCTCAGAAATCCCGCCATCTCTGCGCCACCATCATCCAGGCCGTCTCTCGGTTCGTCGCCTCGTTGTCTCGCGTCAAGCCTGCTTCCCTTCCCTAACCCGTCCCACTCCCCACCCTCCCTCTCCCTCCCTTCAGGAATCCCGCCATCTCTGCGCCACCATCATTCAGGCCGTCTCTCGCTTCGTTGCCTCCTCATCCCACGTCAATCCCACACTGCCCTTCCCTTCTCCTCCACTCCCCCCCCCCCCCCCCCTCTTCCCCTCCTCCCCTTCCTCCCCGTAACCTCAGGAGTCCCGCCATCTGCGCGCCACCATCATTCAGGCCGTCTCTCGCTTCATTGCATCCTCATCTCAAGACAGGCCAACTTCCACAGCCCCTCGCTTTCCTCCCTCCCCGTCCCTCAGGAGTCACTTCAACTCCACGCCACCATCATCAAGGCCGTCTCTCGCTTTGTTGCCTCCTCAGTTCAGGTCAAGTTCACTTTCCTTCCCCAAACTCCCCCTTTTTTTCCTCCACTCAGGAGTCCCGTCATCTGCGCTCAACAATCATTCAGGCCGTCTCTCACTTCGTCGCCTCCTCCTCGCGCATCAAGCCCTCCCAGCTGCCTTTGCTCGTCTCTGCTTTCTTCATCTCACCCATTCCAGCCGTTTCAAACCCATGTCATCATACCAGACCAAACCGTTCTAAACCTTCTGCCCTTGCAACTGCTGCTCCCGCCGCTGCGTCTGATTCTGCTTCTCCTGCTGCTACTGCTGCTGTTGCTTCCGCCACTGTTGCTTCGCCTGTCCCTGCTGCTGCCCCCCGTGCTGCTGCTCCTCCTGCCGCTGCTGCTTCTGTGTCCTGTCCAACTCCTGCCGATGCTCTTCTAGCGCTGCTCTTAGCAGAGCAGCCTACATGTTGCAGGAGTGGTGGAGGGTGCGCGGAGGTGGAGGGCGGTGCTGCAGGGTGTGCAGCAGATGCTGAGTGTGGGGCTGAATGCATTCGAGTGCTCACGAGGCCTCCTGCCTCCACCAAAGAAGCTAAGGTACTTCGCTTTATCTTCTGTTTACTTTGTGCCTATGCTGTGCTTTGCTTGTCTCCTGCCTGCGTATATCCAGTACTCTTCCTCCATAGCCTTCAGTTCTCCACCTATTTCCTGCAAACGATCAATGATTTTTTTTTGTGTTCCAGTTTGGCACAGATGATGTCTTTTTCCATACATCGGCCATATGCCCGTCCCTTACTCGTCTTCAACCCTTCCTCCTTCCTCCTTCCTTTCCTTGCTTCCCCCTTTCCCCACTCCAGCTGCAGCACTGTCTCGTCCCACTCCTCCTTCACATCGCATCCCGCCTTGTCACTGCCACAGCAAATTCGCCCTACGCTCACTCTCCAATTCCACCCAACACCAGGGCCCATCCCCACCCCTATAATGCACATCCGCACTCCTATCACCTTCAACTGCAATCTCTGTCGACCAGTCATGCACATCCGCTGTCCGCCACTCAGACTCATCTGGGCTGTGCGTTTGACACGTGCCGCCACGCCCTTGCCCGCCTATCTTCTGAGCTCGGTCCACTGCAGTGCTCCCAGCATCTGCTACTACACGCTGATATTGTTGATGCTACTGATGTTGGTGCAGCAGCAGCTGCTGTTGCTGCTCCTCCTGCTGCTTCTTGTTTTCCCGCTGTTTGCACACCTGCTCCTGTCTTTTCTGCTGCTGCTGCTCCTGGCACCAGGGATATCGGCCCTTCTGGTGCTCAATTTGCTGCAGTTGCAGCTCCTGCTGTCACCAGCAGCAGCAGCAGCAGTGCAGTCACATCACTCTCCCTGCTGCTGCTCCAGTGCTTACAGCGCACAGCAGCTGCCATCCAAGCCTCTCCTCTCCCCCAGTCTGAAGAAACCTCAGCAGCAGCAGCGTCAGGGGCAGGCAAGTCAGCACCAGCAGGGGAAGGAATGGCAGCAGAAGAAGAGAAAGCAAGGACAGCAACCTCGGAAGGAAAGGTAGCAGGAGAAAGTGAGAACTGCAAGGGCAGCAAAGCCGGTGCCCCTTGTTACATGTCCACAAGGGAGGCATGTGCCCTTCTTTCCTCCCTCTCCTCTTCACTCCCTGAGACAGACATTGCTCTGCTCTCTGCCTGCTTGCCTGTCCTCCTCCTTTTGCTCTTGACCTCCAATGAGCCTTCGAATGTGTCTCAGAATGAGCCTCAAAACGCAACCGCTTTGGCCCCCCAGCAGCGAGTGGAGAAGCAGCAAAGGCAACAGAAGCAGCAGCAGAAAGAGCAGCAGCAGTGGGTGGAGGCGGAGGAGAAGCAGCTCCTGCAGAAACTAGCTGCGGCGCCTTTATTGTTGCAGCAGCAGCAGCACAGAGTACCCTCACTGCCCAGAGATCAGCTTACGTCAATGAAAGCAGCGCCATCAACAATGGCAACGCCACTGCCCTATCAGCCTCTCCCTTCTCAGCCTCTGTTGCCGCCTGCACAGCAATCATTGCTGCCTGCACAGCAATCATTGCTGCCTGCACAGCAATCATTGCTGCCTGCACAGCAATCATTGCTGCCTGCACAGCAATCATTGCCGCCTGCACAGCAATCATTGCCGCCTGCACAGCAATCATTGCCGCCTGCACAGAAATCATTGCCGCTTGCACAGAAATCATTGCCGCCTGCACAGCAATCATTGCCGCTGAGAGTGCAAGTGCAATCATCGCCGCTTGCAGTGCCTTCATTGACCACCGCTACACAGTCATCCGCACGGCAGGCAGAGAGGGCCAGCAGGCCGCGTGGCCAAGGGAAAGTGCAAACGGGCAGATCAGCAGACTGGGATGCGTTAGCAGTGCCTTTCGAGGCGCCTCAAAAGTCGTTTCCTGTCTCGCGTGGCCAAGGGAAAGTGCAAACGGGCAGACCGGCAGACTGGGATGCGTTTGCAGTGCCGGATGGATTTCCAGGAAGAATATTAGAGGGAGCAGGTCCTTTCTCCGCTGCCCGTGGAGCCAGGAAGACACTTGAGGCGGCGCCTCAAGATGCGTGCACAACGCCTCCTGGAGTAGCCGATAGAATACCCCATGCGTTTGCAGCACTCAAGGGAGGACCTCCTTTTTCCAGCACCCGTGGAGCCAGCAAGACACTTGAGGCGGCGCGTCAAGATGCGTTTGCAGTGCCTCCTGGAGTAGCCGATGTAACCGATAGAAACGATAGAATTCCTGAGGGAGTATCTCCTTTTTTCAGTGCCTGTGGAGCCAGGAAGAGACGGAAATTAGCAGCAGATGCTGTTCAGGTGGCTTCCGATGCTTGTGCAGTGCCTTCAGGTGGTTTTCAGGTGCCTTCAGGTTCTTTTGGGGCGCGCTCCGCTGTTTCCCAAGTGCCTTTGGATACTTCAGGTGCTTTTCAGGTGCCGTCAGGTGGAGGCGGAAGGCGGGTGAAACCAGTGTTGAAGCAAAGTCAGGTGCTTTCGGTGGACGCTGATGTGGCAGTTCCTGATTGGCATTTATCAAAGCGTGAAAACGTTAGGGCACGAAGACTGCCAATGCGGAGCATGGAAGCAGCAGCAGCAGCAGCAGCAGCAGATGAAGAGGTAGGAGATATGACAGTAGCAGCAGCACTATCAGCAAGAGAAGTAGCAGCAGTAGAGATTGCAGCAGCAACAGCACCAACAGCAGCTGTGGAAATGGCATCTAAGAGGGAAGCACGGAGTAGGAATACTGTTGCTTCTCCGCCCTTAGCAACACCACAAGCAGTTTGGGAACCCTCCTCCTTCAACTCACACTCACACTCACACTCACCCTCACAATCCATCTCAACCCACTTTCCATCACAAAGCTTTCACTCTCCCTCCTTGATTCACTTCTTCCCTCTGATTTCCTCCTGTTCCGCCCTCCTCTCCTCTCTCCACACCTGCCTCCTCTCCTTAATCCCACTCCACCGCATACCACCCCACGGGTTCCCCCTGCCCTGGCCCTTCGAGCCCCCCCTCTCTCCAGAATCTTCTGGGAAGCTTCTTCGGGATAAGTCGCAATTTGACCAGCTGGTGATGCTGCTTGGAGCATTGTATGTGGCTTCTTGTGCTGCCGCTGCTTGTGATAATGGTGGTGGTGGTGATGCTGCTGCTGCGGTGTCTGCTGCTGGTGGTGATAGTGATGGTGGTGGTGCTGCTGATTCTGCAGCTATTGATAGTTCTCCTGCTACTACTGCTGTTGTCGCTGCCGTAACTGCTGGTAGTGATGGTGCTGCTGCTGCTGCTGCTGTTGCCACCGTCGATGCTGTTGCTGATGCTGCTGCTGATTTTTCTGCGGATGCGTGTCTATCAGCAGCAATCAACACCTCTCTCTCCTCCTTCAAATGGTCCTTCACCCATCAGTTCCTCTCCTTCGCCCGTCGCCATAGCCACATCCTCAGCCTTCTCTTCTCAGCCTCTCTCGCCCGCTGCTCCTCCTCCTTGCTCCACCCCTCACTCCTTCACAACTTCACTGCATCAGAGACGAATGTTATGGCCCCTCCAAGCTCATTTTCTGCCCGCTGCTCCTCCTCCTCTTCGCTCCACCCCTCGCTCCTCCTCAACCTCACTACACCGCCCGCTACCCTGTCCGCCTCCACACACATTCCTTCTCAGTCCCAGCCAAAAATCCCCGCCCAGGAGCGTGCTTACGAGGAGAAGTCAGTGTGGACAAGGGGAGGAGGGGGACTGCATGTGGATGGTTGGAATGGTGGGGAAAATGGGAGGGATGGTGAGGATGGGAAGGATGGAGAGGATGGGAAGAAAAGAGCTAAACCATTTCCGGCATGGGAGGAAGTGCTGATGTATGGGAACCGAGGCATGCCTCTTGCATGGATGCTGCAGCCTTTAGAACGCATGTTTCCGTCTCCCTTCTCCTGCTGCAGTAGGATGAGTTGCAGGGCGGATGGAATAGGCAGGGCAGGAATTGCCAGGAGGAGGGGCGGGGAAAGCAGTGGGAACAGTGAGAGAAGTGGTGGCGACGAAAGTAGTGGGGGCAGTGAGAGCAGTGAAAGTAGTGGGAGTGACCTGCTAAGTCAGGAGGGCAAGAGGAGCTGGGTGCAGTGGTGCCTACCTCCCCCCCGGGACGACTACCGGGACAAAGAGTTCATTCAGGTGGGTGTTGTGCGGGTGTGTGTGTGTGCATGCCTGCAGGCGGGCGGGCGCGCGTGTGCGCATGTGCTTGTATGCGCATGCACTCTTTGTTTAGTAATGAAGGATTTGAAACTCAATCTGTGCGCATAAGCTCAATGAACTCCCTGTCTCATCCCTCCGTCCTCCTCCTCATTTTCCCATTTTCCCAACCCTTTCTATCCCTATCCTCAGATTGAACGAGGCCCGCTAGCCCTTCACCAGGCCTTCATTCAAATCCTTTCTGCGGACCCAACAGCCCTCCGAACCGGAGGCTTGGACGTTCGGTTCACAGGCGAGGGTGGGGCCGCAGGTCCGGGAGTGCTTCGGGAGTTCTTCGCCTTCGTTCGGGCACACCTCTTCGACCCGAACCTGGGCCTCTTCTCTCCCGTACCTCACGACCCGAGCCGGTTCTCCCTCTCCCTGGCCTCCCGAGCCAACCCTGCCGAAGCTAAGGAGTACCTTCGATTTGCCGGACGTATCCTGGCCCTTGCTTTGGCGCATCAGGTCCCATTAGGAGTGAAGCTGTCTCGGTCCCTGTTTGTGTTGCTTGCGGCTCGCACACCCTCGCTGGCTGATGCTGCTGATGATGATCCCCAGCTTGTTGCTAGCTGTCGGTCTTTGCTGGCTATGGCTGAAAGGGAGAGGGAAGAAGCAGCACAGGGAGGAGGAGGAAGAGAAGGAGGAGGAGTGGAGTCATTGTGTCTCACCTTTGTGGCTTCGGTAGAGGATCCGATGGGGGGGGCACCAATCGAAGCAGAGCTTGTTCCAGGTGGCAGCGAGCGAGTGGTTCGTGCTGATGATGTGGCGGAGTTTGTGCAGCGGATGGTGCAGTTTAGAGTGTGCGGGGTGGTGGAGGAGGAGGGGGAGGCGTTGCGGCGAGGCATGGAGGATATATTGGGGAGCGGAGGAGGGCGGGATGTGATTGTAGGGAAAGGAGATGTGGTGGAAGGAAGGGAAGGGACGGATGGGAAAGGAGGGATGGGTGGAACAGAAGGGAGTTTGGGAGGATTGGGAGGTGGCTTTGAGAGAGATGAGGAACAACACCTGTCGATCCACAAGGATGATGATTGTTGCGGTGATTCGATTGAAGGCCTGAGTCTCGATGCCATGCTCGCTCCCCTTTCATGCGATGATCTCAATTTGCTTCTCCACGGGGAGGACCGCCACGTGGCGGTCTCTGATTGGCAGGCACACACGGTGTACCATGGGTATTGTCCGGAAGATCCCCAAGTTTTGTGGTTTTGGGAAGTTGTGGAGTCGCTTTCGGGTGAGCAGCGGAAGTCGCTGCTGTTTTTTGCGACTGCTGTTTCGAATCTGCCCGTTAACGGATTCAAGGGGCTGGCGATGGGGTTTCATCTGCATCGGGCAGATGGGGATCTTTCGCGCCTGCCCACGGCACACACGTGCTTTCATCAGTTTCTGCTACCCCCATATGAGAGCATAGAGATGATGCGTATGCGCTTGCTCACTCTCGTGAGCACGTCATATATTGTTCACAGCTTTGGATTTGCATGATATGGTATGTAGCAGGCAAGATTCGCTCAGGGCCACGAGGCGCTGATTGCGGAATGGTGGTTTCAGTTCACATAACCGTGATCCCTCACACACTTGTTTACTTTGGCAGGTTATAATTTGGCTTTCCATTTGGTTCATGTGCATTGGACAAATCACAGATGCCATAGTTATACCTTTTTAATTTGCAAGGAGGCTACAGTATTCTGCGGGTGCAAGACCTCTGGTCTCTGTGAGGATGCTTGTTGGGAACTTCTGGTACCGTAAACGTTACTGAATTTGGAGCCATGTTGGACAGACAAAGCACATCTTTATAATATCTCCTTCAGGCCGTCCTTGAAATAGATGAAGGTGAGATTGGCAGCACCATCCTTGTGGTAAGCATAAACGAGTGAGCCGTCCAAATCCTCCAAACTCATGCTCTCACCAGCAAAGCTGCATGAGAGGAAAAACAAACAAACAAACAAACAAACAAAAACAACAAATCAATCAATCAATCAATCAGAGAGCAGGGAATATGTCGACAAGACCGATCTGAACACTGCAAGGCTCGAGGTTAGGGGTAGTGCGGGATGGGGGGAGGTGGAGGGAAAGATGAGGAGTGGGAAGTTGCGGCCGAAAACGTACAACTTCAGGTCAGCGAGATTGGAGATGAGCCAATTGGCAGCATCGGACGAGTGCGCCCTAAGTTTCATTTTCCTGTCATCAGAAATCAGGCTTGTGAGCTTATACATGTAATTCTTCAGGTAAGTGCCGAGCGCCCTCTTGTCAAATGGTGGTAGTTCCTGCACTTCACAAAAAAAAAGGAGAAAAAAACAACACGGATGCGGAGGCAACGGATGGTCAGGCATATAAGAAGAGCATTCGAAAACGACGATGGCTAGCACAGATCATGTAAACTTTGACCGTAACTAGAGCAACCCTAGTACGAAATGGCTTGGCACTAGTATTATATTCTTAGTATGATCATTGTTAACGTGCCTGTAGGTTGAACATGGAGACAATATTCACGACCTTCTCGGGCTCACCCTCCTCCTCCTCGTCCTCGCCACGGCTCTTTTCCAGCCACTGCACATGTACACATGATCGCAATGTCATCCAGACAACGATAAGATTAGCTACACGCGTGCGATCATTTGTGCTGACAAAGAACTTCTTGAAGTACTAGGTAAGATCTCTTAGGATCGCAACTGACGGGGTAAGATCTCTTAGGATCGCAACTGACGGGGTAAGATCTCTTAGGATCGCAACTGACGGGGTAAGATCTCTTAGGATCGCAACTGACGGGGTAAGATCTCTTAGGATCGCAACTGACGGGGTAAGATCTCTTAGGATCGCAACTGACGGGGTAAGATCTCTTAGGATCGCAATTGACGGGGTAAGATCTCTTAGGATTGCAACTGACGAGGTAAGATCTCTTAGGATCGCAACTGACGAGGTAAGATCTCTTAGGATCGCAACTGACGGGGTAAGATATCTTAGGATCGCAATTGACGGGGTAAGATCTCTTAGGATCGCAACTGACAAGGTAAGATCCCTTAGCATCGCAACCGACGGAATAAGATCTCTTAGGATCGCAACAGATCGCACTTGGCTCTCGACTTCGTAGAAGATGCCGTTGTGGGTCTCCTCGATTTCAAGAGCGCTGGACAGCAGGTCGTCACCTAATAACACGAATGAAAATCGAATTGAGATTATCATGAAAAAAACTCGCATGTATGGAAACTCGCCGCATCGGACATCCTATAGCATGCAACGTACCGGAAATCAGATCCTGATAGAGAACCATGGCTGCTGACGGAAGTGAGAAATAAGGTGGTTCCTTGTATGGCTGACACGAGGTGCCGCACCCATTTCTATTTATAGCGGCTTGGAAGTGCTGAAAGCCGCGGCAGAGTAAGGTCGGGAAAAAATTGGACCCCGGGTCTAGTGTTGCCTCGCGTCACTATTTTTCCGGGGACCGTCGGGCGCAGCACCTCGAGGGGCAAAAGGACACGACCTTCCCGTCACCCCGCGCGGGCGCCCGAAAAATAACCCAGCACGTAGCTGGGAAGACGGGGAAGTTGTGGTTCCCCTGATAGTATCAGCAGCGCCCCACCCAGATATCTTAGTTCGCGATGGACTCCAGCCCACTCTCGACGGCCCAGGTCCTCTCGAACCTTGCCCAAGCCCCGCCAGGCCCGAAGGGAGTCGGCGTCTGTAACCCCGGGCACGCGAGGCCGGATGGTTCGGCACTCACCCTCGCCGACCCATAGTCGCCGAGCCAAAGTCGGTCATCTCTCTGCAAAACTCGGGCGCTCCTTTCCACCCCTGCCTACGTAGTAGTACCGGGGACCACATCCAGCTCCCTCACAACTGAGGCAATAGTGTCTCCCACCCACACTTCCCCCAGCCTCTGTTCGGTAGTACACGTGATGCTCGTTTGACTAACCCAAGGTTGCCTTGTAGAGAAGGCTTTTAAATGTTTCTAATTGTTTCGCGAATTTCGTCAACGTCGCACCTAGCAAAAAAGGGCATATAAAACAACTGTAACTCTCCATTGACTTTTTTACTTCAGTCTCTTCAGATATTCTTTGGTTTCTGTGGTTACTATTGGTTCATAGCCAATGCAGCTTGCTTAGGGTGCTTGTACTGTGGGTGCAGCTGGCTGGCGCAAAATACACGGGTGCAGAGTTTTTGGCGCGTCCAGGGAAAATTCGCGCGGAGCAGTTGAGCAACATGTGTACAAGAGCAGTACGGAACTGAGTCTCTGTTTGACACAGTGCTTTCTTTACTGAGCTGGTCCGAGCCGCACTGTGGCAGTGGTTGGTTCCTTTTCCGAACCTACAGCCCCCTAAAAGCAAACAGATTAGAAGTGCAGAAAGAAACTGTAGTGAAAGTTCAAAAAGTAAAACCAAGTGAATCAAACCATGTTGTACAATAACATACGGTATGGATAAAACAAAGGTTTTTGAGTTGATCACGCACGGTTACTGCCCAGTTTTCGATCAGGGCGTGGAAGCAGCGCACCTTCAACGAAGTTATGCGACCCTGGGAGGCATCAACCCTAAAAACGATGCGAGTGTTTCTAGGTTCCCTAGGGTCTTATTTTTTCTGCCCAGCCCTAACAGTTCCCGGTAGCGTCATCTAGTGCCCGGTAGCGTTCGGTGGAAATGTTTAGGGCTGACTGTCAAATGTTGTTTATATGTTTGTTAGGATTCTAGCCTACAGTCAGGTTCACAATATGGGTTACATCATTCTCTCCACACTTGACTTGTACTCCCTTTCCCTAACTACTCAACCATTCCGCTGTTCATTTATGAGATGGTATCATGAGTAGGTACGCTCCTAGCCTAGCCTAATCCCGCCCGTGCTCTGTTGCCTAGCCTAACCTAGTACCGTTTCGTCGCTCCGTTACTCCGTAGTAGCCTACCCTACGTAGCACACGCCACCCAGCAAAGCAGCACGCGCCACCCAGCAGAGCAGCGTGCGCCACCCAGCAAAGCAGCTCGCGCCCCTGTAGAGCAGCGCGCGGCCCTACAGAGCATCGCACGACCTTACGTAGCAGCGCGCGCCACCTTGCAGAGCAGCGAGCACCCCAACAGAGCAGCGCGCGCCTCGGCAGAGCAGCACGTGCCACCCCGCAAAGCAGTGGACGCCCCAGCAGAGCAGCGCGCGCCAACCAGCAGAGAAGCGCGCCCCTGCAGACTAGTGCGCGCGCCCCTGCAGAGCAGCGCGCGCCACTCAGCAGTGCAGCGCGCGAACCTGCAGAGCAGCACGCGACCTTACAGAGCAGCGCGTGCCACCCTGCAGAGCAGCGCGCGCCACCCTGCAGAGCAGTGCGCCCCTGCAGACCAGCGTGTGCCCCTGCAAAAACCATGCGTAAAAAACGACAGTACTGTGCTTTTGGAGTTTAGTTTTAGTATACCCGCGTAATCAGCCGAAAACCCTAAAAAAAATGTCAAGAGAGACAGAGGGCCTCTCGGGAAAGGATAGTTCGTTCGCCGTTTTCAAAATTTCACTCCATACACTTGTACGCACGCGATGATACGGGGCACAGGGTGTAAGCGCGAGAGAGTGCACACTGACCATGCACGCAATTTTTTCGCGCTGCGCAAGACTTGTAGGGGCGAGTGTCCACATGGAGAGCGTCTAGTTTTTGTGCCACATACATGACTGCACTCACGCGTATCAATGGTTGTGTTCAGTAGCAAGGGTAACTCGCCAGCAATGGGCAAGATATGGGAGCCATTTTGGCGGAAAATCATGCTCGTCTTGGGAAAAGCGTAGAGTGATCGTTATCCGACCGAGCTCGGACCTGCTTCAGATGCTCGAAATTCCCAAACTGGTTTAGGCCTATTTCTCCCTTGTTCAATGTGCACTGGCAAACCATTGTACAGTGAACCACGGACAAAACCAACCCCCATTTTTTAACCCTTGCTCCTGTGGTTAGGGAACGGGTTTGGAAAAACCTATGGGCAGATTAGGTTGTCGAGAGTAAAGGGAAGGATGGAATTGACTATCGAGAGTTTGGTACAAAAATATAACCTAAGGGGTTGTACCCCACAGTGAGTACCCCACTAAAGCTTACCCAAACTATAACATATAACTATATGTTTGACACACCCCCATAGGCAAAGTGGGGGAGAACAGAGGGTCACAAGACCAGTCGGGAAGTGCAAAGCAAGCTCAAGGTGGATCACAACGTCACCACGCAGTCTGAGATATATATGGAACAAGAATAGCACAGTGATCTCTACCTACAAGAGCAAGCATGCAGGTGTATATATAGATCACAGTACAAGCAACGTCTACAGCAAGTGAGGAAAAGTGGGCACAAGGCCTAACAAAGTGCAAAAACGCTGATGATCACCAGACGGAAGTGCCTTGGTGAATATATCAGCTGTGTTGGCCCTAGTGGCCACGTAAGCAAGACGAAGCTGACCACGCTGCTGCAACTCTCGAGCCAGGAAGTAACGCAATGCGATGTGCTTCGTTCTGTGCTCCAGTCTGTGCTCCTCACACAAGGCAATGATTGCCTTGTTGTCGACGTACAGCACTGGAGGAGAACGAGGCCACTCTCCCAGGTCGCTCAGCAGGTAGGTGAGCCGGCATAACTCCTGTGCAGCCATGGCTGTGGCGTAGATATCAGCCTCACAACTGGAGCTGAGACCTGAAGACGAGCGTGTAGAACGCCAAGAAACTGAACCAGAGCCAAGGGTGAAGGTGTAACCCTGTGACGACCGCTGCGTAGCCTGGTCGTCAACCCAAAAAGCGTCTGAGTGCCCAGTGAGGACAACTGGGCTCCGCCCTCCAAGCACGAGCCCCATGCCCGACGTACTGCACAAGTAGCGTAGTACCCTCTTAGCAGCATCCATGTGCACCTTTCAGTGCCGACCAGGAGCCACGTAGCGAGCCAGAAGGCCAAGTGGGTACGCAAGGTCAGGACGAGTGCAGGTCATCAGGTACATGAGGCAGCCCACTAGCTCTGGGTAAGGACCACTCGGCTCTACGGACTCGTCCGAAGGTGGAGCTGAGAGCGAGTGACCTGTAGCCAGAGGAGTGTGCTGTGGCGAGGACCAGGTGAAGCCGAAGTGTTGAAGGACCTGCTGCACCATGTGTGACTGAGTCAAGGTGATTGTGCAAAGCCGGTCCATAATGAATATTCAAGCGAATTTTGCTGTCACTACGCGGATGGAAAGTCAGCGTATCTCCGTGCGGCGTGCTCTGTCCCGGGTGATCTGCAAGCCAAGGTAACTGCGCAGCTCACCCAGGTCTGTGCAAGTGTGTCTCTTCTTCAGCTCCGACTTCACCACGGCGAGAGCCTCAGTGTCAGTAGTGGCAAAGACCAATTCGTCAACGTACACGAGGATGTAGAACGGCGGCAGCGAAGTGTCGGTGCGCAGAAACAGCGACGGGTCAGCAGTCGACGGAGCAAACCCAAGAGCAGCAAGTGTCATCCTCAGTGTGTCGTGCTACTCATGTGGCGCCTAGCGGAGACCGTAGACCGGCCGCCGTAGGCTCCACTCTGTACCAGGAGGGAACGACCTAGTGAAGTCAGGAGGGCGGCAAAGCCAGATCTCCTCGTGTAGGCTGCCCTGTAAGAAAGCTGTGCTGAAGTCAAGAGAGTGAAGCTCGTAGTCACGCTGAGCGGCAACGTGCAGCAGTACCCGAAGAGTGGTCATCTTTGGGGTGGGGGAGAAGGTCTGGAAGAAGTCGACTCCCTCCCGCTGACTGAAGCCTCGAGCAACGTAACGAGCCTTGAAGACAGGCGGAGAACGTGGCGGCCGCTTCACCCTGAAAATCCACATGCCACTGACGATGTTCGCCCTAGGAGGGGGAACCTCGTCGACGTAGGTGCCTGTGAGGATCTAGGATCGAGCTCAGAAAAGAGAGTTTGAATTGAATCGAATTGAATGATTCACCTGGGTACAGCACGAGGCTATATATAGGCTCGACACAAGGCCAGTTACCCAGGTGTTACGCGAATGTTCTGAGGGTCGCGAAGCGCCCCGAACAGAACCTTCCCAAACTCAGTAGAAAGCAATTCGGTGGAAACCGAACAGGCTTGAGTTCGGTACACGTAACCTGGTTCGGTGCTATAACTATACTTATATATAGGAATGCACCTAACCTAGGAAATCAAGCATATCTATGCATGATAAATAAAACCCAAGCTAGATATAGCGTAATAAAGTCTAGGCATGCTAGCAAAGCCAGCATAAGCCGTCGTACTCTCACAGTGCCTGTGGACTTCCAGGATGCCATCTCTGCATCCATGGCTATCTGCCGCTGAGAGGAGTACTCACCCGCGATCGCCTCAGCGTAAGAGCGCGGGGTCGGGATGTCTGGAGCATCCGGGTCTCCCTCAGGGGCAAGTAGCATGGACACGAGATGAGGCGCAGTGGCTATAAGACACTCAAGGTCCTCCTGCCTGTCCTCAAGGACGTCCGTGCCAAGAGCACACTCACCCCCGACGGACGGAGGACAGACAGACTCAGACTCAGCAACAAGACTAGCGGCGTAGTCTAGACGACATGCAGCAGCAAAGTCAACAAGCTCAGCGACTAAGGCAGACGCAGTAGCAGACTCAAACGACGGGTCAGTGACGACTGTGGCTAGCAGACGCGTGATAGTAGGGTGAGCAGCACGGGTGCGGTCAGACTCAGGCGCAAGGAACGGTAGGCAGAGAGGATGCAGGAGGGGACGGCAGGGAAACACGTTGCGGAGGAGAGGAAAGACGACGGAGTACGAGGTGGGTGCCGGGGACAGCCGGCTGACGCGACCGAGGAACACGACGACGGAACGACTAGGACTGACAGGCGAGACCGGGCGCGAAGCAGGCTCACGAAGCTCAGTAAGACCCCATGTCCGCTCAGTGTAAGGAGAAGGAGCAGGCAGCGGTGAGCCATGCTGTAACGGAAGACCAGTAGACGAAGGGAGACTAAGAACCTGGCGAAGCACTGAGTCAGACGGTGGCTGAGACGACGGAGTCGGTGGAGCAAAGAACAGGCGCGGCTGTGCAGCGCCACCAGCACCAACAGCTCCAGCACCCTCAGCAGCTCCAGCACCTCCAGCAGCTCCAGCACCTCCAGCAGCTCCAGAATCCTCAGCTCCAGCTACTCCAGGACCAGCTCCACCAGCAACAACACCCCTAGAACCGGCACCTCCAGTCCCAGGGTAGCACCTTCAGGCTCAGCACCTCCAGCCCCAGCAGCTCTAGTACCTCCAGTACGAGCACCTCCGGGACCAGCACCACTCCCAGCTCCAGTGACGTCGCCAAAAGTACCTCCATCGGCAGAGCCCCGAGCTCCAGAAGCGCGACCCTGACGGTGACCGTACTAGTCGTGCAGCTGCTGTGAGGTGAGAGGCACACGCGGACGAAGGCGACTACTCCAAGGAGACCGCGCAACAGCAGACTCAGAACCCTCAGCTCCAGCACCCTCATTAGCTCTAGAACCTCCAGCTCCAGCGCCACCAGCGCCAGCACCTCCAGCAGCTCCAGAACCTCCAGCGCCAGCACCTTCAGCAGCTCCAGAACCTCCAGCTCCAGCGCCACCAGCGCCAGCACCTCCAGCAGCTCCAGAACCTCCAGCTCCAGCACCCTCAGCAGCTCCAGAACCTCCAGCAGAAACAACTCCAGTAGCAGAGTCACCAGCTCCAGCGCCTCCCGCAGCAGGGCCCCTAGCTCCAGCAGCGCGACCCTGACGGCCAACGTACCACTCAAGCAGCTGCTGTGGGGAAAGAGGGAGTCGACAACGAGAGTGCAGCGGCGAAGCACCAGCGGAGCGACTATGCAGACGGCCGCTCCATGGAGACTGCTCACCAGACGCCTCAGCGCCCCAAGGTGCAGCACCCCCAGACTCAGTACCCCTAGGCTCAGCACCCCCAGACTCCTCACGCCCAGGCTCAGCACCTCCAGTCTCCGCACCCCCAGGCTCCGCACCTCCAGGCTCAGAACCCCCAGGCTCCGCACCCCTAGGCTCAGCACCCCCAGAAGCAGCACCCCGAGCAGGACCACACTCAGCAGGACCTGAGTCACCAGTGACCTCAACCGGCGCAGTCAAAGGAGGAGGGTCTTTCCACTCCCCACTCTTTCCTACCCTCTTTCCACTCCCCACCGCTCTCCTACCCTCAGAAATCCCGCCATCTCTGCGCCACCATCATCCAGGCCGTCTCTCGGTTCGTCGCCTCGTTGTCTCGCGTCAAGCCTGCTTCCCTTCCCTAACCCGTCCCACTCCCCAACCTCCCTTTCCCTCCCTTCAGGAATCCCACCATCTCTGCGCCACCATCATTCAGTCATTCTCTCGCTTCGCCGCCTCCTCGTCGCGCGTCAAGCCCTCCCAGCTGCTCGTCGCTGCCGTCTTCATCCCACACACTCCAGCCATCCTGAACCAATGCATTCTGGCCCATGCCAAACCAAAACCATCTTTCCGTTCCTCGCCTCGCCTCTTCGTTCCCCCCCGTCCCACCCCCCATCTCTTCCCCTCCCCTTCCCCTCCCCTTCAGGAATCCCGCCATCTCCGCGCCACCATCATTCAGGCCGTCTCTCGCTTCATCCCATGTCAATCCCACACTGCCCTTCCCTTCTCCTCCACTCCCCCCTCCCCCTCTCTTCCCCTCCTCCCCTTCCTCCCCGTAACCTCAGGAGTCCCGCCATCTGCGCGCCACCATCATTCAGGCCGTCTCTCGCTTCATTGCATCCTTGTCTCACGACAGGCCAACTTCCACAGCCCCTCGCTTTCCTCCCTCCCCGTCCCTCAGGAGTCACTTCAACTCCACGCCACCATCATCAAGGCCGTCTCTCGCTTTGTTGCCTCCTCAGTGCAGGTCAAGTTCACTTTCCTTCCCCAAACTCTCGAGACGTCTCAAAACTCCTCAGTTCAGGTCAACTTCACTTTCCTTCCCCAAACTCCCCCTTTTTTTCCTCCACTCAGGAATCCCGTCATCTCCGCTCAACAATCATTCAGGCCGTCTCTCGCTTCGTCGCCTCCTCCTCGCGCATCAAGCCCTCCCAGCTGCCTTTGCTCGTCTCTGCTTTCTTCATCTCACCCATTCCAGCCGTTTCAAACCCATGTCATACCAGACCAAACCGTTCTAAACCTTCTGCCCTTGCAACTGCTGCTCCCGCCGCTGCGTCTGATTCTGCTTCTCCTGCTGCTACTGCTGCTGTTGCTTCCGCCACTGTTGCTTCGCCTGTCCCTGCTGCTGCCCCCCGTACTGCTGCTCCTCCTGCCGCTGCTGCTTCTGTGTCCTGTCCAACTCCTGCCGATGCTCTTCTAGCGCTGCTCTTAGCAGAGCAGCCTGCATGTTGCAGGAGCGGTGGAGGGTGCGCGGAGGTGGAGTGCGGTGCTGCAGGGTGTGCAGCAGATGCTGAGTGCGGGGCTGAATGCATTCGAGTGCTCACGAGGCCTCCTGCCTCCACCAAAGAAGCTAAGGTACTTCGCTTTATCTTCTGTTTACTTTGTGCCTATGCCGTGCTTTGCTTGTCTCCTGCCTGCGTATATCAAGTACTCTTCCTCTATAGCCTTCAGTTCTCCACCTATTTCCTGCAAACGATCAATGATTTCTTTTTGTGTTCCAGTTTGGCACAGATGATGTTTTTTTCCATAAATCTGCCATATGCCCGTCCCTCACTCGTCTTCAACCCTTCCTCCTTCCTTTTCTTGCTTCCCCTTTCCCCGCTCCAGCTACAGCATTGTCTCGTCCCACTCCTCCTTCACATCGCATCCCGCCTTGTCACTGCCACAGCAAATTCGCCCCACGCTCACTCTCCAATTCCACCCAACACCAGGGCCCATTTCCACCCGTATCATCTAACTAACCTTCAACTGCAACCTCTGTCGACCAGTCATGCACATCCGCTGTCCGCCACTCAGACTCATCTGGGCTGTGCGTTTGACACGTGCCGCCACGCCCTTGCTCGCCTATCTTCTGAGCTCCGCCCACTGCAATGCTCCCAGCAGCTGCTACTACACGCTGATATCGTTGATGCTACTGATGTTGGTGCAGCAGCAGCTGCTGTCGCTGCTCCTCCTGCTGCTCCTTGTTTTCCCGCTGTTTGCACTCCTGCTCCTGTCTTTTCTGCTGCTGCTGCTCCTGGAACCAGGGATATCGGCCCTTCTGGTGCACAATTTGCTGCAACTGCAGCTGCTGCTGTCACCAGCAGTAGCAACAACAGCAGCAGTGCAGTCTCATCACTCTCCCTGCTGCTTCTCCAGTGCTTACAGCGCACAGAAGCTGCCATCCAAGCCTCTTCGCGCTCCCATTCTGAAGCAGCAGCAGCAGAAGCAGCAGCAGGAGCAGGAGCAGGAGCAGGCGTGTCAGCAGCAGGGGAAGGGATGGCATCTGTTGCCGGGGAAGGAAGGGCAGAAGAAGCAGAGGAAGGAAGGGCAGCAGCAGGAGAGGAAGCAAGGGGAGCAACCATGGAAGGAAAGGGCCCAGGAGAAAAAGAGAGCAGCAAGGGCAGTGCACCTGTTTACATGTCCACGAGAGAGGCATGCGCCCTTCTCTCCTCCCTCTCCTCCTCACTCCCTGAAACCGACGTTGCCTTGCTGTCTGCCTGCCTGCCTGTCCTCCTCCTGCTGCTGCTGCATGAACCTATACCTTCCTCCTTTTTGAGCCGGAATGACACTTTGAATGTGCCTCTGAGTGAACCGCTGCAGGAGAAGAGAGCAACGCCACTGCGCTCTCAGTCTCTCCCCTCTCAGTCTCCAGTGCTGCCTCCACAGCAGTTATTGGCGCCAAGAGTGCCTTCATTCCCGTCCGCAGTGCCATCATTGCCACCCGCAGTGCCATCATTGCCACCGGCAGTGCCATCATTGCCACCGGCACAGCAATCGGTACAGCAGGCAGAGAGTGCAAGCAGGCTGCACGTACGAGTGACAGGGCTGCAAGCTAGGGAACGGTCTGTGCGAAACGAGCGGTCTGTGCAAAGAGACAAGTGTATGCAGAAGATTGGGAAGGATTGTTTTGAGACGTCTCAAAACGAGCGGTCTGTGCAAAGAGACAAGTGTATGCAGAAGATTGGGAAGGAGTGGGATGTGTTTACTGTGCCAGATGGAGTCTCAGATGCATTGCATTCTTCTTCCAACGACCATGGAGCGAGGAAGAGACGGAAATTGACTGCAGGTGTTGGTCAGGTGCCTTCAGGTGCTTGTGCGGTTTCTTCAGGTGAATTCCAAGTGCCGTCAGGTGGTTTTCAGGTACCTTCCGCTGCAGGTGTTTCTCAAGGGCCTTCAGATTCAGATGCGCCCGGTGCTTTTCAGGTGCCATCAGGTGGTGGTGGAAGGCGGATAAGATCAGAATCAAATCAGAGCCAGGTGCTTTCGGTGGGGAGGAGAGCGGCTGCTGATGTGGCGGTTCCCGATTGGCCTGTTTCACTGTTCAATAGCCATGGGGCAGGCAGACCGTCAAGGCGGAGTATAGAAGAAGCCGCGTGTGATTCAAAAAGGCGCCTCAAAGATCAAACCATGCTTGAGGTGCCCCGAAGGTCAAAGCGGCGCATTGCAGCAGCAGCAACAGCAGCAGCAGCAACACCACCGGCACTAGGAACGGCACTCAAACAAGAAGCAAGGGCTCTTTCCCAACCGTTATCAGCAGCACCACGAGCAGAATTTAGTCCATCCTCCCTCCATTCGCACTCACACGCAATCCCAACCCATGTTCCATCACAAAGCTTTCATTCTCCCTCTTTGGTCCACCTCTCCCCTCTCCTCTCCTCCTGTTCCGCCCTCCTCTCCTCTCTCCACACCTGCCTTCTTTCCTTAATCCCACTCCACCAAGTACCACCCCACGGGTTCCCCCTGCCCTGGCCCTTCTGGGAAGCTTCTTCGGGATAAGTCGCAATTTGACCAGCTGGTGATGCTGCTTGGAGCGCTGTATTCGGCTTCTTGTGCTGCCGCTGCTTGTGGTTTTAATGGTGGTGATGGTAGTGGTGGTGGTGCTGCTGCTGCTGCTCGTGATAATGGTGGTGGTGGTGATGCTGCTGCTGCGGTTCCTGCTGCTGGTGGTGATAGTGATGGTGGTGGTGCTGCTGAAACTGCAGCTATTGATAGTTCTCCTGCTACTACTGCTGTTGTCGCTGCCGTAACTGCTGGTAGTGATGGTGCTGCCGCTGCTGCTGCTGTTGCCACCGTTGATGCTGTTGCTGATGCTGCTGCTGATTTTGCTGCGGATGCGTGTCTATCAGCAGCAATCAACACCTCTCTCTCCTCCTTCAAATGGTCCTTCCCCCATCAGTTCCTCTCCTTCGCCCACCGCCATAGCCACGCCCTCAGCCTTCTCTTCTCAGCCTCTCTCGCCCGCTGCTCCTCCTCCTCGCTCCACCCCTCTCTCCTTCACAACTTCCCTGCATCAGAGACGAATATCATGGCCCCTCCAAGCTCATTTTCTGCCCGCTGCTCCTCCTCCTCTTCGCTCCACCCCTCGCTCCTCCTCAACCTCACTACACCGCCCGCTACCCTGTCCGCCTCCGCACACATCCCTTTCAGTCCCAGCCAAAAATCCCCGCCCAGGAGCGTGCTTACGAGGAGAAGTCAGTGTGGATAAGGGGAGGAGGATTGCAGGTGGATGGTTGGAATGGTGGGGAAAATGGGAAGGATGGTGAGGATGGGAAGAGAAGAGCTATACCGTTTCCGGCATGGGAGGAGGTGTTGATGTATGGGAGTCGAGCCATGCCTCTTGCATGGATGCTTCAGCCTCTAGAACAAATCTCTCCATTTTACTTCTCCGGATGTAGTAGCATGAGTTGTGGGGCGGACGGAGAAGGCACAGGGAGCATTGACAGAAGTAGGGGTGGGAAGAGCAGTGGAGGAAGTGAGAGCAGTGGGGGCAGGGACAGCAGTGGGGAGGGGGTCACTGGTGGGAGTGAGCTGTTGAGTCAGGAGGGCAAGAGGAGCTGGGTGCAGTAGTGCCTGCCTCCCCCCCGGGACGACTACCGGGACAAGGAGTTCATTCAGGTGGGTGCTGTGTGTGCACTGGGGGGCAGTGACTGCAGTGGGAGTGAGTGAAAGGTGGGTTGCTTAGCTTGGAGGGCAAGGGGAGCTGGGTGCAGTGGTGCCTGCCTCCCCCCCGGGACGACTACCGGGACAAAGAGTTCATTCAGGTGGGTGTTGTGCGGGTGTGTGTGTGTGCATGCCTGCAGGCGGGCGGGCGCGCGTGTCCGCATGTGCTTGTATGCGCATGCACTCTTTGTCTAGTAATGAAGGATTTGAAACTCAATCTGTGCGCATAAGCTCAATGAACAATGTTCATCGTGGAGTAGCTGCAAACCTGTAAAAACTCTTAAGCAAAAGGAACAAGACTGTGAAACTCAATCTGTTCACATAAGCTCAATGAACTCCCTGTCTCATCCCCCCCCCCTCCTCCTCCTCCTCCTCATTTTCCTATTTTTCCCCAACCCATTCTATCCCTATTCTCAGATTGAACGAGGCCCGCTAGCCCTTCACCAGGCCTTCATTCAGATCCTCGCCGCGAAACCAACAGACCTCCGAACCAAAGAGAACCCATACCTATTCCTCATTCTTTTCCCCTTCCGTCTCTCATTTCTATCTCATACCCTCAGATTGAACGAGGCCCGTTAGCCCTTCACCAGGCCTTCATTCAAATCCTTTCTGCAGACCCAATAGCCCTCCGAACCGGAGGCTTGGACGTTCGGTTCACAGGCGAGGGTGGGGCCGCAGGTCCGGGAGTGCTCCGGGAGTTCTTCGCCTTCGTTCGGGCACACCTCTTCGACCCGAACCTGGGCCTCTTCTCTCCCGTACCTCACGACCCGAGCCGGTTCTCCCTCTCCCTGGCCTCCCGAGCCAACCCTGCCGAAGCTAAGGAGTACCTTCGATTTGCCGGACGTATCCTGGCCCTTGCTTTGGCGCATCAGGTCCCATTAGGAGTGAAGCTGTCTCGGTCCCTGTTTGTGTTGCTTGCGGCTCGCACACCCTCGCTGGCTGATGCTGCTGATGATGATCCCCAGCTTGTTGCTAGCTGTCGGTCTTTGCTGGCTATGGCTGAAAGGGAGAGGGAAGAAGCAGCACAGGGAGGAGGAGGAAGAGAAGGAGGAGGAGTGGAGTCATTGTGTCTCACCTTTGTGGCTTCGGTAGAGGATCCGATGGGGGGGGCACCAATCGAAGCAGAGCTTGTTCCAGGTGGCAGCGAGCGAGTGGTTTGTGCTGATGATGTGGCGGAGTTTGTGCAGCGGATGGTGCAGTTTAGAGTGTGCGGGGTGGTGGAGGAGGAGGGGGAGGCGTTGCGGCGAGGCATGGAGGATATATTGGGGAGCGGAGGAGGGCGGGATGTGATTGTAGGGAAAGGAGATGTGGTGGAAGGAAGGGAAGGGACGGATGGGAAAGGAGGGATGGGTGGAACAGAAGGGAGTTTGGGAGGATTGGGAGGTGGCTTTGAGAGAGATGAGGAACAACACCTGTCGATCCACAAGGATGATGATTGTTGCGGTGATTCGATTGAAGGCCTGAGTCTCGCTGCCATGCTCGCTCCCCTTTCATGCGATGATCTCAATTCGCTTCTCCACGGGGAGGACCGCCACGTGGCGGTCTCTGATTGGCAGGCACACACGGTGTACCATGGGTATTGTCCGGAAGATCCCCAAGTTTTGTGGTTTTGGGAAGTTGTGGAGTCGTTTTCGGGTGAGCAGCGGAAGTCGCTGCTGTTTTTTGCGACTGCTGTTTCGAATCTGCCCGTTAACGGATTCAAGGGGCTGGCGATGGGGTTTCATCTGCATCGGGCAGATGGGGATCTTTCGCGCCTGCCCACGGCACACACGCGCTTTCATCAGTTTTTGCTACCCCCATATGAGAGCATAGAGATGATGCGTATGCGCTTGCTCACTTTCGTGAGCACGTCATATATTGTTCACAGCTTTGGATTTGCATGATATGGTATGTAGCAGGCAAGATTCGCTCAGGGCCACGAGACGCTGATTGCGGAATGGTGGTTTCAGTTCACATAACCGTGATCCCTCACACACTTGTTTACTTTGGCAGGTTATAATTTGGCTTTCCATTTGGTTCATGTGCATTGGACAAATCACAGATGCCATAGTTGTTACCTTTTTAATTTGCAAGGTGGCTACAGTATTCTGCAGGTGCAAGACCTCTGGTCTCTGTGAGGATGCTTGTTGGGAACTTCTAGTACCGTAAACGTTACTGAATTTGGAGCCATGTTGGACAGACAAAACACATCTTTATAATTTCTCCTTCAGGCCGTCCTTGAAATAGATGAAGGTGAGATTGGCAGCACCATCCTTGTGGTAAGCATAAACGAGTGAGCCGTCCAACTTCTCAGTCATGCTCAACCCAGCAAAGCTGCATGAGAGGAAAAACAAACAAACAAACAAACAAAAACAACAAATCAATCAATCAATCAATCAGAGAGCAGGGAACATGTCGACAAGACCGATCTGAACGCTGCAAGGCTCGAGGTTAGGGGTAGTGCGGGATGGGGGGAGGTGGAGGGAAAGATGAGGAGTGGGAAGTTGCGGCCGAAAACGTACAACTTCAGGTCAGCGAGATTGGAGAAGAGCCAATTGATAGCATCGGACGAGTGCGCGTTAAGTTTCATTTTCCTGTCATCAGAAATCAGTCTTCTGAGCTTAAACATGTAATTCTGCAGGTAAGTGGAGAGCTCCCTCTTGTCAAATGGTGGTAGTTCCTGCACTTCACAAAAAAAGAGAAAAAAACAACACGGATGCGGAGGCAACGGATGGTCAGGCATATAAGAAGAGCATTCGAAAGCGACGATGGCTAGCACAGATCATGTAAACTTTGACCGTAACTAGAGCAACCCTAGTACGAAATGGCTTGGCACTAGTATTATATTCTTAGTATGATTATTGTTAACGTGCCTGTAGGTTGAACGTCCAGACAATATTCACGACCTTCTCGGGCTCACCCTCCTCGTCCTCGCCACGGCTCTTTTCCAACCACTGCACATGTACACATGATCGCAATGTCATCCAGACAACGATAAGATTAGCTACACGCGTGCGATCATTTGTGCTGACAAAGAACTTCTTGAAGTACTAGGTAAGATCTCTTAGGATCGCAACTGACGGGGTAAGATCTCTTAGGATCGCAACTGACGGGGTAAGATCTCTTAGGATCGCAACTGACGAGGTAAGATCTCTTAGGATCGCAACTGACGGGGTAAGATCTCTTAGGATCGCAATTGACGGGGTAAGATCTCTTAGGATCGCAACTGACAAGGTAAGATCCCTTAGCATCGCAACCGACGGAATAAGATCTCTTAGGATCGCAACAGATCACACCTGGCTCTCGACTTCGTAGAAGATGCCGTTGTGGGTCTCCTCGATTTCAAAAGCGCTGGACAGCAGGTCGTCACCTAATAACACGAATGAAAATCGAATTGAGATTATCATGAAAAAAACTCGCATGTATGGAAACTCGCCGCATCGGACATCCTATAGCATGCAACGTACCGGAAATCAGATCCTGATAGAGAACCATGGCTGCTGACGGAAGTGAGAAATAAGGCGGTTCCTTGTATGGCTGACACGAAATGCCGCACCCATTTCTATTTATAGCGGCTTGGAAATGCTGAAAGCCGCGGCAGAGTAAGGTCGGGAAAAAATTGGACCCCGGGTCTAGTGTTGCCTCGCGTCACTTTTTTTCCGGGGACCGTCGGGCGCAGCACCTCGAGGGGCAAAAGGACACGACCTTCCCGTCACCCCGCGCGGGCGCCCGAAAAATAACCCAGCACATAGCTGGGAAGACGGGGAAGTTGTGGTTCCCCTGATAGTACAGCTGATGCTCACCCCATGCACGCGAAATTGCCATGTACTGGATGGAAACGCTGCCCCCGAGCAGGAAACCCCCGCTTGCTGCTCCCACAGTACAAGCCCCCGGGGTGGCAGGAAACAGTGCGCGCGACTCGGACAGTTTAACACGTGCAGTCTCGAACAACAACGCCAACCCTGCTGTGCCCCGTTTCCAGGCCAGGAGCCTGCACCGCGAAAGTGAGTGGACGAAACGAACGAGGCCTCGTGAACGCAATCGCCAATCCACCCTGCCACCTAGGCACGGATCATTGTGGCTGTAACAGACAACGTGGGCAAATTCACGATCCCACGTGTAATCTGCCTGTGCTGGGTACAAGCGTTATTGTAGCCAGGCATTGTTCTCATACACCACGTCAGACAATTGAACGTAAGGTTACCAACCTAAAACGTCAAATGTGCAAGCCAGGTGCATGGAACGTACAGTTCCAAGCCCCAAAGAACAGACCCCAACCTTGTCCCAGGTGAATTCGAACTCAGGATAAAATGTGAACAACAATTTCACTAAGAGAGTTAGTTCACTCACCTCATCTTGACACAATGCCCCGATTTAATCGACGGGAACAGCTGCCGCTCCACATCAAGCGCGCCATTTGCGCGCACCACGTCGAACACCCCGTCCTGCGCCATGTCGACCTAGCTCGATGGTGTTTCTCCCAGTACGGGTTGCGCCCGGATCGCTCTACGATCGGCCGCATCCTAAAAACCGCCGAGCGATGGGCTGTGACGTCCGACGGCGACAACCCGGTGCGCCGTCGGGGAGGCGCCTGGCCTGAGCTGGAGCAGGCCATGGGGCGGTGGATAGCAAACGCAGGACCCGCCGGTGTGCCCCTCACACTCCAAACCATCCGCGACCATGTCGCGGCGATGGCCAGGAACATGGGCATTCCGCCCACCTTCCGATGCTCGATCGGCTGGGTGCGCCGTGCATTGCGGCGCCAGGGCGTGAGATGCCGCGCGGCACAGGGCGAGGCCGCCAGCGCAGATATGGCGGCCGTGCGCGACGCCCGTGAGAAGATGCCGCTGCGGAGATTCACTCTACAACGGCAGTGAGCTAGACTACAGGGTTGGCACGAACTACTAGAGGTGATCTCAGCTTTGCTTGGTTCCTTAGTGCTTGCACATTCAGAGGCGAAATTGGCAAGAGTTTCCACTAGCAAAGTTGGAATTACAGAATTGAATTAAAGAAGCAATGACAACAATGACTACATCAGGCACCTCGCAACCCTGCAGCGGTCGACTGCCAGTGCAGCTCAGTCGACCGCCTGCCAGCATTGCGTAGAGGAGCCGCGCCAGCACTGCAGAAGGGCGACCTGCCAACAAAGCAGGTCGACGGCGTGCCGCGTAGAACACAGCAGTGCGCGCACTCGCAGGTGTGCGCAGACGATTGGTCCGACTTGCCTCGTTGGGCATCCGTCGGCTGTTGTCTGCGCCTGACGAGCCACATCGACTTCGGGATACCAGCCCGAAGTTGCCTGCGCCATCGCGATCTCGACGGCATTCGCGTGCCTCCGCAGAACTCGTCGAGCAGGTTACCCGGTCGACCTGGTCGACCCCTGGTGCTCTGGTCGACTCCCAGGTGCCTCCCGTCGACCACTGGGTCTCTTTGGTCGACCACCGGATGCTCCTTGTCGACCACACCTCCCGTCAAGCTACCCCTTGGTCGACGGACCCCTTCCGTCGACCAGAACTGCTCCGTCGACCTCCCGGTCGAACTGCAGTTCGACGGGATGCTCCGTAGACCTCCCTGTCGAACTGTAGGTCGACGGACTGCTTCGTCGACCTCCCGGACGGCTCACCCGTCGCCCAGGCCAGTCAGTTGTAGCTGACGAGCATCCTGGTCGACAGCAACACCACAGCGGTCCGCTGCCGCTCGACGTAACCTGTCGAGCAGCTATTCCACTGTGAACAGTCGGCTGCTACTCCCGTGCATCCGACCAAGTCGTCGGCGTTGCCCAAGCGAGGGCGGGGCCAACACTCCATTCCCGTTAACAGCCGCGACCCCTCACGCAGCTCGGCGTCGCCCCGCGGGACACCTTCAACCTCGACGAGACTGCTCTCTGGCTGTCGGTGCTTCCGCGGCGCACGTACAGCAGCGGCCGCATACCAGGCCGCAAGGTCTCGAAGGAGCGATTGACCGTCGCATTCCTCGTGAATGCGGACGGTAGCCATGCATTCCGGCCGCTTGTGATCAGCAAGGCGAAGAGGCCGCATGACTTCCGGCCCGACTACGACCCTGAGGCGCTATGCTACTGGCGCCATAATGCCAAAGGCTGGATGACCTTGCCAGTAAGCATCGTTGCGTTCGATGTGCACATTTTTTACTCTCATTGCTTTTTAGCGCAATTTTTTCATGTGTCTGTTCTCACGATGATGCTGACCGTGCCCCCTTCTTCCATGCCATCCTGTCCAACAGTTATTCACGCATTTCATTACTCATCTCAACGCGGCGATGTTTGCCGAGGGTCGCAAAATAGTGGTGCTGCTGGACAACGCGAGCAGCCACATGCTGCGCTCTCAAGATGCATGGAGCGAGATCGTGTGCGGCGTCAGGACCACGTGCATGAGCCACGTGCGGCTTGTCTTCCTGCCGCCCAATACCACGGCATTCACTCAGCCGCTTGACCAGGGCATAATCGCCACCGCGAAGGCCCGCTACCGCCAGCATTGGCTGCGGGCCTTCTCGGGTTTATGGAACGCCGACGGAGCGACTTCCGCGGTCGCTCGATTCCGGCCGAATCTGTGAGATGTGCTCGGGTGGCTGTCGGAGTCGTAGACCTCCGTCGGCGCGCGCACCATTCAACGGTGCTGGTGGCGCACGGGGTGTCTTCCCCTCTCGTGGTCACTGGAGCTGCCGCACGTGCATGACGACGAGCCCATCCCCGCAGCTTATCCCGACATCGAACTCGACGATGACATCGATGATGTCGGGACGCTTATTAACAGGCTCGCCCTCGGGGATGCGGCAATGACGGCGGCGGAATACGTCGCCATCGACGACGCGGAGCCCACGTGTGCGGAAGGCACGGCACACCCGCCCGTGACAGAGGAAGAGATGCGCTTGGAGGTGGAGCTCTGGCAGGCGCCGACGACCATGCAGGCCGTCTACGACGACGCCGACCCCGTGTGCCGTGAAGCGCGCCGCACTGCTCGTCCGGCGTGCGAGATGCTCATCGGCTACGCCCGGGCCACCCGCATCACTCCGCGCGATCTGTGCGCTCTTTTCAACATCCGCAATCCAATCATAATCGCGCGGATGGAGCGGGCGAGCCCGGGATTCAATCTCAACGTGGCGCCGCAGCCCGTACCCTCCCCCGGCGCAACCCCCACTCCCGAGACCCCTCGTCCGCGGGGCCGTGTGCTGCCCGACTGGATGACCCGCCCGTCCCGCCGTCAGCAGCTGCTTGATGCCGGGGTGGGCGCCGTGATGGACGGCTATGTGGATGCAGCTGAATGGATGCGTCTGTGAGAGGGGGTGGAGCAGCCAGAGCAAAGTGTCGAGTGAATTTTGCAGGGCCCCAGTGATCAAACATTGTGCCCATTTCAGTGTGTTTCGTTTCGTGTGTTGTGTTGCTATGGGGGGCCAGGTGGGAGTTGTTGATTGGATGTCTATGTTGTGTTAGTTGTTTCTCACCTCGAGGAATAATTGATGTGCACGCCTGATTCATTACTGTAGTGGTCGTGTAGTAACATTGAACACACGAAGGAGACAAGCACGGCAAACCCCCACTGTTACGAAACAAACAAAAGGTGAGGTAACCATTTGCGGGTTAGAGGCACGGGATACGCGTGACGAAACGAACGAACCTCTGGCGAAATGAGTTTTAGCTTATAGTCCCAGAGCACAAGGCAACCGGGAGGGGCTCTAAAGAGCATCAGGTGTATCAGCAGCGCCCCACCCAGATATCTTAGGTCGCGATGGACTCCAACCCACTCTCGACGGCCCGGGTCCTCTCGAACCTTGCCCAAGCCCCGCCAGGCCCGAAGGGAGTCGGCGTCTGTAACCCCGGGCACGCGAGGCCGGATGGTTCGGCACTCACCCTCGCCGACCCATAGTCGCCGACCCAAAGTCGGTCATCTCTCTGCAAAACTCGGGCGCTCCTTTCCACCCCTGCCTACGTAGTAGTACCGGGGACCACACCCAGCTCCCTCACAACTGAGGCAATAGTGTCTCCCACCCACACTTCCCCCAGCCTCCGTTCGGTAGTACACGTGATGCTCGTTTGACTAACCCAAGGTTGCCTTGTAGAGAAGGCTTTTAAATGTTTCTAATTGTTTCGCGAATTTCGTCAACGTCGCACCTAGCAAAAAAGGGCATATAAAACAACTGTAACTCTCCATTGACTTTTTTACTTCAGTCTCTTCAGATATTCTTTGGTTTCTGTGGTTACTATTGGTTCATAGCCAATGCAGCTTGCTCAGGGTGCTTGTACTGTGGGTGCAGCTGGCTGGCGCAAAATACACGGGTGCAGAGTTTTTGGCGCGTCCAGGGAAAATTCGCGCGGAGCAGTTGAGCAACATGTGTATAAGAGCAGTACGGAACTGAGGCTCTGTTTGACACAGTGCATTCTTTACTGAGCTGATCCGAGCCCCACTGTGGCAGTGGTTGGTTCCTTTTCCGAACCTACAGCCCGCTAAAAGCAAACAGATTAGAAGTGCAGAAAGAAACTGTAGTGAAAGTTCAAAAAGTAAAACCAAGTGAATCAAACCATGTTGTACAATAACATACGGTATGGATAAAACAAAGGTTTTTGAGTTGATCACGCACGGTTACTGCCCGGTTTTTTATCAGGGCGTGGAAGCAGCGCACCTTCAACGCAGTTATGCGACCCTGGGAGGCATCAACCCTAAAAACGATGCGAGTGTTTCTAGGTTCCCTAGGGTCTTATTTTTTCTGCCCAGCCCTAACAGTTCCCGGTAGCGTCATCTAGTGCCCGGTAGCGTTCGGTGGAAATGTTTAGGGCTGACTGTCAAATGTTGTTTATATGTTTGTTAGGATTCTAGCCTACAGTCAGGTTCACAATATGGGTTATATCATTCTCTCCACACTTGACTTGTACTCCTTTTCCCTAACTACTCAACCATTCCGCTGTTCATTTATGAGATGGTATCATGAGTAGGTACGCTCCTAGCCTAGCCTAATCCCGCCCGTGCTCTGTTGCCTAGCCTAACCTAGTACCGTTTCGTCGCTCCGTTACTCCGTAGTAGCCTACCCTACGTAGCACACGCCACCCAGCAAAGCAGCACGCGCCACCCAGCAGAGCAGCGTGCGCCACCCAGCAAAGCAGCTCGCGCCCTTGTAGAGCAGCGCGCGGCCCTACAGAGCATCGCACGACCTTACGTAGCAGCGCGCGCCACCCTGCAGAGCAGCGAGCACCCCAACAGAGCAGCGCGCGCCTCGGCAGAGCAGCACGTGCCACCCCGCAAAGCAGTGGACGCCCCAGCAGAGCAGCGCGCGCCAACCAGCAGAGAAGCGCGCCCCTGCAGACTAGTGCGCGCGCCCCTGCAGAGCAGCGCGCGCCACTCAGCAGTGCAGCGCGCGAACCTGCAGAGCAGCACGCGACCTTACAGAGCAGCGCGTGCCACCCTGCAGAGCAGCGCGCGCCACCCTGCAGAGCAGTGCGCCCCTGCAGACCAGCGTGTGCCCCTGCAAAAACCATGCGTAAAAAACGACAGTACTGTGCTTTTGGAGTTTAGTTTTAGTATACCCGCGTAATCAGCCGAAAACCCTAAAAAAAATGTCAAGAGAGACAGAGGGCCTCTCGGGAAAGGATAGTTCGTTCGCCGTTTTCAAAATTTCACTCCATACACTTGTACGCACGCGATGATACGGGGCACAGGGTGTAAGAGCGAGAGAGTGCACACTGACCATGCACACAATTTTTTCGCGCTGCGCAAGACTTGTAGGGGCGAGTGTCCACATGGAGAGCGTCTAGTTTTTGTGCCACATACATGACTTCACTCACGCGTATCAATGGTTGTGTTCAGTAGCAAGGGTAACTCGCCAGCAATGGGCAAGATATGGGAGCCATTTTGGCGGAAAATCATGCTCGTCTTGGGAAAAGCGTAGAGTGATCGTTATCCGACCGAGCTCGGACCTGCTTCAGATGCTCGAAATTCCCAAACTGGTTTAGGCCTATTTCTCCCTTGTTCAATGTGCACTGGCAAACCATTGTACAGTGAACCACGGGCAAAACCAGCCCCCATTTTTTAACCCTTGCTCCTGTGGTTAGGGAACGGGTTTGGAAAAACCTATGGGCAGATTAGGTTGTCGAGAGTAAAGGGAAGGATGGAATTGACTATCGAGAGTTTGGTACAAAAATATAACCTAAGGGGTTGTACCCCACAGTGAGTACCCCACTAAAGCTTACCCAAACTATAACATATAACTATATGTTTGACACACCCCCATAGGCAAAGTGGGGGAGAACAGAGGGTCACAAGACCAGTCGGGAAGTGCAAAGCAAGCTCAAGGTGGATCACAACGTCACCACGCAGTCTGAGATATATATGGAACAAGAATAGCACAGTGATCTCTACCTACAAGAGCAAGCATGCAGGTGTATATATAGATCACAGTACAAGCAACGTCTACAGCAAGTGAGGAAAAGTGGGCACAAGGCCTAACAAAGTGCAAAAACGCTGATGATCACCAGACGGAAGTTCCTTGGTGAATATATCGGCAGTGTTAGCCCTAGTGGCCACGTAAGCAAGACGAAGTTGACCACGCTGCTGCAACTCTCGAGCCAGGAAGTAACGCAATGCGATGTGCTTCGTTCTGTGCTCCAGTCTGTGCTCCTCACACAAGGCAATGATTGCCTTGTTGTTGACGTACATCACTGGAGGAGAACGAGGCCACTCTCCCAGGTCGGTCGGCAGGTAGGTGAACCGACATAACTCCTGTGCAGCCATGGCTGTGGCGTAGATCTCAGCCTCACAACTGGAGCTGAGACCTGAAGACGAGCGTGTAGAACGCCAAGAAACTGAACCAGAGCCAAGGGTGAAGGTGTAACCCTGTGACGACCGCTGCGTAGCCTGGTCGTCAACCCAAAAAGCGTCTGAGTGCCCAGTGAGGACAACTGGGCTCCGCCCTCCAAGCACGAGCCCCATGCCCGACGTACTGCACAAGTAGCGTAGTACCCTCTTAGCAGCATCCATGTGCACCTTTCAGTGCCGACCAGGAGCCACGTAGCGAGCCAGAAGGCCAAGTGGGTACGCAAGGTCAGGACGAGTGCAGGTCATCAGGTACATGAGGCAGCCCACTAGCTCTGGGTAAGGACCACTCGGCTCTACGGACTCGTCCGAAGGTGGAGCTGAGAGCGAGTGACCTGTAGCCAGAGGAGTGTGCTGTGGCGAGGACCAGGTGAAGCCGAAGTGTTGAAGGACCTGCTGCACCATGTGTGACTGAGTCAAGGTGATTGTGCAAAGCCGGTCCATAATGAATATTCAAGCGAATTTTGCTGTCACTACGCGGATGGAAAGTCAGCGTATCTCCGTGCGGCGTGCTCTGTCCCGGGTGATCTGCAAGCCAAGGTAACTGCGCAGCTCACCCAGGTCTGTGCAAGTGTGTCTCTTCTTCAGCTCCGACTTCACCACGGCGAGAGCCTCAGTGTCAGTAGTGGCAAAGACCAATTCGTCAACGTACACGAGGATGTAGAACGGCGGCAGCGAAGTGTCGGTGCGCAGAAACAGCGACGGGTCAGCAGTCGACGGAGCAAACCCAAGAGCAGCAAGTGTCATCCTCAGTGTGTCGTGCTACTCATGTGGCGCCTAGCGGAGACCGTAGACCGGCCGCCGTAGGCTCCACTCTGTACCAGGAGGGAACGACCTAGTGAAGTCAGGAGGGCGGCAAAGCCAGATCTCCTCGTGTAGGCTGCCCTGTAAGAAAGCTGTGCTGAAGTCAAGAGAGTGAAGCTCGTAGTCACGCTGAGCGGCAACGTGCAGCAGTACCCGAAGAGTGGTCATCTTTGGGGTGGGGGAGAAGGTCTGGAAGAAGTCGACTCCCTCCCGCTGACTGAAGCCTCGAGCAACGTAACGAGCCTTGAAGACAGGCGGAGAACGTGGCGGCCGCTTCACCCTGAAAATCCACATGCCACTGACGATGTTCGCCCTAGGAGGGGGAACCTCGTCGACGTAGGTGCCTGTGAGGATCTAGGATCGAGCTCAGAAAAGAGAGTTTGAATTGAATCGAATTGAATGATTCACCTGGGTACAACACGAGGCTATATATAGGCTCGACACAAGGCCAGTTACCCAGGTGTTACGCGAATGTTCTGAGGGTCGCGAAGCGCCCCGAACAGAACCTTCCCAAACTCAGTAGAAAGCAATTCGGTGGAAACCGAACAGGCTTGAGTTCGGTACACGTAACCTGGTTCGGTGCTATAACTATACTTATATATAGGAATGCACCTAACCTAGGAAATCAAGCATATCTATGCATGATAAATAAAACCCAAGCTAGATATAGCG